TAAGTGAACTCTGTGAGGAGGTGCTAAGCAGTACAGCGCACACAAAAAGCTCAGGTCTAATTGCTCAAGTCCTCCCTCTGTCTCCAGAAATGGGAGACAGGGACATACATTTCACCCTTTAGTGCTGGCTGCCAGCACCGCAGGTCACCAAACAGATGGCACTGGAGCCACTCTGTAATGGCAGGAGACATGGGGAGTGGTGACAGATTGCTCCTCTGCCTTCCCTGGATAGATCTGCACAAACTTCTCAGCAACAAAGGTCATCTGGTTCTGGTTGCTTTGCTCTTTTTGTAGTAAGGACTGAGACAGGGTCCTGTTTAAATAGCCTGACTTGAAACTAAAGCTTGTGGCTTTGAGCAGAGGTCGGTCCGACTGGATCTTGGAGAATGTCTTTGTGGATGCCTGGGATTAGTCTGGCCATGTGTCCAATTCAGAGGGGAAAGGAAAAAAAAAAAAAGTGACAGGCAGAATTAGGACACCATAAACCTTAGGATGTTTTTATCATTTCTTGTCTTTTTTGGTGAAAACATCTGCAGTTGCTTTGAGACTGACAAATACTTTCTTACAAGTAAATGGCCTGATTCTTTATTAAATTCCCTTTTGAGGGTCCCAGGATTGGGGGCCTTCTAGTGGGATTTGGGAAATGATGCCAGGATGGAGTAAAGGAACCTCCATAAAACTGAGAATCCAGCCCTGGCTTGGGAGAGGAAAATAACACATACTGGTAAAGCATGTGGCAACAGAAAACACTTCCACATCATGATAATGCTGTTTGCTTTCTTCTCGTCCTTCCTCCAGGTTACCTTGCACCCCGAAACCTCCCTAGTGCTGGCTTCTTCCCGTTCCTGCAAACCGTGCTGTGTGATTCAGACGCCAGATGTAAAGGCACACCATACACTCCAGAAGATCTCCTGCCAAGGCTTAATGACATCTCATCCCTCAGACTGTAAGGGAATCTGAATGACTCTGGGTGCTACGTGCTGTAGAGCAAGGCTGCTTTGATGTGGGGGAGCAGCCACAGATGCGTGTTCCCCCAAGAGAATAGCCTCAGACACCTGAGTGCCTAGAAATGAAAATATGGACTTTAAAAAAAAGTTTGTATTCAGGATAGCTACGAGTGATGTATCAGTTGCTTCAGGTTCTCTACTGTAAGTGGTTTTTATTCCCCGTGCAAGATGCCTTCTGATGAACCAGGCTTTTCAAATTAGTTTGAAGATACCTTTTTGCATGACTGGAGGTCAGGTCTTTAGGAGTGTCAGTCAGTAAAACTGCACTCAGCAGCCCAGAGTGCTGCACACACCTCTTGGTTCGATTTACTTGGGATAAAAGTGCCAAATGTTCCCAAGCCACTCTTGCTTTAGAGATGTATTTTTTGCTGGAGTGTCTGCTCTTTTAGTAGTGTGTTCAGAGACCAGCCAAAATGGGGAAATGCAGTTTTCTCTAGCAGAAAACACATATCTTATAGACAAATGAAAATGAAGAGACATGTAGGTTTGCAGAGCAAAGCTGGTTGGGGATTTTTTTTGCTGGAGTGCTGGTTTTTTTGCAATTGAAATCTTGAGTGGACACATTTCAATCTTGGTGATGTTCCAGTGGAAACCAAGTAGCAGTTACTCTGAGATGTGCCAGCCAGGGATGCTTCTGTCTCTTGGCTGCCTGGCTTTGGCAGGCCACGAGGAAACACGGACTGAGAGATGTGCAGCTCTAAACCCTGGCTACCTGCTGAGATCCACATCCAAGGTCCCAGCTTCCTCATCCTGGTTGTCAGAGGGGAGACTGCTCTAGAGTAGCTCTTTCAAAATCCATCCCTCTCAGGTGACTTGGAGTCTGAAGAGCTTCCACGGGGCCACAAACCTTCTACCAGAGAGCCCATCACACAGGATGGAGGGAGCGTGCGGTTGGTGACTCCCAACAGGGCCTTCTCAGTCAGTGCAGAGGAACTGGTATTTCTTGGGTGTCTCAATGATCAGTTACTGAGTTAGAAGGAACCTAGATGAATAAACAGATGGATAACTAAATTTATGTAAACTGAAGACCACTCAGCAGAAAAGGGCAGAGCCATATGGAAACTGGATCCTTGGATTCCCAGCTCTCTGTCACTCAGTATTATTTTTTTCCCAGGTTAAACGGTGATGAATTTGGGGCCTTGAGTGAAGAAATGGGAATCTTTAGTGCTAAAGTTTAGGATATTCCATACGCTTCAGTAGCTATCAGTCCTCCTTGTATTATGTTTTTGGTTTCCATACAACCGCTTAGGAAATAACTACTTTTTTTTTTTGGTGGTGGCTGAAAATCAAAGGGTACTTCTAAATTATAGCTCAAGTCACATGAATCATAAATACGCATCTTGACCACGGTTGATGTTAGAAGTTAGCTATGTAAAGTCTCACACAACTATGTGAGGCTACCTGTACTTGCATAGTCAATGTTAGTCTTAGAAATATATAGTATCCTAAAAGGAAAAGATGCACATTTAAGAAGTCAGGGCAAGCCTAGCAGGATTTGGCAGAGAATAAAACCTCAGCAGAAGGTTGGCTGGGCAAGGAAAGGCTCCATAAACCAATGTGAATAGACCTTCCCATGAGGGCAGAATCTGCCAGGGTGAATTTGTCATGGAGGTAAAATATTTTAGCTATGACCTTTACTATTTGGAGATATTACTCTCTAATACAGTAGAGTTTATAATCTTCAGCTAATAACTCAGAATATTTTTTCTCCCGTTGTGCAACTCACCTAAACTCTTACTGAACAATTTCTTAACTTGCCATAAAAATTTTTATTACCAATGGCCAGCAGTGAAAATGGGTGAGGTTCTCATCTTTGGTTTGTTCCCCAGAAACATATGCTGAGGAGTACAAATCATGGCCATGTGAGATTTCCCTGAATAAAAAGCAGCTGAAGTACAAAAACATAGCTCAAGACCAACAACTCCCACCCTTACTTTTCTTCTGAAGTGAAATACTAAGGAAGTGTGAAGTAAGATCCTGATGTCTTGAAGGATTTCCCAGTATGGGCATGTAATCCTTTTATAACTTAGAGCTATCTCAGCTCTCTCTGTTGAGACTCAGGCCTGTCTTGAAGCCAGAGTGTCCTCAATGGTGTCATATTTTTTTCTGTTGTGTATGTGTCAGTGGAAGATAGAGTATGACCTGATACAATGAGGCCTTCTTTGCAGATGTGGAAATTAAGATTAGGCTAAATATACATTTATCAAATGTCTCTGTCTCTGATGGGTTCAATGTTTTGTCAGTGGAGAGGCATGAGGCATGAACGTCGTGCCTTTTGTCTCTTTAGTGTCTGAGAGCACTTCTAAAATGCACAGCAGTCCGGAAACCAAACTTCTGCCCTACTCAGATGTTACCACATCACCTCTGAAATCCTGCTGTTGACCTATCCTGAGTCATGCAATAGTTAAGCATAAGCTTAATCGTAAGAAACTCTGAGTATCTCTGAGTTATTATAAATCTTCTTTGTGTTTTTTTCTTCTCCCTTTCCCTTTTCTTTTCCTCAGGAGACGGAGGAGATCCACAAATGTGAGCAGGGACACTTCACCCTGGAGTGCTGAGGTTCCTAAAAGCAAGAGCCCGTTGCTGGGTAGGTTATCCAGTGCTGCATGCAGAAGGCTGATCTTTTAAAGCACTCTGGACAGCTGAGTGATCACCTACATGACAGTTTCTATGGCAGTATAGTAAATTCTTGTGAATAATTATAAGTAGCTATCTGTGGAAAAGACTCAGAATTCAACCAAGAAACTAGGATTTAAATTGCTGTGCTTCATAGGAGCAGTGTGAGATCACAGACTATTTGACATTAATTAAAGACCTGGCTATATTTGGAATATTGCTCTTTTATTGCCCACATATTGTCCATAAACAGCTTATTGTTTTTTCAAATTTATTTCTTACAATTATCCAGCAAATAAGTTGTCTTCTGAGCCACAGTGGATATATTTATTGTTGGTGGTGTTCTCCTTCGATGTTCTCTTTCCTCAAGGAACTTTCAGACTTCAATTTTGGGAAAATCATTACAGATATTATTTATTAATGGTAATGTCTAGTACGATTGGAATGCCTCATGACGGATAGTCGTTTCTCCGGGGAGTTCACAGCCAAATGAAGGGTTGCCCATTAGCATTCGGCGACTGTTCTGCCCCAGCCATTCACTCGTTCAATTAGAATTCCTGCCAGCACCGTCACTCGTCGGGTGTTTGGGTGAAAGGACTCAAACGAATGAAAAAATAATGACTAAACAGCTTTTGCAGAATGATTTTTTAGGTCATTTTGGTGGACATGAATGGTACGGAAGGAACTCGGTTATGTTCCTTATTTTAAGGGGGAAAAAAAAAAAAGTGATAGCCTCAGCTGGTGCAAACTGGCATAACTCTTCTGGTTTCAGCAGGCTGAGCTGTTTTGAGAGTGCGGCTCAGCACAAACCTTGGCTTTGGTGTGTGTCAGCTGGGGAGCTGGCAGTGTTGTCTCTGTGCACAGCGGGCAGCAGCTCCCCGCGTCTGTGTTGGAGCTGTTCCTATGGCACGAGTACCACCCAGCAGTGCCGAGGGGGCCTGGAGAGCCCTGCCTTGCAGGGCTGCCGCTGAAGCTGACGTGGGCTTCCTTGAAAGACTGTCAGTGTCTGCCCCTGCATGGAGGAGCTGCAGGGCTAGAGAAATTAATAATTAACTGTAAGCAAATAGTTAAATGTTTTTGATTTTAAAAAGTTGCAGAAGGAAATAGTGTAATCCGGGATTTGATTATGTAAGGAAAAAGTCTTAAGTAGGTAATTACTGGATGCCATTGACTGCCCCTTTGGAGAAAGATTAATGATGGCATATGCAAAGCTCTAGACATTTATCCTATGTATAGGTGTGGTAGAGCAGACATTAAAAGGCATTAAGTAAAATCTTGCATTTCAAATTATTACTATTGCAGCATTTAAGGATTTGGTACCTCATGGAGAAAGCACCCTTTGGAATATTTCATCACCATCCAACTTGACTTCCAGCATCAACATGTTCAACAGAATCCTCCATTTGGGAAAGGTAATGTCTGAATTTGTGTACTAACTGTATCTGAGCATTTATGCATCATCACATTTAAAGAGTTAAAAGCCCAAAATACCAACATGCAGCTTTTGTAGCTTTGGTATTTCCCTTAGAAATTCAAATAAATGTGCTTCATTTTGTGATGAGGCAGATCGTTATTGTAGGTGGACTTTTAAGTGCCAAGGTGAATTTATTATTCTCTAAGCAGAAACAAAATACCTTGGGACACAATACCACAAATGACCAAATGCTGACAGACTGTACCCTGAGGTATTTTGCTCAAAACTTCTGTGTGAGCTAAGGCTGCAAGTTATTCTCGAACATTTAGAGTGCAATTTCTCTCACATGAAATTGAAGATGGATGTTACAGGCTTTGCCATCAATTTCATTATTTGCCCACAATACTTGTGGAGTGCTTTCAGAGTTGCTGTGTATTTACTGCATAGGAGATTGAATAACTTCAGGAACAACTCCTTTTTGTAACAAAAACTTGGTATCATTTAATGGACACCAATATGCCAGGAGCATTACCATTAATATGTAGATTAACAAATATCTGAAATATGCTTCTATTCTCATATTAATGCCTACAGGTACACACACATTTCTCTTTATATATATGACTTCAATGACATTGTTCCCTTCTTAAAAGTCTGTATGTGCAGAGGTACTTGTAAGGATGATGTTTTTCACATGTCACTACTGTACCTTAAAAATGTCTCACCGCACTATTTAAAACCATCCCAGAGTATTGCTTTAAAACTAACATCTAACATTATATCTCACTTTTAGAGTCAGACACAATATTCAACGGCAGCAAATCTCAGAGTCGTTCTATGTGAGGTCTTGTCACGCTATACATCACAGCCTGGTCTTGGCGAAGGGAAGATGGCAGCCAGTATCCACAGGACGTTCTGCTCTACCAACTTGTCTCTTTTAGAGTCATTTACCCAAGAGTTCAGAAATCAGCTCTCTCAGGTGAGTGTCTAGGTTTCTTTCCAACATTGGCAGATATTGGCTGTGATGATTCTCCCACTTTATTGCAGATTTTTTTTGGAGGTAGAACATGACCTGATATTACAGGGAATAGCTCATTTCTACACTACAATGCTTATTATGCAGGATGAGGCTGAACTAATTTTTGTGAATGGGATTAGCCCAAATACCTTAGAATTGAGCAAACGGTCCTTGAGGAAAGTCAAGGACAGACAGGCATCAGCTAGTGTCCATTGAGGGTTCCTTGCCTTGCCTAGGGTTTTTTTTTCTGCTTTATTTGCCTTCCTGCTGTGACAAGTAGATAGAACAGTGTGAGAATGTGGCATAAATAAGAATATTTAAAGCTAGAGGGGGCAATACATTTCCTCATCTGTTACATCAGCCATATAACTTCTGCATCTGATCCAGCAGCTCACAAATGAAGCAATACTTGTCTTTGGGAAAGTTATGTAATTAAAGCAAATGGATCTTCTTTCTTTCCCAAATGAGGGTTGATACTCATTTTTCTTACGTTTCTGGTCTTTAAATTGTTGGGACATTCTGAATCTTAGGGCTTATCTATAGAAGGAATTTTTTTTGCTGTTGTCTAGAGTGTGAAAGTAAAGCATGGTCACACTCTCACCATTATTGTCTGTCACCAGAACCTGTTGTCTGGCAGATTGTGTACAAGTGCAGTGCAGGCTGAAAAGCCTAGAAAGGCTCACTAGCAACCAAGGGTTCCTGTGCTTAAATAACTTCTTGCGTTGTTCTTTTTAAGGTGCAACTCAACCCTGAATACCAGGCAGTGTTTGTCAAAGAAATGGTCTCATTACTATTGCTCATTTCTCAAGTGCAGAATGACACCTCTTTGTGGCATCTTCTTTTGCTGGCCCCAGACGTGTTTCAGGACAGCATGCAGCTGCAAGACATATTTGATAATCTTCAGAATGCAAGCAGGTAAGAAGGCAGAAAATGTCAGGAGAGCACTGAAATCCTGGTGGGTTTGTGTGTTGAACACTGAACACAGGTCACCTCTCATCAGCAAGAAGGATACTAGCTTAAAAACATGACTTGTTTTTGTTGTGCAGTACAGCTCCATCCTAATGTATTTCTGAAGGTCTCTACAGTGAGTAGCCTTTTGTTTTTCAGCGACTCTCTGTCCCTCTTAAAATGGGAAATGTCCTGAACCCTTAGTTGTCTTTCAGGCTTCTTCAAGGCACTGTTGTGTGTGTGCAGACTGAGATGGGTTAGCATATGGGGTTTTGGCTATGTATGACTTGAAGAAAATACTAGTTATAGTCTTGCTCAATGGTTATATGAAAAGCAGAGCTGGCTGAGCTCTGTGAACTGCGTTAATTAACTCTGCTGAGATATTTGATGCTGTCTGCAGCTTGGACAATGAACACACGCAATGAACACTACGGGACTTAGCCTTTTAAACTCCCTTTCATAGAATTTAGTTGAGTGAAGCTTGAGTTGCTTGGAAGATCAGGAGAATCTGTCATGAATAATCTATTGACTATGACTGAAGCTGCTAGAAATTATTCTAGATAGTCCACTTGTTACAGCACATAAAGAAAACTAGGCATCAGCTGACTGTCCTTTGACTCTTTTTTTCCCCCAATAAATGCCTTTACATGAACAATTGGACAAAGATTCAAGAAGTGGTTGTAGAAACTTTGCCAATCTGATTACAGCCGGGCTTGGAGGAGCTCATTTCTCATGATTGGTGTGTTGCTAAGGCACTTCAAAGCTCATACTGTTTCTATCTAGGTAATGTGCCATCCTGCAACTGAGAAAACACTTGATGTTTTTATTCTTAAAAGAAGTCAGTATTAGTGCGGAAAGAATCCTAATTTTGTTCAGAGATGTTCTGTCCTTTCTACCATTTCAGTCATGCTGTTTGTCCACGTTCACTGGCTTGCAGAATCGAGCCTGAAACCCTGCACTATTTGACTGCCCAGGAAAGATTAATATTTACTCTACTGTTCTGCTTTGTTCTTCAGCTGCAGAGCTGGGCCAGTTATCATAGGCACAACAAATAGCCACAGAGAATTTCATCACCAGAACTGCAGTGCTTTTTTGCCTAGCGTGTGGCAGCGTAAACGCCTGAGTAAACAGTTATTGCAAAGAGATTGCACAAAGAGTATTTTTAATGATGCCTGCAAAATCACGTCTTGGCTGGCTGTGCCATGTCTTTTACACAGATAGTCTTGAACTCCTGAAGAAATACTGCAGAGGGATTTCTTTTAGTAGTACAACAAACATGCAGAAGAAAATAACTTTTGCTCAATGTGCTATCTATATTAACCATGTGATAACTAGCAAGACCATAGTGAAATAGTCATGTCAAGGTCATAACTTCTACAAAAAATCTCGCAGCAAATTTTATTACTTATGCATTAAGTTAAATGTGGAGAAAAGAGATGTCTAGTGCTCTGTGGAAACAGGCGGTCTGTTTCCACAGATCGCTATGTATTTATTCCTGCTGCTGAAATAGCTCAGCGAGGTGCTTTTGTGCATCACTTGCAGAGCTTCAGGTAAGCGAGGCACTGTGCATTTCACGGTGACCCTATATCTACAGTGAAGAGCTACTCTTTGTATGGGAGAAGCAAAAGAGGCTAATAATCACCATGAAGTTTTCAATAACCCACACATACTGAGACATTCCCTTAAATGACTTCCTCTGTGATACAGTAAGCCAGATAATCAGCTTGTTCTTTTCTAAGATTGAAAAACATTCCTTGCCTCCAACTCAGGAATCTGAACTTGGTAACAGCTATTTGTGATTGCTTCTTCTGTGCAAAAATTTTGCCTCGTAGGGATCCCTTGTTGTACATTACATGACTACAACATGCACATTTTTGCCAATGTTACCTCCATGGCTTTCCTTCATAGCCCTCTGTGTTTATATTTTATGCACAATCATACAAATAATTAAGAGTAGGGGTAATTTCTGTCAGATATTTTAAGAATGATGTGCTGCACTCCAGCTGTTCCCTATTTGAATGCTTGTTTTATTTCCTTTCATAAACCTGGAACCACAATTTATTTCCATCTTTTTTTCCCCTTAGTGTTGTGTTGGCAGCTCCAAATGTCTCGGAGTTGATTGTGACTGAAGATAGATTCAGAAAAGCTCAAGACAGGATTGCAGATCCTCTGTTTCCCCTGAACTGCTTGGAGCAAGGTAAGATTCCTCCACATAGTCACATCTCTTCTGAAAAACCTGTGGTGCCAAGGAGAAGCAAACTGCCAAGCAATAAGTAACCATACTGATTGCAGCCTGTTCAGGCCTGGGCATAATAAATTCTCCTTTTAAATTTTAAGAAATGTGAATAAAATACCTCATTCCAAAGGCAGAAATAAAAAAGTATGGTTTTGTCACTAGCCAATGCGTTAACATGAGTTTGCAATCTCAGTGGAAATGGGGAGCAGTATTTTTTTATCTTCATTTTTTTTTTCCTCCAAATCTGTTAAACTCACGTGATGGCCTCACAGTTGGGACCGAGACTGCACAATAGGCTGCGGATATGAAGGTTTGCTATCCTGCTAAACCCTCTAATAGCAAAGGCATGACCCTAAACATCCATCTCTAACTGCAAAGGTGCAGCGTGTAGGGACAATAAGGATGGCCTTGTAAACACCATCCACTCTGCTTGTAGTTCAGTGAAGGTTGTGGAGACTGGTGTGGATAAAAAGGAGGCAGACTGATACAGTGTAAGGAGTGAAAATGTGCTGAGTGAGAGGCTGGTGAGAGGACTGGACATGTGGGGTTATCAATATATCCTCTTATGCCCAGAAGAACAGTCAAATTTCTAACCATGATCTTGTTTTCCATCCTAGGAGCTAAACCTTAGATGTGCATATTTTCATTGACAGTTCTGCCATACCATTCTTTTCTGTTTCCAAACTGATATTCATATCTTCTTTATGTACCTTGTGTAGATAAGGAAGGAAGTTCAATGACCAGAGAGATTTGTGACGTGTTTTTTAACCGGAAATTCAACCAGACTTTAGAATCTGATTTCAAATCCTTCAAGGAAGTTTTGAGGTAAGACACCGTGTGAAGGGATATTACTAAGAGTATAATTCAAATCTATGGTCTTTGCTCTAAATCACTTGTACTTATTTTGTATTCTCTAAAATACTTTTTTCTTTTCCTACACAGAAAATTCAAGTTACCAGAGATTGGTGGAAGAGATTCCAAGAGATCCATTAATTCAGATGATTTAGAAGCCATACAAAAGTCTCTGTATCGTTTAAAAGGCTTAGAAGAAAAAATGAATAGAAGTGAATTAGAAAGCTTAAACGTATTCAGAAATTTAAAGAATGAAACATTACAGAAACTGTATGCAATTCTTGAACTGGGAATGAATCCACATGATGATTATAAATTAAAAGAATCATATAATAAGGAAATAATTGATGAAATCTATAACTTCACATCACTGCAATTACTAAGCAACTTTAATGGGACATCCATTTTCAATATAATGGTACAATGGAAAGAAATTCAGAGTGCTTTAAAATTAGCAGCTATGATTTGGAATCCAGATTTGTTAAATAATTCTAATTTTAGTACAGAACAAACTAAGGATGCTCTCCAAATGTTCCTCTCCACTAACATGCTACCATTTCTGGAAGACTTAAGAGACCATTTAAATAAAATACAAGAAATATCATCTTTATTTTCTGACCATTTGCTTAAACCAGTGTCCTACAAAAACTTTCCAGACCAGCTCCAAGCTCTCCAGAAAATGTTTTTCATGATGACAAATACAAACATAGGTTACCGGTACCTGCTGGCGCCTGTATTTGAACTGATGCGGAGAGTAGAAAGCTCCATGGGTGAAGCCCGCTGGCATGAGTTGAATGTCTACTGGCGCATGGGGGAAAAACTAAGGTCAATGAGTTGGAATATCACAGGCATCGTGGCTTACCAGCAATTTTTAGATGTATTAAACAGCCATTTGCATAAACTGAATAATAATTCAAATGGCTTCTTCAGTGAAGAAACGGATCGATTGTCAGAATTTGTAACAGCCGTGTTTAAAGAGTTTGAGGAAGGCTCTGAGACAGCCAATATCTCACTGGTCACTCAAGCCATACAGAAGACCTTGTATGTGTTAAAAGACTTACAGCTGCATTATAATATCAGCAAGTTAAAATATATAGATCTGTTCTTTAGTTTTGACAATAAAATCTTTGACAACTTGTCTGAACTACTGAGGTTAGGAATTAAAATCCTTCATTATACAGCTACAGGGGATGCTTCCGGTGAAGGAAAAGTTGAACCTCTGTATAGTTTAACACGTCTTCTCCTGCAAGAGTTCAATGAGTTTATCTTACAGCACAATGCTTCATTACAGGCAAAAATATGGGACTACTTACATTCAGCCTTGATACCATTCTTTGATAATAACAGTGATTATAAGGCACTCCAAAACTGCTCTGCTCAAGACGTTCTCCATATAACGTTTCGGATGCTGTTTGAAAATGTCACTCTAAGCGAATCCCTAGCCAGGAGCCCCTGCGAGACCCTCTTTGCTGCCATGGACGTGGACAGTGGAGCAGTGGCCAATGCAACCTTTACCGAAGCTTTGCAACTTGCCATAACGAACCTGAGGCTGTCTCCGGAGTTTGATGCTGTCTACAAGCACAACAGGGAGCGTTTTTCCAAGGAGCTGTCGTGCATCATCCAGTCCTTACAGTTTTCCCTGAGTTTCCTCTCGAGATTAGACCTTGTCTCTGAGCAGCATTCCTCTTGGATACAGCAGAAGATCAAGGCTCTGGCTGCTGTTACGGAGGGGCTGCTGTTGAGTAACGCGTCCTGCCCTGTCCCTGTGCTGCAGGATGTGGGTGGTGTGCTCCCATCACAGCTTTTGAACGTCCTCATTCCTTTCATGCTAAACGAAACGGGCTTCAATTCCCTCAATTTCTCAGGCAGCCCCACAGACTGGCATAAGCTGCCTCTGTTTTCCCATCTGTTACCGAGTTTTTCCATTTGGAATAGTAGTGTATATGAACTGCTGCAGATGCCCGGAAACGCTTCCGACCCGTCTGAATGGAGACATTTCTCGCAGCTGTGGAACGCCACTGGCAATGTGTTGACCACCAAATGGAACTTAACAGAAGTGGATGAATATGTGAAACTCCTGGAAGTTATGAAAAAAGCTCTAATTCTTGTCGACATTGGGGTAGATCCCAGAAAAACAGAAGTATTTCAAATTCTTCGTAATACCAGCGGAGTAATGAACTCGTCCAATCTGAAGGATTTGAATAGTTCCCTAAAACTTCTTCTCAATTCAACTTTTGCTGCAAACAGCACGGTGGACTTGGAAAGAATATTTCAAGAAATTGCCTCACTGTATGAGATTGCTGGTGAAAGACTGTTCTATCCTAACCCCTATGGGAAAGAAAATCAGGATGTTCTAACTATGGCTGTAACAATTTGGAATCAGATCATTTTAAATAGGACTCATTTTAATACAGAGAAAGCATGGGAGATTATTAAAATGATAGCACTTCATGCAGTCCCCCTTGAAGACATAGAGGTGTCATCCTTATTTTCCGATTTCTTGCTGGCCCCCGTAACTTCTGAGAACTTTGCAGAACAGCTCTCGGCCCTTGAGGAGCTTCTTGCTGCCGTGGCAAAGGTGAACACCAGCAGTCACTATCTGCTGATCTCTTCTTTGTCTAAACTAATGCAGAGACTCCAGAGCTCTTCTCACGGAAGCCAGGGAAGTGAACTTCATCATTTTGGGCAGATTACTGCAATTCTGCAGTCCATGAAGGGGAATAGCATAGACAGTCTTACTTCCCAGTCACTTCTAAGCCTACTGCAAAATCAGTTTAAAACCATGAAAAATGATTCCAGTCTTCCTTTCAGTAGAGAAATGAAGCAGCTGATAAGCATTCTATCTGACATATTTGAGGTATATGCTGAAGAGGATTCCAGAGGCTCCAACATCTCCATATATTCACAGGCCATACAAAAGAGTATATTCTTTTTGAAAGAATTGCAGAATAGTTATAATATCAGTGATCTTGAAAATATCAATATATTATTTGATTTTTATAGTAAATATGCCCAGAGGATGTTTGAAATATGGAGAATAGGAATGAAAATTCTTCATGATACCAACATAAACAAAACATTGGAAGAAAAAATGAGCCTTATCTATCGTTCTTCTAATTGGCTCCTGCAGAAGGAGTTTGGTGAGTCTTCCTTACAGCCTGGTACTTCATTGGAATCAAAAGTGGTGGATCTCTTGTTTTTAGCTTTGAGTCCTTTCCTCAGGGATAGTGACAGTAATTATGAGATGCTCCAAAACTGCTCTGCTCAAGACGTTCTCCACATAACACTTCGGATGCTGTTTGAAAATGCCACTCTGAGTGAGTGCGTAGCCCTGCGAGGCCCCTGCGAGGCCCTCTTTGCTGCCATGGACGTGGACAGTGGAGCAGTGGCCAATGCAACCTTTACCGAAGCTTTGCAACTTGCCATAACAAACCTGAGGCTGTCTCCGGAGTTTGATGCTGTCTACAAGCACAACAGGGAGCGTTTTTCCAAGGAGCTGTCGTGCATCATCCAGTCCTTACAGTTTTCCCTGAGTTTCCTCTCGAGATTAGACCTTGTCTCTGAGCAACATTCCTCTTGGATACAGCAGAAGATCAAGGCTCTGGCTGCTGTTACGGAGGGGCTGCAGTTGAGTAACGTGTCCTGCCCTGTCCCTGTGCTGCAGGATGTGGGTGGTGTGCTCCCATCACAGCTTTTGAACGTCCTCATTCCTTTCATGCTAAACGAAACGGGCTTCAATTCCCTCAATTTCTCAGGCAGCCCCACAGACTGGGGTAACTTCTCTGCACTCCTCAGAATGGCTCAGAATGAAATGCAGAGGCTCCAGGTCACCTTCAGTCTCACTGACTGGAGTTACTCCTCACGCATTTGGGAGGTGGTTGACAGTGTGCTAAACACCAAATGGAATCTAACAGAAGTGGCTGCCTACATGAAGTTGTTGGAAGCACTGATGCACAATCCTGCCAACAATGCATCAGCTCTAGAAATCATAGAAGCCGGTCGCTCCATTCTCAAGAGGCTGCACTCCTCTGAGCTGCTAACTAAATTGAATATAGGCTCCAGCTCAGCTTCACTCTCCAACAAAACTGGTTTCGACAGTGTGATCAGCATTGTTGCCAATCATTTCATTGCTAGAGCAGAAACCCTGTTCAACAAAACCCTACCTTGGACTCAGAGTGACCAAATCCTATCTCCAGCCAATCTGATCACACGGTGAGTTTGTTTTTTGGATATCATAACTGCTGTTATGGGCAATGATCACCTCTTCTTTCCTTAGAACAACTTTAGCCTGAAATCTACCACCATCATTTAAGAATCCAGGTCTAGACGTTTAGATTTGAAGCAAAGGGCAAGAAAGTTATTTGTGAAACCACAGAATGGAATGGATGACTGAAAGTGAGACTCTCTGAGATACTCAGTGTTGGTCTGTCTGGGTTCACAGTGGGAGCAGGGTCCCTCAGGAATATGCTTACTGAAAGGTGGGTTACACCAGTAGTAAGCTCTCTGTAAAACCTTTCTTTGTGGTGTCATTCCTTAGTTCTTTTTCCTCAGACTATCCCTATCATGGGCTCCCAACTGTACCTCTCATCTACCTCTCAACCTTTCAAGCTTATTTATTTTATCTGTGTGGTTTGAGAGTGAATGGGAGCCAAGGTGATAACAGAGAAAGTAACTGATGAAATAAAATTGGAAGAATACTTGCTTAGGAAATGTCGTGAAACACATGGCTTTATCTGGAACTTTTATTTACAACTGCCATGGAGCAGCATCTGTGCAGCAGACAGGTCACACAGTCATATACCACTTTCTGAAAGAGAAATTCATTTAAACTCCATCTTATTTTTCAGATTTCTGTTTTTAGAATTTGAAAACACCATCTTACAGATGACAGTGAATAGCAGCTACAATCCTTACCTGATGTGTTTAATAAATGCCACTGAAACTGAAGACAGCAATTTGACAGGTAATCATGATTTCATTAATGTAGTGGCACCTTGGCTGGAGTGCTGTTGTGCCTGTCTGAATTTCAAAGTGTTTTGTCTAATGATGGAAAGAAAGATGCCGCAGACTTTCACCTGCTGGCAATTAACTGGGGCTGTGGGCCCTCAGGAAGGTAAGCTCCTTTTTATTTGAGTTATGTCACATCACGGATATAATTTTCCTCCCAGCTGTATCCAAAAAACATGTGTATTCTTTGCTAAGTGATGACAGTTTGCTGACACTCAGATAAAGAATCCTTAAAGATAGAAACCTATATTCCCGTCACAGCTTTATATGCCCTTAAGATGGCAGCAGTAATTTTGAGACTTAACATATTTCACACAGGTATTCATGGAATATGGTTATTGCAAAACCTGAGAGGTTTATCTCCTCACAGAGATACTGAATGTGTTTGAAGGGTCAGGCATAGTCACAAGTCCTGTTTCCAGTCTGGGTAGATTTCTTTATGAGAGCAGAGCAACTACTTAGACTGGATCAGAAGCTTACAGTACAAGTGTCCAAGTGTGATTTTTACTGGGTCCAAAGCCAGGTAAATTTAGTGGAAAATAAATAGGCTGGTAGGCTTCAAAGACAAAGTATAGTTATTGCCATGTGTAAAGTTTCTGTAAGTTTGATGGATTTCATCTGAAGTAATTTTTTTTACCTCCCACAGAAAGCATCACACTGCTTTTAAAGAAAACTCATCTGAAAAATGACCCTTTCATGCAAAATAATACTTCTGAGAAACATTCATCCATACCAGAGCTCCTGAAGCTAAAAGTGAGTCTGCTTAAAATGCTAACTGGAAGGACATCCCACAGTGATACACAAATGTGTAATGGAGGTCTTGGAGATAGAGAGAGGGGAAAAAAAAAGGCATATGTAAAAATGATGTTTTAGAAAAACAGTTGATAGAATGCAGGACTGAAAATGTTAGGTGTGCTGCTTGTGCTTAGATGTTGCCACCAACCCGGGCTGAGAAACTTGTCTCCTCTACCAGCCCCTCTGTCTGCCCTTATACGCTATGCACTCAAGTTTTAGAGAAGGTAGAGGTATTCCTGTCCCACCAGCCTATTTTATAGCTTCTATTTTCTGTCACACAGCCCCAAAGCATGATCACTGATCACATTGCCAGTGACAGCATGTTCCTCATAAATCAGTGCAACAGTATTTTAAAGGTTCAGAAGGTTTAGACTTAGCAAAACACTGTGCACAACTGAAATTGATAGTACCATTTTCTGGCTGACTCAGCTTCATTTGAGAAATATGTAGGGAGAAGTTTTCAAAAGCACAAACAGCAGTTAGATACCCCTGACCTGTTGAAATTGGTGGAAGCAGCAGTACCACTACGTTAGGTAACCTATGCCTACGGAGCTACATCCTGCAGCATGGTTGGAGACCACATTCCTCTGCATGTTCCCTTAGCATTACAGGTCTCAAAATACTGTAACAATTTCAGAGGTTAAGCATCTAAGCAGTACTGATTCAATGATATTCTCCATCAGCTTTGAATTTAGCAGTGCTGCATTTGGATAAAAGGCTGCTTACACCGTTCCTATATGTATAGTGTGTATACATATATATATATATAGCCCTATAGTATTCTACTTCTTTTGTTCAGACTTTTTTTTTAAGCATTGATATTCCCCACTGTTGCTGCTTAATATTTCAACAGTAATAACAACACAAGTCTTGATGTGACATCTATTCATTCATAAGCACAAAACAAAAGACTGTTCTTGACATGAGAGACAGATAATTTAAGTAGTGATGACAGAAAAGAGGGAAGCCCAGAGTATGAAGAGTAGGCAAAGCATTGCTGTTTTACAAAGCAGGTTCCCGGGGGTGGAAGTCATGACTTCTGGTCAACTCCTTATCAACTGTCCTAGTAGAGAAAGCCATGTGATGTCCAAAAGGCTGAATCTCTTGCACAAGGTGTATTTGTTTGGGTTATGGAAAGATTAATTGGTCAGCAGGTGAGCCCAAGTTGGGTATTGCGTTTGTACGTTGCACAGAGGCAATGGTATGGTAAAGCTTGCAAGGTTTCCTGTATCCTGTTCAATGTTATGTGGCCAGGTCAGCTACAAATGCATGTAGGAATGGTTCTTGTGAACTGTTCTGTCTGAGGCCTTCTGAATAAACTAAATATACAAAATTATTTAATCGTAAAGAAAAGATGCAAAGGAGCAGCTATTTTTTAAATGTGACTTTTATAATTCAGCACAACTCATAATGTCATCTGACCGATGTCTGTTCGTTTCTCTTCCTTTTCAAAAATTCATTTAAAGATATCTCGCCTCCGGGATCTGACAAGACTTCTTTGTGACTACGAGAGTTTTGAGTCAATTCAGCGTATTTGCCATCTCCCTAATGTTAGCTTTGGAGACCTGTGTGAGCAGAGTGAATCTCATGAGCAGCTCCTCCGCACTATTGAACTAAGCAATCAGTTTGTGGCCAATGTACTGAATCACAGAAGAGTCTCTCAAGAACTTCAAGATATTCTAATTGGGGATGCCACAAACATCCAGTCACAAGTGAAGTGGTAAGGTTCTCTTTCTGAGTTACGCTTCCGTAATACTCTGCTTATGAGATGATTGAATGGCTTCTTGCCTTCTTTTCATATTCCCCACTTTACTACTTATTTGTTGGCTTTTCTTTCCCCCTAATTAAGGTTTCAAGAAAATGTACCAGAAATTGCTTTCTTCCAAGAGATTCCTCAGTATATGACTACTTTGGATTCCATGTTGAACATCACTGAGAATTTAAGAGATACTAGTGAGCAAGGTAGTTTCCCATATTTACTTTATGTTGGTTTGTGAACGTCATCACTGATAGAATTTCTGCTGGCAGTCGTATGACTCATTTAACTGTCTGGAAGAGCCAGTCTTAATGAAATAAGTATATACCTTGGGATCCTTTATCTAGGTTAATTCTAGAGCCAATTTCAGACTGTCCATAATTTGTCTGTCTTTTTTTCATTGCCCCCAAAAAGCTTAGTATGCTAAAAGACCTAAACCTTTGATTTGGGTAAAGGGTGTAAATGGTGGACACGGCTGCTGATGAAAAAGCTTGCAGGAGGCAGTGTGCTAGGATTTACACTCACATTGTCCTGTGAGTTGAAGCTGACTGGTCTCACGGTAGTGGGAGCCTTGTTTCTGGGTATAACATTAAGCAAAGTTTGCCTGAACACAAAGTCCTCTGTGCCTGAGATTGCTCTATGTCTATATGTCTGGAGAGAGCTGTAATATAGATTTCTTTTTTTTTTTTTGGTTTGCTTTATAGAAAAGCTGAGAGAGATGTTTAAAAATGTGGAGCAGCTCAAAGAGGATCTCAGAAATACAACAGGAATGTCCGTAGCCGGCATTGATGCTCTCCTGGAAGCATCTCTTCCAGAAAACATAACTCAGGTCTCTGTTCACTGTGATTCTGGTGGGAGGTCCTCTTGGTTTTGCCTCTCAGGCTGTTAAATCCATGATTTGCTGATGAATGCAGCTGAGCAGATCACCGAACACATGACAGCAGAGAGGCATATGTGATCCCGCAGACATAGGCAATGTTACAGATCAAAATGTTACAGATCAAGATGTTGCAGATCAGAACTAGGTATGAAGTAGGAGAAGTCACTAATGTCAGTTCAGCTGCTGGAGACTGAGAGCCACATGGTCTCTTTGGCTGTCACCAGGAGCTGGTAAGCAGCCCCACGCTGCTTGGTGAGTGGTTGCTCAGCACAATTCTCTGTAACGGAGTAGTGAGGACCAAGTGTGTAGGGTCCTCAGTGCTGAGGAGTTGTTGCAATCCAGGTGGGAAAACACAATTCCAACCAGGATTCGTGAGAACAGTCTGGGATCCAAAAATAGCTTCCTGAGGAGAGAAGAGATTTCTGTAATGAGAGATGAACTTGCCTTCCTTGACCTCGCGTGCAAGTAGAGCTCCAAATGCTTTTCCCCTTCCCAAATACCTAGTCAGGACTGAGCCCCAAGAAGCACTTGCTTTTCCAAGCCTCTGCATGTGGCAGTCAATAGGAAACTGAAGCCATAAAAGCCTTCACTACTGTGCAAGTTGGCATTAAAGTACAATCCTTAAGATTCGCTCTTTGAAACAGGAGTAATGGGGAGACATTTTATCGTTCTCAGGGATAAAATATGACATTGTAGAAATATGGCTGAAATATGACATTGTGAGCAAAAACAAGACAGGATTAATCCATGCATGCTGAAGCAGTCTAGCCCCTAACAAGTCTTTTCATTTTCTTCCACAGCTGATTTCTCAGATCTTCCAGCTAGAGTCTTGTACTGTCCATCCTGCTGACACACAGCTGCAAAGAGTAGCAGAGGAGTTCTGCAATCTCTCCCTTTCAGAGCGGAGTCGTAAGACATACATCCTGGGAGTCACTCTCTTACGACATTTAGACATTTACAATTTCCTGTACAAGGTTAGTGCTGGATTTGTAGAGTATTTTCTATAGTCCTTGTTGCATGTAGTCACTGAAAGGTCATAAAATATCATTGCAGTGGCCAGAAGCTATGCTGATTTACACCAGCCAAAGATCAGGCTTTGCTCATGCAGTATTATTTTTATTGGATATCTGTGCTGTAACAGTGCAGATATAAATGAAGAGCCCAGCTGCTGTAAGCTGGCAGACCTCATTTGAAGGCATTGGACCTACTCTGTATGTCTCCCAATCTGCTAGTATCATTTATATGCTGTCACAACCTCTTGAACATTCCCAGCTGAGTTCAGGCTTCCCAAAAAATAGAACATTGAGTTTTTTTTTTTTAATCATTATTATTACTCTTTGAAAAGAAAAGCCCTGCAGAAAGTCTTGGAAAAAAAACCCATTTTCCTAATGCAATTGTCATTGTGAGGTAATTACATGATTCAAATACCCCACATGTATAATTACATAAAAAAAAAAATGCCAAAATATGTTCACTGAGAAATATGTATTGAATGCATGTTTAAAATGCTGTAAAAGAAGTCCTGGCAAAAACCAGATTTTTAAATGAGAATGCCAGTGAATTTGGCTCAAGTCAAAAGCCATTTGTAGCGTCTGACCTCTGTGTTGTACAACATGCTACCCTGGCCCAATTCTGATGCACGTTTCCCAATTGTAGGTGTTTGGAAACATGCTGTTTAGAATATTCAATGTAATATTCAAGGAAGAGGTTTGCAAAGTCACTGGGGATTTAGGAATAGAAATTCCATTCATTTCCCCTGGGACCTCTGTTCCCTAAGCCTCCTAATGGCTTTGAAAAACCACAGTTTCTGCCTTGGAATCAAAACAAGAATATGGATGTGTGCATGTTGTGTGCACACACAGGTTCCTGCTAATTGTAATTGATTTTCTTCTTGTTGCTTGTAGATGTTTTTCCCGAAGGAACTCCAAAAACCTGTGGACAAGATGTTAGGCCTTCTGACACAAATGAAGTATTTCAGGCACCAGGTTGAATCTGGCATGCATCCACTGCTACAAGCTATTCATTCACTCAACAAGCTCCGACAGTCTAGAAATGTGCCTTTGTCTAAGGTATGTATAAGGTTTGCATTGGAGACAGTTTGCACAGAAATGTCTTATCCTAGAGGCCAGAGGTGCATTAAAATCATGGGTTATTGGGTCTATTTTAAAGCATCCTCACAGCATTCTCAGCTAAATTGTTAAATTCACTCAGTTCTGTATCTTCACCTGTTCTGATCTGCAGTGTATGGCAGCCCAGGTAGCACTGATAATCACTTTACCCAGTCATAGCAGGACCATATGTAGTCAGGGACAAATTGGGATACAGGATGTGCACATCTGTGTGACAAAATCTCTCTTGTAACCCAAGATGTATAAGGGTTGCCAGGCACTCTCATTACACACATTGCAAGCAATTCCTGCATTGTATCCCATGCCTTAAAGTGAATTTCCCATGTCTGTCATATTAAAAGTGAGCCATAAAGGCATATTTTATGTTCAGGTATTCCAAGTAAGGGTACCAAAGAATATGCAGATAGTTTCAGGCTTTCCAAGGGAAGACCCTTGTTTTGTAGAGAGAACTTCTGATATTAACTCAAATATTTAATCCCTGCTCTCTAATAAGAATAAGATTTCTCTAATTCTGCCATTCTTCCTTCCCCTCAGAATGGCATTCTTTTAACATGGAGGATTTATTTGCACTTTTTTCTCTTCTACAGGCCATATCAAAATCAAACAACTTTAAGGTAACACATGGAACATTTAAATCTATGTCAAAAGTTCTCTGCAACCAGGAGATTGCACCCTTGTTTTTTGAGTCTCTGCTTCCTGATTTCGGAGACCCTGTAGGCAACAGCTCATCCATTGAGGATGTCTATGTCCAAAAACTGATAAGGAAATATGGAATTCCTCATGATTCCAGTAAGTTTGGCCTTACCTTGAGACAAAAACTTTTTGGAAGTCAACCCAAATATTTCTAGCGAGATTTAGCAGTAAACTGTTTCCCTCATATGTCTCTGGAGAACTGATAATTTATGCTAGGTGAGAATCTGCACTGCTCCATATGTTGGTGGCTCATTTTCACAAAAGGAAAAAGGAAAAAAGCATCTGTAGAGAACTTCAACATCTGCTGCACTGTTTGCCAGATCTGGATGATTTGGTTTTAGGGCTTCACAGGTCACTGGTTTTTTTTTGTTTTTTTTTTTTAATGTAGTTTTTTTATCTGGACTGACACTACTAGCTCCTCTGAGTTCACAAAAACCCCATTTAACCATCAAACACAGAATCTTGGCTTGGCCAGTGAGACTCTTGTTGACTTTCATTCAGCAACAGGAGGTGAGGGTGGGTTACTTTTGTCAAGACCATTTTATCAGACCATAAAGGGGATTCTGAAGTAATTTGTGGGACACGGCAATGAAACAGGCATACAGGAAGAACCCACTGGTAGCTCTCTTCTGGTCTACCTGTGCTCTGTCCAATTTGTTTTTTTATCCCCTTGCAGCACCATTCTGTTTATCCTTTTACCTGGACTTGGTCAAGACCCCAACTGGTGCTTTAATTTGGTCTTTCCTAAAACCAATGGTTCTTGGGAAGATCCTTTATACACCAGATACTCCAGGAACTCGAGCAATCATGGAGAAGGTATGATTCTGCTTATAGTACATCAGGATATGCCCACTCAAGGGTATTTTAATTCCTCTGCTGTTCTGTCCTTTGTATTTATATAAACTTTACTGCCAAACAATTGCTGTTGCTCTGATATCCATAATAAGATTTTCCCAAGGCCTTCAGTTTGTGAAGTTTCATCCCTATTTTCAACTAGCAGTGGTGAGACGTCTCCCAGAACAAATGCTAATCAGCACTTACTGGTAAACAGGATAATGGTAGAACGAAAAGTGGCAACCAAGACATGCTCTAGACATTGCATATGAGCCTCGCATCCGATTTCAGCATGTGCTAAATTGGCACTTAGTTGAACAGTGATAAGGTGCCAAGAAAAATCCTAAAGAAACAAAATCTGGTCTTAGCTTTTTCATTCTCTTAAGTAGTGAATAAACAGAGCCTTATATGGTGTTTTTTGTTTGTTTTTTTTTTTTTTTTCAGTCTAATACAACACTGACGCAGATGGCTGACCTGTCACTGAAGTCCCAGGAATGGCTGGACAAGTCTCCTGTCATCATGAATTCACTGACAAAGTTAAACCAAACAATTCCGATTATCAAGGTACGAGGGTCTTGCCTCTCTTGGGCCTCTTGCAAGAGGGATTTTTGTGGATGATTTTCTTCACTGAAATAAATGGGTGTTCCAGTGGTTTCAGGGAGATCTTATTGTAGCTGGGAAAAGCCTTCTTAGGCTTTTGTCCTTGAGTTCCCAGTTCCCAGACATGCCTGCCTGTCCCCTTAACAGAAATAATCCTGAAGCACCTTGCCATGCAAATCCTCTTTCTGAAATGATTTGTCTGTAATATGTTCCCTGGCACTTTGGCTGTGCTGAGGCCTGCTGGAGGGCTAAGACGAGTGGGGAATGCTCTGCAGTTTGTAAATTAACTTTCTGCTTGATGGAGTGATCCAGCCAGCCAAGACCAGCCAAGAAATGACTTTTTCAGAAAATGAAAAACTATCTATAATAAGCATGTAGTTCTGGGTGCACACATAAGAGCTGGAAGATGTCTTTGTACCTCAGTGAATCTAAATAAAATTTCCTTTCCCCCTTATAAGAAGCCTATCTTTGCTTGGATGCAGAAAGCAGTAATGCTGTAGTGTTTCATGTACTTGCTTTGCATTCTCCCCCATAAAAATTGTCTCCTTTTCTCACAAGACTATGGTGGCTTTCTATAAAAATGAGATCTCTGGAACCCTAAAGCATTATAAGTTAATTTCAGTGGCTTGAACACGTTGCAATTTCCGTGGCACAGTGAGAGAATCCAGGCTGGAATGTGTGAAAGTGAAATGAAATGCTCTCTGTTGCCTGCATTTGTTTGTGGAATAACGTACAATTCAAACAAACATCTGACAGCTGGTCTCCTAGCTACACGTTGGACCCCCTTCATTGCACTCTGGCTGTGTTTACACGACTTGAAGCAGACAGAAGGGCCATTTACTAACAAAGATTTCAAACTCCAATTTTTTTCCAGGGGAGACTAATTTCTAGTGGTGTCTAAAGGTGTCTTCTGATTTCAAGAAACACTGAAGTCCTTTTCATTGCTATCATTTCCCCATCATGATATACAGAGAATGAAAAATGGAAGGTCAAAAAAAGAGTAGGAGGAGGTTGTATAAATGCTCTGTGAAGGAGACTGCTCTGTGTTACTTTAGAAATGCACTGAATAAGCTCACAGGACTTGTGACCAAACTGATGCTCTCTCTCTTTGCTTGTTGATAGAATGCCCTGCAGAATCCGTTTGTGCAGGTTTTTATCAAGCTCATGGTGGACTTGGATGCAGTTGAACTGCTGGATCAAATAAATGAGCTGGGTAAGTTGGTCCATGAATGTTGCCTTCCTGTTTGTGCTCCAGACATTGGTAGTTCCAGATCCATCCTCGGATCCTCTTCCTGTGGCCAGTATCTGATCTTTAGCACATGGCAATCTCAGCTGTCATTTAAAAAAAACTTAGTAGCCTGTGGGCAAGGTCTTCTAGAAAGCAAAGGACTTGCTTGAAGGGAATTTGCTCGCAAAAACGACAGCAGTAGGAGGATGGGAATCTTTGCAGCTCATTGTGGCCACTGGAGGACACTGTTTAGCTGTAATTATCACTTCAAATGAGCTACCTGGGACTCCGGTGGGAAATGATGTAGACCTCATTCACATCACCCACAGGGTTTAGCTTAAAAGTTTCCCAGAGCAGAAAGGGAAGGGATCAAATAAAAGAATCCTGGATGATCAAGTCAAGGACATTAAGAAAGATACTCTGCCAGAATTTGTTGTTCTTCAGCAGTTGTGCATGGTTGTGCACAGTGAGAATTCCTGATGTGCATTATGGGAGTCACCAGCTAACAGAGCTGATGGTAAGGTGCTCACAGCCCCTTCCCATTTTTTCAGTGGATGCTCATACCTGTACCTACACATCTAGCTTATACAAGTCCATTACAGTCAAAAGGATATCAACCTACTGTTTACAGTGAACCCTGCCTACTAGTCATCTCACAAGTAGTACCTCTGTCTGCACTGCCAGTAAAATCATAGTCCCTGCAGCAGCTGTTCCGTATTAGTTACACTGCATTATGCAGTCACCTTTTAAAACAGGAGATGACAGTATCTTTATTAAGCTGCATTATCAGGTTTAGTACACACATCAGCACAACAGACCTAGCTTTTGCTTGATATGCCTGGCAAAAGCACCTTCTCCCCTGAGACAGAGCAGCTCAGCAGATGTGCTGATTACATCGAAAGCCATTACATGTGGAATGAATGGTGAGCGTCACATTCAAGTCTAAAAACCCAGCAGGTTAATAGCAACTTCTGATTTGGGATGGCTGTCACATTCCATTGCTGGCATCCTCCCAAGGGCAAGCTCACGAGTACATTACGAGCGATTAACATAAAAATTGGGTCAACAACATGCCTTCATTGCCCTGCTAAGTGCAGAAATGTATTTTACACTTAATGGATAGTATGATGGCTTTTTTTCCTTCCTGGTGTCATTGCTAATGTAAAGAGCAAAATGATTTGATGTTGCTTTTGTTGTGTGATGATGCCACTGAATTTTATTTTCCAGATAATATTCGATTGGAATTACAGAACAACGCCGACATTGTCCATCAGTTGAATACGTTAGCTACGCTTGCTGTGAATGTGTCCTCATGTGTCTCATTTAATCGCATTCAAGCAGCCAAAAGCTTGGAGGAAATGGAAATGATGGCCAAAGAGCTCTTTTTGAAGAATGAACTTTTTGCAAGTATGTGGCAGTTTCAAGTTAGAATTAGTCTAGGTACAGGATGAGGGTCCAGTGCAAGAGGCTTGGCTTTCCATCAGTGACTGTCGTAGTCATGGCTCTAGACACACAACACCGGGTCTGCCCACCAGCACTCTCAGATCTCCTTATGGCAGTATTTTGCACTATCCCTTTTATTTCTGCATGGTTTATACCATCAATGTTTGTATAGAAAGCCTTTAGTAGACTCATCTTTTCTCCAGATTAGTTCTCAACTGAACGAAGTTTCAGTGCCCTTGGTAGATCTTCATGATAGAGCTTCTATCAGGCCTCCCTCTAAAGAGAAAAAAAGTGCTTTTCTTGAGCAAGATTTGAGACTGTCCACTTTATAAGGAGATCACAAAATTCTTTAGATGTTAGAGCCGAACAAATCAGTACTACAGTGTCTCTTCATGTTTAAAGCTTTTACATTTTGTAGGAGTGGCTTGCAGCATTAGGTCACACCATGGAATGGAACAAGTGGGGAAAGATAGTATCTTAATTTGAATGATAAATACTAGGCTTTTTTTTAAATGCGTATTGTCAATTAGAATTTATTTACAATTCTCTTGACCTGTTTGGTTTTGTGTCTCATGATTCAAGTATTGACATAAAATTTTCCTTTTCTTGAATCATCAGACCATGATAATTTTAATACTTCATCAGGAGTAGACAAGTTTCCTCTATGCTTTTCCTCCATTCAATTTTCATGCTTTATATATTAAATAATTATGCAAAATGTTCTGGAAAGAGAACCCTCTGTGGTATATTGCCTCTATTCAAACAGGCATTTTAAAACAGAAGGTACCCCATCTGCCAGACTTCACTTACAGCACACCATTGCCTACCAGGAACTTACAAAGCTTTTAGCTTCTAAGATATTTCTCAACTTTGTATGAGATCCTGTGTGCACAAAAATGCATGTAGTCCATGAACTTGTCCTTGTTTAAAACAAAGTCTGTGAGGTTTTTAAGTCAGAGCATCACTATGCAAGATCTCTCAAACAGTGCACGTGCTGAGTCACATACACAATAGATATGCGTCAGTCCGTGTTAATGCCAAGGCTTTTCCAAACACAGCTGGGTATTTTGAGAGCCTTTGGGCTTTCTGATGCTCAACGGGGAAAGCATTTAAGGTATATTGTGTATTTAGCAGCGAGGATCATCGGTCACGTTCTGAAGTGCAAGTGGCTGCAGAGGTGTGTAGTGCAGAAGAAACTAAAGGAAACTAGAGTTTTTCATGTATCTGTGTGTACTGCTCTAATGCTATTGACTCAAGGTGGATAAAAGCATTCTCCCTTTCTTTCCTAAGGTATCATTTTCAAGCTGCCTTCAAGTCATAGTGACCCTCAGCATGTTCTCCCTCCGGTGCTCAATTACACCATCCGAATGAGCAGCAGGATTACCCAAACCACCAACAGAATAAGGGAGCGGATCTGGACAGTGGGTCCGCACAATTCAACCTCGCAGAGCCAGATTTACAGCCGGGCCTTTATCTATATCCAGGACAGCATTGAAAGATCCATTATTGAATTACAGACTGGGAAGAGGCTGGAGGATGTAGCTGTTCAAGTCCAGGCCATGCCTTACCCCTGCTATAATAAGGATATGTAAGTTTATGTGACTTTTTGTCCTCATATTGGAATTGTCATGGTAGCTGTGAGTTTTACTGCAGATGTAATTTGCTGCCTCTACTTCATATGTTGTAGAACTAACTTGACTTGGCAGGGCTCAGGTTAAAGATAAGACTGGCTTCTATTGGATGTTTACATGTAGACAGAACAACAGAATGAGAAAATGTATTTATTGAGCAAAAAAAAGGCCCCGAGTTTGAGCTCTGTTCCTTGACACTGCTATGTAGCTGTGGTATTTGTTATTCGTTCCACCAGTTGCAGCTAATATTCAGTACATGGTGAACAGTTCTCAATGCAAGTGCCTCTCACAGATACATCAAGAACAGTAAGAAGGAATATGAAATGGTACTGTTCTCCTCCACAGTGATAGAGGAAGACCAAGGAGCTTTTGACACACTGAGTTGTCAGGGTTCACAGGAGGTTATATAGAGCAGTGCAGTGTGAATGGTGTGTGGCCCAGAATAAGATTTGAATGATAAAGCAGATCCAAAGTTTTGGATTATCTTCCTTTCCACTGATCTTGAGCTAGATCTGCAGCTAGTATAAACTGTACCTCTGCCAAATGCAATACAGAGAAGCCAGTATCTCACAGCTGAGGACCAGCCCCTCTGGCAAGACAATTGTGGTTGGCACTGGAAACCTGGCAGCGTAGTTCTCCCTCTGAGTTACTGCCCTGACCACAGCTGGCGGTCAAACCGGGTGAAAAACACCCAGGGAAGGAATTTGATGTCCGTTACAAAGCATTGAAGGATATTCAGCAAGTATTAGTGGTGGGGGGACAGTCACGGCACAACTGATAATAGGAGTGTCTTGCTTGGACCGGGAGTAAAGGCTCAGCCCAGGAGCTCTTCCTACTGAAAAGCCCGCGTGTCTCCTGCGTGAGCTAAAAGCAGGAGCTGGAGCAGACACATTAACCTCTTGTGTTGTCCTATCACTTAGGAGAGCTAGGGGCCTATAATCTTGTAAGGTAACTGCATACAAAGTGCCTGCCACTTTTTTGTTCCTCTAGGTACGCAGGCAGTAGGTATTCATCCCAAATGTCAACTGCTTGCTTGCAAATATATGGGTTATTGCTCTGAGATACTCCTATACCATGATTAACTGGCTGCCAGGGCCAGGTAGTACAGGGTTATCTGCTCCCTTTCTTGTTTTTGAGCTGCTAAAAAAACACAACTTGCTTTTGGTATCCTCGCCCTCCCCCAGGTTCAGAGGGACATGAATTTGCTCAATTATTAAAATACCTAAAGGCTTTGGAATTGCATCCCCAAGAAGTCATTATAAAATGGATGTCTATTGATCGTTATTGCATAGTTGCCATCCTCTAGGGAGACGATAAAATCTTGTATACCACTGTGCAGAAGGTGTGGGGAAATGCTGCATTTTTAATAGCCTAGAGATCATGCACAAGGTGCTAGCCAAAATAAAGAAGTGGAGTTACTGAAATGCCTTTTTATTGTTTGTTTTAAATATGAGTTCATTTGTACAGAAGCCTTTCCTCAAAGCACTGCTTTGGGGAAAATTTTCATTTTTTCAGAGAGAAAATTATGAAACCCCAAAGTTCATTTTTTACTGTTACTGCACATTAAACTTTTCCTAGGAAATAACACTGGTATTTGTTTAAAGCCAGGGCTAGAAATAAAGAAGGGAAGAATAAGCCCTGTAGATAAAATGAAGCGAATCTCCTGCTGTAAAAACACACTTTCCATCACAGAAGGAGGGTTTTACTGTTGGCCGTTGTTATTTCTTTTCTCTGGGCACACTGAGCATGGGAGGAAGGTTTTTGATTAAAGCCAGGAATAGAGGACTGTGAAGTCCACCTTGCAGATATGGGGGGGCAGATATGTCTCTCTGCTGGGAAGCACCTAAATCCAGACTCAAGGACCAAGGTAATATGGCCTGATTAGAGATTTTCGCCATTACGTTTAGTGACAGAACTGGCTGAAGTTTTTCAAACTGGGAGATGCCCCTCATCAGAGAGCCAGGAGATGTCCCTGCCCAGTGGCAGTTCCTGCTCAAGCCAGTGGTGGTATTGAGCAAAGTTACTTCCAGACATTGCTGGAAATAACCACAGGCAGTAGCTTTATGAATGGAAAATCTAATGCAAGAGCAAAATAGGCTTTTTTTTGTAATTATTAATTATGTTCCATGTTTTGAAATATAAGCCTTTCTCCTCCTGTGCCAAAGTATTATTCTGAAAAATATATTCAGTATAAATCCTTAATCCTCCAAGCATTTTGTATTCAGCTAAAGCCCGTGTTTGTCTTTTACAGGTTCTTAACCAGCGTGACCTACTCTCTTCCATTTGCTCTGATGGCTGCCTGGGTGCTGTTTATAGCTGATTTTGTTAAAACACTTGTTCAAGAGAAAGATCTGAGGCTTTATGAGGTACGCTGAAGCTTTCTGGGGCACGCAAAATTATAAACAGATTTTCCTTAGTAGTCAATAGTACATTTCATGTGCAATATTAAATGGAGCAAAACGAGCATCAAGGAAAATGGTGTTCTGAATACCTATTGTTTGACCTACTGCTTGAATTCTGACATTGTAAGCAAGTTCAAAACTAAAAATGCAGGACTTTTGCCCATAAAGTATTGAGACCATTACTTTGTAGTTCTGAATACTAGAAACTTTGGGCTGTCAAAAAATTACAAGTTTGCTGAAGATTAAATGCTGTCTAAAATTTATGTTAAGTCATGCCTAGTGGGGATGAAGACCTGAAAAGTGGACTTATTTCCTATCCTTGAAATTACTAAATATTTCAAAAGGTGCTACATCTTGTATTAGTTCCTCTGAAATGGAGCTCTTGATTCCGCTTGCCTATTGGAAAAGAAATGACAGGGAGACAAATGGAATTTACTTAATTAATTCAGGTTTTCACTGTGAACAAAGTCAACAGAGATGAACAGCAAAGAACTTCTGTAAAACTAAGCTTCAGCAAGCAACAAAAGCTCCAGCAGATTTGTTTTTCATCTGGTGCCATGGAAACAAACGCTTGTTCACCAAAAAAAAACTCAGCAGAAAAAGGGTGCTCTATGAACTGTAATAAGATTAAAATGAACAAACTCCACTGGCTAGCTGACAGCCGCTTATCCTGGTCTTGTGAATCTAGTTTCATTGTCTCTAAGAATCAAGGTGTCTGCAGTCGTTTTAGGGGTATAATAACCTATAACAAGATGCTGGCAGCTCGTGTTCCTTCAGGATTGTGCAATATAAATTTCCATTGCTACACAAGTCTTAGACTTGTTCATCAGATGATATAATTTAATATTGCTTCATTAGAACCATGCTAATTTACCTATTATTGTCTTTTGGCGAGGGTTAAATATTTTTATTTCAAATATTTTTTTGAAAGTTTCTTTACACTCAAACCACCCATTTCCATGGTGTTATTTTTAAAAGTAAACAAAATGCTTTAGAAAAGCAACAAACCAAAGGCAGTTGTGTCTTTGGGGCCTGTGGGATGCAACAGTTTGTACTTGTAGATCCTGTCTATGTTGACCTTGGCAGTGGGCTGTTTTGCCAGTGTAGGACATGCCAGCAACGCGAGTGCTTGGTTTCTCCCTTGTCAGCAGTATGACACTATGCCAAAATGTGAAAGTGTGTTTTGATTTTATGCCCTGTCGAGATACTGAAAAGAGAAGGACGAAACAGTTCAATATCAGCAAAAAAGATGTCTTAGCAGTTGTTTGTGGTTCTTTCTTTCACCTTTATGTAGTACATGAAGATGATGGGCGTTAATGCCAGCAGCCATTTCATCGCCTGGTTCATAGAGTGTGCCATCTTCCTTTTAATCACTGTCACCTTCCTCGTCATCGTTCTGAAAGCAGGTGACATCCTTCCAAAAACAAACACAGCCCTCCTGTTCCTGTACCTTATGGACTACAGCCTCTCCATCATCGCCATGAGCTACTTCATTAGTGTTTTCTTCAACAACACCAACATAGCAGCCTTGGTGGGCAGTCTTGTGTACATCCTCACCTTCTTCCCCTTCATAGTGTTGCTTGTCATTGAGAATCACTTGAGCTTCTCTGTGAAGAGCCTACTGGTAAGTTTTGCTTTTCAGTAACAAGGATCACGTGTGTGAAAACAGACACTAGCTTTACGTAAACTTGCACTTCTGTTATGATTTGTGTCACAAATATGCATGAGTTTGGTGCTTTTCTAAACTCCAGAAGTGGGTGTTGACAAATGCAGCAGCACATGACAAGAAGTTTGTGGGGGGTCTGCTGAAGGAAAACCTAGAATTTTGTCCCATGAGTGAAGGCCATACTTGTGGCATTTTAATACATCACAGCCTGTCAGCTCAGAGTAACTTGACCTGTATGTGTTGCCTTTTCTAGTTGCAAAACCAAATGGCTTAGCTGCAGCCTCTGTGAACAGTAAGGCTGTGTCCAGTAAGCGGGTTAGGTAGCAGCTAATTACCTATGTTCTTTATGCGTGTTTACTTGTGGAAGATTAGTGCCCTGTATGAGGAAGGAAGTTTGGCCTTGAATATGGGAAACAAAAGGAAGGAGGATTCTTAAGTCAGGATTATAGCCTGTCCCTCAAAGTGTCACCTGTCACTGATCTAGTCCATTGCTCTTTGAGTGGCTATTGGAATAAATATCACTAATTCAGGCTCCTGGATCAAGTCTGTGAGGTATCTGATTGCTGACTGTTTTGATTTCTCTCTGAGATTAATTCATAAACAATTTTGTATCAATATTTTTTGTTCCACAGAGCCTGTTGTCTCCAACAGCATTCAGTTATGCAAGTCAATACATTGCTCGATATGAGGCCCAGGGCATAGGTATGTTTATTGCAAACAGAACTGTACTTTGAGTTGTCATGATTGTGTCATTTCATTAACATGGTTTCCTTTGTCTGCATTTCTAAATTCCTTTCTGCAGGTCTGCAGTGGGACAACATGTATAAATCTCCAATGATTGGAGACAACACTTCCTTTGGCTGGATGTGCTGGCTTATCCTGATAGATTCTCTCATTTACTTCATTCTGGGATGGTATATAAGGAATGTTTTCCCAGGTAATGATATGAAACTTTAAGACTGCAGTAGTATACCTGGAGAAAACAGTGGCTAGTGCTGGAATTAAAGCAATAAGACAGTCAGCACACACAAGGATGCCCCTGTTTCAGGATCAAAATGGACTTAAGTTGGTGGGTCTGGGAGTATTAATGGATCCTTTGAAAGGACAGAGCAGGGGAGCATTAGGATTCTCCTGCTAATCACATGGGTAGTTGGGACCTCTGAGTAAGTGGAGACCAAGGGAGGAGAGGAGGATGTGTGCACTCTGGTTGATGGAAAGGAGAACAGAGCCCGCTAGCCTGCTTTTGTCAGGCAAGTGATTCTGTGTTGCATTACTTATATCATTTGATTTCAAAACGTAATTCCTGCCGTGGGCAAGAGACAGTACATTTGTCTTTTGCTTTTCTTTCCCACCTAATGAAGCAGTCCCCTGGCACGCAGAAATCTACCCAGTGGAAAATGTAAAGTACTCCAGCCCTCTGGCTATGAAGTTATTCAGAATAATATATTAGCTAATACTTCCTGCTGTGTCAATCATGAGAATATCCTCTACCAAGTGTCCGTAGTGCATGAGCACATATAGAGAGGAGAGAGTTCTCCGCAGATTTTTTTTCTTTGAGCATATCCCAATTGTGGTGTATCCTGTAGGATACTTGAATATCTTTCCTCTTCTTAATGCAGGAAGATACGGTATGGCTGCTCCCTGGTATTTTCCATTGCTTCCGTCTTACTGGATTGAGTACAATGGTTATATCCCCTTCTGGAATGAGAAACGAAGAGCCTTTCTCTTCACCAAACTGCTGTTAAGGAAAGAAGCCACCATCAGCAATAAGATATGTATGTGAATGCTAGATGGGGTAATGATGCTAGCTTATATCTTAAGTAAATGAAGGGACACCATTTTCTATGTAGTTGTTAGTTTTGTGGGCACACTCAGCACATTTCTGTGTTCCTCTCAATTTTGTAGCATAGGAAAGTTTTAAAGCTGCTACATATCTGAAAGGAGACATCACTTTTAAATTTTACTTCCTATTTGTTTTGGAATTCTAAACTAGTATTTGTATCTATATTTGTTTATGTGTATGCTATAGGTGAGCAGTTGCCTTGGATATAGCGATCTCACTGCAGCGCTCTGTGTAGAAATACATTTTTATTTGTACAATCAAATACAGGTTTCCAATTGGGAAAAGAGATGCGTGCTTCTATTTTTCTCTCTTTCTAACCTGTAAAATATTGTCAGACCACACGTAAGTGCTTGCTGATCCTACCTAACATATCTCAGTAGTTTTGCTCTCTGCCCTCTGCTTTTCTTGGCTTAGCGTAGATTAAGTTAGGTGCCCTGAAACATTTAAATACAAGACCTGTCTGAAAGTGATTAATGTTTATTGTCAGGAGTTATTAGAAGTTGCAGAGGTGAAAGGGAGAAATCCTGGAGAGCACAAAAAGATACAGTTCCTTCAAAATATTCTTTACATTCCTAGCTGAAAGATGCTTAGTTTTGATACATTTGTTTTTTTTAAAAAAAAAGCCCTGAAAGAAAAAAAGGCAGCACAAATACTTGTCTTCTGACCCTTCCTTTGGTGTTGCAGGTGCACCCCCTCCTCACCTCGAACCGGAGCCCACTGACCTCACCTTAGGAGTCTCCCTCAATGGCATAACCAAGATCTATGGATCCAAAGCTGCTGTGGAGAACCTCAGCCTAAACTTCTATGAAGGGAACATCACTTCCCTGCTGGGACACAATGGAGCAGGGAAGACTACGACCATGTATGTCTCCTTTAAAGCAGAGTTATTTTCTTTTTCTGTAGAGTGCAGTCCGTAGAGGAGGCAACAAGTGGGACCACACAGTGATTTGAGGCTGAATAAGATGCTTTAGTAGACCTGATCTCTTTGTAGTTTCATCTCACTCTTTGACAACCTAAGCAGGACCTTCACCTGTTAAAGGATATTCCTATTTTTGCATAGGAATATGCTGCTTAGTCTGCAGGATTCCTGTAATGCACAGCAGAGCCGCTCTTCAAGCGATGCTCTGGTGCCCAGGGTTAGGCTGATCAGCAGTCAGCAGCTTGTGCTCACACCAAGGTTGAGTGGTATTAGCAAAAAAAGCTTAGTAATGGTATATTTAAGCTGTGCATATGTGTAGGCTGGACAGGGAGGGCATTGGGCTAATCTGCTGACCTTTCAGTCCTTTTAGCGTTGCCTTTTATTATTTAAATTGTTAGATGACAGCCCTGAAATAGACCTGTAGAACTTGATTTTCCCCACTGATATATACATACATATATATGCATCAATGTGAAAGCCACATGAAGCTGATAAGTATAACCCCCAGAAGAGCCAAAAACACTGACAGGTGAGCATTCCATCCCAGCTAATTACAAATTCATCTCATGCCCCCTTTGCAAAGTGTAGGCAAAGTTGCTATATAGAAGAATATAATGGCTTCTAGAAACTTAGCGTAGATCTCAAATCCTGAGTAAGGTCACAAGTTACCTCTCCTTTTCTTTTTAATGATGGCTAAAAGGCTCAGGAGAGAGAAAAGCTCTGGGAAGGTGAAGGGCAGTCTGAGATGCATCTTTTCTCTTTAGGCCCAGCAGGACAGTGATAAAAATGACCCATATTGTGCACGTAGTTATTCAGGATAGAAGTTTTTTAACTCAGGTCTGTTAGGTGTTGCTAGGTAAGTAACTATTTGCTTGAACAAGATGGGAAGTGCTGCCCTCCATGAGGTGTCTTGTCTGGGAGTCCTCCCTTGTCTCCTGCTAATAATGGCAGTGAAATCAGGTTTCTATTGCTCTGATGTGGTTAGGAAGAGAAGATGTGGTTTTCTAGCTCTGATGTGGATATCAATCAAAAGCAGCCTAGACACTGCAGCCAGACCTCAAAGGATGAAGAATACCTGCATTAAATGAATTTCCAAGGATTAAAGTGGAAGCCAAGGGGATTCGTGTGGATTGAGGTACGAGTTGTGCACAGTAATCTGACTTAGGAAGGGAAAGATTGGTGGGGATGAAAGTGCATGTTAAAAGTCACCAGAATTCAGTGTACAAGCTCAATATTTCCCCCGTGTTGTCACAGAGGTGAAGGAGGAAGGATGCCTTTGCGTGTTAGCCAGCCACCCCTCAGCCAAAGCACCAGGAGAAGCTGAACTTTCTCGTGTCTAGCTATATACAGAAGCATGATGGTGATGTAAGGAAGCCTTGCAAGTGATGATGGGTACAAGACCGTGGAAAGATTTCTTGTGGCTTTCTCCTTTTTTTACTTCCTTTTCTATTTATTTTTCCCTTTCAGATCTATTTTGACCGGGCTGTTCCCTACATCATCGGGTACTATTGTTGTCTATGGCAAGGACATCCAGACTGACCAGGAGGTTATCAGGAAGAACATGGGGGTGTGTATGCAACACAACGTGCTGTTCAACTACCTCACCACAAAGGAGCACTTGCTGCTCTATGGGTACATCAAAGTTCCTCATTGGAGTAAAGAGGAGCTCTACCACGAAGTGAACAGGTATAAAAATAGCAGGGCTGGAGAAGGGAGAGGGCTGCCAGAATTACTTATTATGTAATGTCATCATTGCCACTGCAAAGTTCAGATGTGTGATTTTGAGCTCTGCTAAAGGCTCATCTTAAGAGTCCAAATAAGGTCTGACTAGGGGAATATATTGAGCATTGACATCTGTGACTAAGAAAACAAGGTCTCTTCTCCAGGGGGTTTACAAGCTTCTGTGGCAATTCTTTGGAGATGAATTACAGGTTTGGTCCTTGATTCTTTATAGTTTTCCCCAGAAAGAGATTTAATCAACAAGTCAGAAAGATGATGCTAGTTTTATTGGTTCTGCAAGGAAGTGACGCAGCCAGACCATCCCAGGGAATTTGGATTTGATGTTCTCAGTTTATGAGGTTACGCCTTTAACCTTGACTTGTCAGAAAACACTCTAAAAATGTTAAAATTAAAATCCCAGTGATTGAGCTGCAGGGTGAATCATCTCTCAGCACTGTAACCGCTCAGCAGGGCCGCCCACATCTGAGCAGTTTTTCATCTATAGTTACGTTGTTTGCTGTTTTCAGGTTCTCTGCTTTTACAGTATTCTTAAAGTGCAACCTTTAGGGTTTGTTTTTCCTTTGTTTTCAAGGACGTTGAAGGAGACTGGACTGTATGGCCATCGTCATAAACTAACTGGCTCCCTGTCTGGGGGGATGAAGAGGAAGTTGTCAATAGCTATTGCTCTCCTGGGCGGATCAAGAGTGGTGATACTGGATGAACCAACCACAGGGGTGGATCCATGCTCTCGGAGGAGTATTTGGGAAATCATCTCCAAGAATAAAAAAGGTACCTTGATGAGGCAAGATGCCACCCAGTGGTAAAGGTGAAGTGTGCCACTTTGGAAAATTTTTTTTAATTCTCAAAGAATTTTTTTTGTTAATTCCCAAAAAATGCTGTTTATTTTCACCTGATATTGTGTCCTCGAATGCAGTGCAGCTTTCGCCTGTCTCTCCTCGTTATGTGTGCTTATTCTGCGCTGGCAAACCTCAGCTCTGTGTTTTCCAGGCAGAACCATTATTCTCTCAACGCATCACTTGGATGAAGCAGAAGTGCTGAGTGACCGAATTGCCTTCCTAGAGCATGGAGGGCTCAAATGCTGTGGGTCACCGTTCTATCTCAAGGAAACCTTTGGTGATGGGTACCACCTGACTCTCACCAAAAAGAAGGTTTGTGTACGGTATTTATAAGAATGCATGAAGATTTATGTAGAGTTCACCCTAAATTTTCAGACTGATATAAAGAAAAATGTTTCTTTTTATGATAAACATCTTGGGTGGGATATCTAATCAGTTGTGTGGCAGGAGGAAAAGAGACAAGTTATAGTGTCCTCCAGCAATAAAGCATGTTGCAGAAGGTTCATCTCAGTCTTCTCTCAACATCTTTGTTGTGGAATGGGTATTCCACTATAGTCTCACTAAATTTTCCAGAGGATCTTGCAGAGCCATGATGCTTTTTGATCCTCTCTTCCCTGCTGGACCATCACTCCCTTTTGGTGCCTTGTTGGTCTGGCTGCCACAGCAGATGCTGCTGGTGGCAGGGACAGAGATTTGCCTGGTTTGTGGATCCACTTTGTGCTAAGTCAGAGCTCTTGGCAGCTTGCTCAGCAATGCGACCACTTAGGACTGTCAGCGGGAACTGAGTGACAGGCCAGCAGGTTGTGTTAGATGCAGGGAGACACCAAAGAACAACGGAAAGTCTGGATGTGTGAACACCACTCCTTAGAGGTGCTACCCCAGCGTGTCACCCCCACTTTCCCTCAGAGCACAGGGAGGCTTCAGGAAACTCTGCTTTTATTATTATTTATTAAGGTAGTATTCTTAGACCCAGCACATATTCTCCTGTGCAGATACAGAGAGAAATCACCTTCTCTCCCAAACTGGTAGCAAGATAGAGAAAATTAAAAAGGACCCATGTGCAAGCCCCATTTTTAATGTAGAAGAAGGACTATGCTTGTGCTGGCAGCCCAGTGCAGATGTCATAGCAAGGCTTTATCTCTGTCTTGCTATAAACCATCCAGCATGTGCAAGGAGGTTAAATCAGCTCAATTCCATCACATCTGTGGACAGAGGGAGCCCAGCCCTGAACATGCAAGTCTGGATGGACCCCAGCAGTGCAAAGCATGGCTCCCCAAAGGACCCAGAACTCGGCTCTAGCAGCAGGGAGCCTGAGAAAATCTGTACCACAGCTTGGCATTGAACTTCCCATGTCTCCTTTGAGGGCCATAACCCAGTTTTATTTCTTTGATGTTTAAATAGGAGTGTTCCGTGGCTGGACTGAGAGATGATCTACGTGGTTTTGCTGTGAGACAGGATTTCAGTTGAATTCTGCAATTGCAAACTCAATCTCAGAGCCCTCTTGGTGACCACAATGTGTTTCTCATTTTCAGAACATGATAGAGGAGTGTGATACAGCAGCAGTGACTTCCCTGATCCAGTCACACCTCCCTGAGGCTTATCTCAAGGAGGATATTGGTGGAGAACTTGTGTATGTGCTTCCACCTTTCAAGTCGACAGTCTCTGGGGCCTACCAGGCACTTCTCAGAGCTCTTGATACCAGTCTGAATGATCTTCACCTTGGTTGCTATGGGATTTCAAACACAACTGTGGAAGAGGTAAGAGCTCAGAATCCATTCAGTTTAATGAAATGTGGAGATTAAAGAAAGACTAGTCCAAAGAACTCCATTTACTGAAATGGTAATCAGAATCCACTCCCCTACACACTCTGCAGCTCTCTAGTCTTCCTTTTTGTTTTCTTGCTCCATAGGTGTTTCTCAATCTGACAAAAGAGCTAGGAAACGGCCAGCAAGAAGATACTGAATTGCCCCAACAGCTGCCTGGATCCAGTGGCCAAATGGGCAGTGATGCGATGTCTGTGAGCACAGATACCTTCACGGAAAGAGATGGTACTAATTTACCTCCAGGTTTTATTCCAGATTTAACCAAGATGCAAACAGTGATAATTGTACTGATTAGGGCTCCATTGTCCTCTTTCTTTGCTGCAAACCAAGCAACACCCCACCTGGAATCATGAAACAATAACTCCATGAAGTACAGTGCTCAACAGTTGTTTAGATGCACTGGTTTGAGTAGTCTGAGTCATGGGATAAATTACAGAGGGTTCTGTTTGTATCCACCTTCCTTCAAATTGATTCAGGTTTTAATCTAATCAAATACAGTGTGTGGGTGAAAAAACAGATGTATACCTCTGCAATTAACTGCTGTAATTGATGTAGAGGACTAATTCCTTACAATTAACTCTATTTGAGAAAAACTTTATGGAATCCCCTTCATCTGCTGCAGAGACAGCAGAGCTCAGAGCTGGGTCTGCTTTCATGCATTTTGCTTTGTCAACAGCTCAAAGGGCCAGACAGCAGGGTGAGATCAGGTTCAGATGAGTGTCAGGCTTTACTGGTGTCTCTGAGGGCTGCAGAAGGAAGCATTGCCTAAAAATGAGTAAATAGCTGGTTGCATCTCCTCTCTTACAGAGTAGAAACATATTTTTGCCTATGAATATATCATTTATAGATAGAGAAACAGCCAAGGGACAGCGCAGAGGTATTTTCAGGCTCACTTCTCAGAGCTGACCTGCACTTTAAATGTGCAGCAACATAAACAGTAATTCAGATCTGTAGAGAAGTGTTTTATGTCTCCCCTAATGAGAGCACTGAAGATGATTTGCTTCGTGTTGTATTGCATAGATGAATATTTCATAAAGACGAATGTGTTGCACAGGGTTTGGCTTTGTTTTTAGTATGCCACAACCTTGTCCATGCAAATGATCGATTAGTTTATGTGCCTTGTTTGCTTGTTTCAGAATGAATTCTGTTATTGATTTGTGTCTGAGGACCTGCTTTCTAAATGATGAGAATTTTCAGTTTGCTAATATAAAAGAATAATATGTTTCCCTGGCAAGCTACAGCTGGGTAGGTAGGAGGTAGATGACTTGTTGCATCTGGAAGTCTGTTTTCGTCTTGCAAGATGTCAGAATGCATAAGCAACACACACTTATTAGAAATCGTGCAGAAAATCAGTATTACTTGGGCACGTGACTCCGAAGCCAAAACCTGAGTTCTCTCCTAGGTCTGATACTGTTTCATGCTTGCATGTGTTCTAGCCTTGTAGTTTTTATTTTCCATCTGTAAAGGAGAGTAGGAGGCTAAACTTAGCTATACAGGGGTCCTGTAATCTTCAGTTGCCTATATTTTACGTGTTCTGATCCTTGACAAAATGCATTTTTCTTCTGTACCCAGATCAGCTCCTGATCAGATCCAAAAGCCTGAAGGGTTTGCCCTTGCTGCTCAAGAAGACCTCAGCTCTGTTCATTAAGAGGTTCCACCACACCCGCCGGGATGTCAGAGGCTTCATTGCTCAGGTCATCCTCCCAGTCCTCTTTGTGACAGCTGCCATGGGGCTTGGGACGCTGAGAACTAAAGAGACTGAATATCCAGAACTGATTCTTTCCCCTTCCTTGTATGGCACAGCTGACCAGGCAGATTTCTTTGGGTAAGTGGTGTTCCTTTTAGACCCTGCACCTATTGGACCTATAGGACCAAACCTATTGGTTTATAAAGAGCCAGTTCTACAATCAGGCTTATTTTTAAGCAGATTACTGCTTTTAATCATGCAGATAACCATGTAATGATAAAATTTTCTTCCTAGTGAGTCTCTTGGGAATGTGACTTTGCTCGACCCAGCAAGCTGAGGGCTCTAGAAAGAAAACCTCTCAGTTGGAATGACCTATGAAACATGTTAGAAATACTGTTTGCTTTTGGAGACCTCTGGCCCTGTAACAGCCTTTTTTTCCCCAAATGATTTCTTTAAAAAATAAGAAATCATTCCCTTTAATTAGAAATGTGAGCATCCACATCAGTTGACTCCAAAATTAGTCTGGAATCCAAGTCTGTCCTGTGAACTGTCTGTATCACCCTCCTCTCTGCCAATAAAGGACAGTTCCTTTAGGAACAATGTCAATACTCTCCTGCCCAGATCTTGCTTGCCCAGGGCACACAGTCATTTGAAGGGCTTGCGATTTTCAGTGTCATTAAAACTTTGCCACTGAATGATTTCATTGTGTTAAAAAAAAAAAAAAAAAAAAAAAAAGATAAAACTCATCATTTTATGGTGTCAAAATCTGTTGTTCTCTAGTAGTTCTCAGCTTTAAGTCACAACTATAAAACTTAGCTCAGACATCGTTACAGATCATACATGTCCACTTTAAGGTATTTTTTCCCAGCAATGTTTCTGTAAGATTATATGGGAGAAGGAGCCAGACACACTTGTCTCTGAATTTTTTATTCCTGATGTTCTCTATCTTTCCTTATGGGTGATTGCTAGAGAGCTGGATCAGAAGGGAGAAGTACCTTTCTGAATGACCTACAACACATCCTACATATTCCTGAAAATTGCAGTAGATTACTGACCCTAAGAACAGAATTTTGATTGTCCAAAAGTGCATCAAAATCTTACTTAGCTCTGGAGGCAGCCAAGTGCTGGAGTAGGTGTGCAGCTCTAAGCAGAGAGTCCTCCTAAACCTGTGCGACTGCCCTAATGTGTTGCATGTACTTAAATTGCTTGCAGCATCTGTACCTAACATAATAATTTATTTAGCCTCATAAATAAATCCTGTTTCATTCAGGCACAGTTTTCCTCTGGTAGCAGAAGTATTTTGACCATTTCTCTCTCTCTCTCTCTCTCTCTCTCTCTCTCTCTCACTCTTTTTTTCTCTCCTTTTGTTATATCTTAGGAATTTTAATGAAACCACAGATGCTTTAGTTGCTTCAATGCTTTCTTTCCCTGGAACAGATAACACATGCATGAATGAAAGCGACTCGTAAGTAGTTCTCGATCTTCTGTTTAAATTCCTGATCTGCGAGAGGGACTGCCCTAACATTAATAGCCATCAGACCTTATTAACAATCTTTAGTCACCTACAGATTTTTTTCGTATGTTAGCGAGGGTCTACATGGGTCCCTGTGTAGCTTGCAGTGAAGGTTCATATTTACCAGCATAAGACTAAGCATCTTTGAACACAGCAAACTACACTGTGTTTTAGGGCAGAGGTAGGGAGTTCCCCAATCTCAGCGCTTTGAAACCACTGAGTTCACTTGCCTGCAGAAGTATTCAACATTCAAGTGGACTCCTTGGAGTAGAGGAGCAGCTTTGGTGGTGATAGGATGCCAGGACCAGAGCAGGCTGTTCTCTTATGCAGCCCTTCCCTTGCTAATGATCCCATGTATAGCGCTGAACCCACCCAGAAAGCTTTCAGAATAGCTGTTTGTATCTAAAAGCTCTGCCATAAGGGTTGGCTTGACTGGAGGTCTGCAGATTTTCAAGAAATTGGTACTAAACTCTGGGCAGGCCTGCACTTAAGGATTTCTGCTGACTAGGCACAACTTCTACACCATTACAGGACTTGCCAATTACTGCAGTAAGAGTAGCTACTAATTTTAAACTGTAAGATAATTTTGGCCTTTGCCTGCTGACTCTCTGTGCTCTCTCCTGTGGGAGTCGAGCAGTGTCTTGGTTCTTGCTGATCAACTGAACAAATCCAGGCACAGAGAGCAGTAGTGAGAGCTGTGTGTATGGAGCCACTGAACTCAGTTGCAGGAAGGGCATTTTCTGGAGCAGCTAGGGTTGACAAAAAGCTCTGCTCTTCTGCTTAAGCTATGCACTGCTGTCATTAAGCGTGACAGCCTTTAGTGTCATTTGCACCCGTGAACATGGAGAACCTCAGAGGAAAATGTGCTCACTTTCAGGCAGTGTTTAACGGAGGACATGCTTGGCCAGTGGATTACCAACGGAGATGAGAGCGGCAAGTATTCTGCCTGCAACTGTACAGATGGCATCCAGGTAACCTTGAGTAATCTTGGAAGAGACTGAATGAACATGGGGCACTAGGAGGCCTTGCGGGATCTGTGAGGCATGATACTAAGGGCATCTCTGATGTTCAGATTTGTCTCTTTTATGGCTTTGTTGTTTTTGTACCCTGGCTAACCATGGACTGCATCAGTTTGGGAGAAGGAAGGAAACATCATCCTCTGAAGATTCACATGTTAATATATCTGTCTGTCTAGCTCCTCTTGGTGGGAGAAGGTTTAATAGTGTTTTTGACTGTTGTGTGATTGTCCCATTTGGCAGAGGTGAGCATGTATTCACAAGGAAGATTGCATTTTATTTATATTTTGCTCTTCAGAATTTAACTTTATGCAACAAGTAGTTCCATCTGTCTTTGCTCAGTATTATAAATAGTGATGATTAATAGTAACAATTAGCATTGCAGTGGTACATACAGAACCAGATATGGACCCTGCTAGGCTTAGTGTCTTTATATATGCTTAAGGAAGAGAGAGATTCTGCCCCAAGAGCTTTCCAGTTTAGTGTGTTGAGCTGGGAGTCCAGCTGACCTCCCTTTCATGCTGTTCACCAGTCTTCAACTTTTTCCAGCAGGAAATAAGACCCAGGGCACAGTGTGATACTGTTTGTAAGGTAAAGTGTGCACTTAGTTGAACATTCCTAGCTATTCCTTAAAATGCAGCTATTACGCAATTTTTTGGACACAGTCTTAATCTCACATCATTAGAAGTATGGCATCGTTTTTCCTGTAAGTCAGGCTACTGTGTGAAACTGATTCTCACCTCCAGAAGGCACAGGCAGGTGTTCCTCAGCATGAGAGAAGCTAATTTGTCTATTCTGATGCAAAGTTATGAACAGATACATGATGAGGAGGCTAAGGTTTTTGTTATGTATGAGCTAAAAGCAGCAGCCAGCATGCTGGCTGATAGGATATTTCAACCTTACAAAGCAGTTGATGCAAGTTTGACCCTCGGTGTGTTAAATTACATATTCGGGACAAGCCCAAGGTTTCTTTGCAGCTCTAGACTATATTTCCAGTGACTGACAATACAGCAAAAGCATCTAGGGTGGCTGCTGATGAATGGAAGTTGAGAGTTTGAAGTTGCTGCTCTAGGAGCTGTTTTGCCCTCTCTGTCTATGCAGTTGCTCTGAGGCTCTGCTAAAGAGGACAGACCTGCATTCAGCAAAAATCTTCCTTCCAAGCACCTTTCAGAGTCTCACTGTTGCCAGTAGAACTGTCGATTCAAGCCAAGGTATCCGCGTAAGCACCTTGCTAAGTGTGTCCACATCAACAAACAAGGATGTGTGCAGGGTGTCTCAGCACCCTCAGTTGCAGATCACTACTTTCTGTAGGAATCAGGCCCAGGACCAGAATATAGTCATGACCTGTCCTCATCTTTTTCCTAAAACCTCGAGTTTTAACTAAAACGACAACACAGACCATCTTTTTCATTTGTTTCCTCTCAGACTTGCCCACCAATGAACTATTCTGCCCCTCACCGAAGAACCTTCTCCACACGGATGCTTTATAACCTCACAGGGCACAATGTGGAGACCTACATCCTGGCAACTACCAAAGATTTCCTGCAAAAACGGTACAGTGCCAGTCTCCAGCCCCTCTCCTAGGAATTGTTTTGGGGGCAGCAGCTACCTATACATGTAATTCCATTAGATGGTATACCAGTTAGCCAGCTGTTTTGTATTGGCATCTTACGGATGGTTAGAAGCAGAAAGGGGGTGAGGGTGAATATTGGGAGTGTTATCCCCCCTGCTCCTCTTTCTCCCCCAGATTGTGGCAGCAGATTGTGCAGGATAGGGAATAGAAGGGCCTCGTTGCTCTTGGTTTCTGTGAATCTGATGAAAGAAGGTAAAATGTATTGCAATGATAGAGTTACAGGGCAAGGTTCTTGCAAGTGCTGTGCTTCATCATAGCAGAGATAGCCTAGGGATAGCTTGTCAGTCACACGATAGGCGGATGGCTGGATCTGCAGACAAGCCTTTGTCTGGCTGTGAAATATTAAAAAAGAGGAAGATCTGACGCAGCTTGTCCTGAAGTAAACCCTAGAGAGAGGGTAATTTTCATCAAAGTTTGATTCTCTGAAGAGTCTCAGTGTATGCTTCACTTCAACAAGTGCCTCCATTCCAACAAAGCCAGAAGTTGAGTGTTTTCTTATGCCACGGGACACCAGAAAAATAGAGCTATCAGAGTGTCCCGGTGCTGCAGCAGAGTGCCTGGGGCAAAAAATCCTGCCGTTATGGTAGTCAAGGGATGTGTTCGTCTGTCCGCTGGTCTCAGTTAAGCTGCTCATCTGGGAAAATGAACTCATTCCAGTGTGGTACCCAGCCAGATTAGGAGCCTTATGTGGCTCCAAAGGGCCTTTCAGATAGAGGCTGCCAGCCAGAGTTTGTGACAGAGCTGCCAAGTTTGTTTCCCTTTCTTTTTCCCCACAAAAGGGCTCCTGCAGTATGTGGCCTAACAGCACATACTGCAACAAGCCCTTCTGTACTGTCTCTTTTAAGTCACCTGGGATTAATAGGGGTGACAGTGCCATGCACTGCATGAATGCTGCAGCAAAGGCCATGCTAAGTGACACAAACCAAGGCTCCAGTGTGTCCAGATGAGAGTAATAACATATTTACCTTTGGTTTTCACTCAGATATGGTGGCTGGAGCTTCGGGCTGCCTCTGACTCCAGATCTCCAGTTTGATATCAGGCCTGTGCCCCCCAACAGGACATTGACTAAGGTAACTAAACTTCCTGCTCCTAAAAGCAGGGGAAATGTGGGACTAAGGAGGGAGTGCTGTGAATGCAGGGATATTTCAGGAGATAAAAATGAATCCCTCTGAAGGCTGCAACTTGGTATGGAGGAGATGACTTGCATGTCATTTCCTTTCCTCTCCCCATTCTTCTTTATTGGCCTGCCTTCTCTTCCTAGCAGGAAACAATTTTTCTGCTCTTATAATTTTATTGTATAGAGGTGAGAAGATAAGTTAGTGGCATCTCTTTCTCCTGAGAGAGCGTATATGTATTAACTAGAGCTGGCTTGTACATTCTGATTTACTGGTTTCTCTGTTTCTGCTCACTGAAAATGTTGTAACACATCAGTGTTAAAAGCAACAAGGCTGAAATCTGAAGTAGCAGGGAAATGCAAGAGAGTTGACAAGATGTAGATATCTCTTGGCAAAACCTAACTACCATGGGAGTGCTCCTGCTAGAGCAGTGCTGTTTCCAGAGGTGCTTCCAGTGAAAGGGAGTCACAGGGCTTATTGCTTTTTAAACACTCAGAGCTCATGTGCCCAGTTGGCAGATGTTTTTCCCGCTTCCCATCTTGCAGCCTCATCCTGCATTTGAACATTATTTGTGTTTGCTTATTGCTTGTCAGATTTGGTACCTGGAAAGCTGGATAGTGTGGGAAGTGGGCAAACTTCCAGCCTTCTTTTCCTCTAGCAGTGCTTGCTCTACTAGGACTGGGAGAATAAAACCACTGAGGACTTGGAGTAGACAAAGACAGTGCTATGGGTAGTGTTTAAGCCTCTAACCTTAATAGCCTAAACCCTGTTATGTCCTTGGGGAGATAACTTACACCTTTGACTCAGAGCCTGTGCATTGTGCCCAAAGTAGATGATGGTGAATTCCCACAAAGTGCATGTCCTGTGCTGTGTTTTTATATATACATAAGAACATATATATTATCCCTAACAATTTCTCTCACTATTTGTTTTGATTTCTCAATTGTGTACAGGTATGGTACAACCCAGAAGGCTATCACAGCCTTCCAGCCTACTTGAACAGCTTGAACAACTTCCTTCTTCGAGCTAACCTGCCAAAAAATGAGACTTCCAGATATGGTAGGTGCCTCCTTTGCATGAACAGGTATTTTCTCCCCTTTGCAGGGAATATCCTGGTTCTGTTAAATTCCGTGACAACACTTATCTCAACTTCAGTGAGGCCATTTTATTTCCAAATACATGGATGCCTTTAAAAGCATGAATTGAAAAACATGAATAAATTGCATTACTCGAAGACTCACTGAAGTTGAACAAGGAAGCCCTTAGCTCCTATGTAAAACATTTCCTTTATCCCACAGTTGGTGACAATTCCTATTTGTCTTGCTGCCTTTCGCCGTTATAGTGGAATAACTGGCTTTTAAGAGATGCCCATTATTTATGCACAGAAAAACTACCTTAGGTCATCTCCAGGAGAGGTTTATATTAGTTAATTTTCATATTTCACCCTTCTGCAGAGAGCAGCTCAGGAGATGTGTGTGCATGTGTTTGTGAATGCGAATGAGGGAATTCATGTGAGATTAAGTGAGAAACAATTTTTAGCTCTATTTTTCCTCTGACACATGACATACACAGTGTTACTGGCCCATGTGGGGTTATCAGTTCTCAAAGCTTCTCCTCACTAATGTGATGCAGCAACCCAAATTCCCCCTGATAAACCAGAGTTGCCCTAATGTACTGGTTGCTGTTTAGCCTACGTTAAAGATGAAGTGTGGACACAAATATTTGTATGTATGTATATGCCCCTAGCAATGAAAGGGGTGCAGGGAGAGGAAGAATTACTTAGGCATTTTGAGAGACTTATTCAGAGATTGGTGGGGTGTGATGAGACTAGTGATTATGGGCAAAAATGCTTTGCTGGTAGATTTTCTTTGACAAATGCTGGCCTTTGATCCATGTCCTGATCGTACTTAGTCCCTTTCAGCTCAGCTGGGCTGCAGCTGCAGGTGCAAGTGAAGTAGGTGCCACTATCTTTTTTGTTATGAGCTCTTTGCTCATGAGGCCTTTCCCCAGTGATGAATATGAATTTAGATATGATAGAAAAGGCATCTGGTCTGAAGCTTTGCATGTCATGCCATGAATTAAAGACACGGCAGAGTGCTGATTACAGAATCAAAACAAGATGCCTCTCTTCCAACCTCCACATACTGATGCTGTGAAACTCCCAAGAAGCTCAGCTCACAACAAGCAAAACCAGCACTGAAACCAGCACCTCCGCCCCACTGCTGTCCCGAAATACCCACGGGCTCGGGCACTTGGGATTTGCAGCATGTCCTTGAGGTCAGAACAGCCGAGCAATTTGGTCTGCCCTGGAAGAGCATATTGCAAAGCTGCAGCCTCTGCCCCCGTGGGGAGAGAGGAGACCCGAGCGGAGCGCTGCAGCCGCACAAACATCCCAGAGCAGCTGAATTATTAAGCAGGGAAGTTTGCCCTGTCTCTGTATTCCCAGCACATGCTGCAGTGAGAGCAAACACAAGAAGTTTGTGTGAACAGTTGGAAAGTTTTCCTGGGGATAGTCTGCTACCAGCGAAATAACAATGTTCCGTGAAAAAGAATAGCCCCATTTTTTATTCCATCTGTCCTGCTGCTTCTGTGGTTTTGGAAAAAAATAAAGAATAGTAGTAAATGACCAGACAGATAATTCTCCACTTCTCACTAATGATCCCATCCATAGAATGAGGAAAATAAAATGAATGGATGAGGATAGCTCCCCCAGGGTAGTGTAAATCCACTTTGAAATATAATTGAACAGACGTTCTGTGTGGTATGTTCCTGGCAGCTAGGTCTATTTGTTGTTATGACAAATAAATGACAGTTTAAGAACCATTGAAATGGCCAGATAAAAGGATGTTGTCATTTCAGCAGTTTAAAAGAGGTGCCAGTCCTGCTTTAGACGTTTGACTTAGACTGCATATATTTTTAAAAAATATATAAAGAGCTTTTTACCCTGTCACTAAGCAAATCGTAATAGCTTTTGACTTATGTATATTGTGCTTTTTCTTCTCTCAATCCTGACCAACAAAAAAGAGAAAGCATTGAAATGGAAATTTTGACTTCTAGCCTAAGCTTCAGTAAAGAAAAATGGCTTTATAGTGAAGCATTAACAGATTAGGCAGACTTTTTCTCTCTCCCTTCTAGAGAAGGGAAGCATTTCCTGGCTGTTGCACATCTTTATCGGCAGCCTGAGTTTTTAATTCCATTTTGCTCACTGACAACAAGGTTGAGATTTTAGCCCTCAAAGAAGAATTTTATGTGAAATCTTTCTTTTCAAATGTATACGCTCAGTTTGGCATTTGATCAACGAAAACCTGCAGTCTCCTCCTCTCTAGCCATATGTCAGAGTGCTAGTTCTTAGGGAAAGGAGCACGGAATAGTTCTTCTGCCTCGTATTAACTACTGAAAGTCAAGCACCTGTCTGTAAGGAGCTTAAATTTCAGAGGTGGTGTGTTCTGTGTTTTTACAAATCTTTTTGATTTAATAGCAAGTAGAGGTCCTCCAGCCCACTCTGAGGACTAAGGCATTTTGAGTGCCTAAGTGTGGATTTAGAACCTCAGTTTTGGGCACATAAACATCTGAGAGTGAAACCTTTTATAGGTGTCAGAGTTTAGAGACTAGGCTGTAATTGCACAAGGCTTCTCTGGAGCTTGGGGGTGTCCCAGCAGAGCCCCACAAGGTTCCTCCTCTTGTTTTCGTTTTTTCCTCTAATGAATGAGAGAATGAATGAGTTGCATTAAATGTTGTTTTTGGTTTCTTTAATAGGTATTTTCTTATCAGCTCATCCATATCCTGGAGGACAGAGTCAAGAACAAGTAATGTAAGATTCATTTGACTGTTGCTTGAATTATTTGACTGCAACAGAAGCAAACTTGCTTCTTCAAACTTGCTCCTTGCAAACGATAAGCAGCCTCAATTACTGTATAACTTCCTTTAAATGATGAAACTGGCCTGTTTCCTCCCTTTATTCTCACTACCCACAAGTAACATCCCTCATATCACCAAGATTCCTGTTAGGCTTACTTCACAAAATCCCATATTCCTCTGGAGGTCGCAGCCAGAGCATCACACGTTGTACTTGGGTGTAACAATAATAATTACATATTTTTTTTCTCTTGACTTTTCTCATCAATATTCTGGTGCTGTGTTATAACTCACTGTTGCCAGTGCTTTTAGGTTAGGCAAAATATCTATTGCTATCAGGTCCCTATGTTCAATAAGAAATATTGGCACAGAATTGGGACCTCCTTGCTTCTGAGCTCCCAGCAGTGCCTCTGCAGTGAGAGAACTCCACCACCTTGACTCCCCATGTACTTCTTTCTCCCCTGTTTCTCCCCAGGCTGAACAGCTTGCTTGATATCATCGTTTCAATGTCTGTTCTGGTCGGCTACTCTATCACAACAGCCAGTTTTGTGCTATATGTGGTGAAAGAGCATCAAACCAAGGCCAAACAACTGCAGCATATTTCAGGCATCGGAATGACAAGTTATTGGCTCACTAACTTCGTTTACGATCTGGTAAATAATTCACATTCTTAATTGCATGAAGAAGAGAATTCAGTAGCAGGATGGGGAAAAGTTCTTTCAAGCCGCTTGCCTAAACTTATTGATATTATCACTGTCAAGAGTGTTATGTAGTAATTGTTCTCAAAGGCGCTGAACGCTATTAAATGGGAACCAAAAGACTGGATTTTGCCGAGCAAAGGCATTTCTCTTCTCTCTTGAGTGTATGCAAAACACTCGGTGCATTTCTATGAAAGCAACAGAGAAGAGGCCAGAGCTTGATTTGAATTTTAGTATGCAAGCACCATGCTGCTTTTCTCTTAGCTTGCAGGGCTAGATTAGCTGTTATGCAGGCTTTCTGCATCTGGGTAAGGATTTGGGGCTTGAGGCTATAGCCATTTTGGATCACTGGGAATGCAGGGTGCTCCATTGGCAGGCAGCTCCCAGCTGACAGTCCTCCATTGGGCAAAAAACCCTTGGCTGGATTGAATGCTCACTTTCCATTTTTATACTGCAGAGGTTTCCAAGCCAAGGAAAATTACTAATGCAGCTATATGTCTTCTAGGACCCGAGCAAGTTCCCTGCTACAATGCTGCACTGTGCTGCACAGATTTACCACCTTGTTCCTATAGATAGTTGAGCTGCCTAGCACTGTGCTGCATTATGAGGTGTGGGCATGCCCTTCTCCTCCCTGAAGTTTCAGTTCCCTCATGATAAAGAGGGTTAATAGCATTGCTGGAAAGTGTCCCTGGGCTCTGAGGATAAATATGCATGGTGTCTGTAGGCTCAAGTGCTTTGTGTCTTATGAATTACTTTCAGTACACAGTGTCAAACCTGAGCTTAGCTTGAGCTGCGCATGCAGCTTCTCTTTCTGCTTGTGAGCTTTGCCATTGCCCACTACACTCTACTGGTGATCAACCCTACTTAGCTTACAGATCGCCACTGGTGCCATTTTACTAGTGTCTAAGATCCCAACAACATTTGTCAATTTTTGAACATACGAAGCCTTCAAGGGCATTTAGGTGGCCAGGCCCTGTTTCATCCCATAAGGACTAAAAAAATCCTTTGGAAATGTGAGCTTTGGCTCTTTCTGCACAGCCTCCAGCACAGCTTAGCCTTCTAGGAGTTAAAGTAACACCAATGAATGTAACAAGGCAGCCCTAACGAAAGATCACTTGCCACCAAATATCCTGAACAGCCTCTCTTTAGGAGCTGGCATGGTTGGGCAAAAGCATGAGCAACCCCTGGTTTGCACAAGGGGCTTGAAAAGGGCAGCACAGCTGCAGACCAGCTTGGCAAAGCAGCCCCAAGAAACTGTGCAGAAGCCCAAGGATGCAGGAAGACTTTTTCTGCTTCCTTCTTCAGGGCCCTCGCTCTAGCACTGCGTGTTTGTAAATCTGCCTGTGGAAGAATCCCCAGAGTCCTTGCCACAATCAGCATTCAGCGGGCTGAAACTAATCCAGCGCTCTCGGCAACTTGATATTTCTCCATGAATCCCTGCCAGTAAATTCTGTTAAATCCCAAAGCTGGGGAAAAGAGGAACCTCTTGAGGTAGAGACTTGGTAGGTCCCTGGCTTGACACAATATAATAAAGAGCAGATTTACAGGGCACAATGAAGTCACCTGACCCCAAGGCTAACAGGGAAACCCAAAGGGGTATTTTTCATTCACACCTTTTTTCTTTTCTTTTTTTTTTCTTTAAAGGCACTTTCTGCCCACAGAATGTTGAAGCTGAATGTTGCAGCTTCCTAAATGTTGAAACTTAGCCTATTCAAAAAGGCTTTAGGGGAATTCATGTTCCAGTCTTTCCGAAACTTGTAGAAGCCTGGGACCTCACCTGCATTTGTTTTCCCTTAGAAAACACAAACAGCACTTGTGGGACCAAAGTCAGAACTGGCATTCCTGCTTCTGTATAATTCTAGAAAAATGCTTAAGAATACTCGTTCTAATAACATGTTTTAATATAATTTTGCAGGTACTCTTTATGGTCCCTATTGGACTCTCAATAGGAGTTATTTCAGCCTTTCAGATACCAGCTTTCTGCAACAATAATAACTTACTGGCTGTATTTCTTCTGCTGTTACTGTTTGGGTAAGTGAGGAGCTTAGTTTTTATTTAAATATCGTTGCACAGAGTGAGAGATTGTGCCTTGCAGGCTGCTCTGATTTGGGATCCTAAGGAGAAATACAGGGGCTTGGTTTCATCTGCCCATCAAGGAGCAGTGAGCTAAACTGCTGTTGTCATCCCTGTTCTATTCACAGCAAACTCTAAGTGATGGTATGAAATATTCAAGGCACAGTGACAGCCCAGGCTGTAAACACTTTCTTAATGAACTATTGCAAAGTTTGGAATATAGAAGCATTTTAACATCGGGACAACGCGAGGGGGAGCAGGAAAATTTAGATAAAACAGGAAAATTTAGGTTTCTCATACTTCCGGTCTGTCTTTGTCTGGTCTACATGGTAAAATACATATTATAACTTCTTTCAAATTCTGATGGAATTTTTCCACTAGAAGACATTTTTCTTCCCATGATTATAGTATGAATTTCCCTTCTGTAATATGAAAATCTAGTAACATTCTTTTACATAGTGCCTGAGGTGTGAGTTCCTGAGCTGAGGTCTTGAGTTGCTGGTTTTTGACGACTCATTGAGCTACTGTAGCATTCTCTGCACTGTTGGTGATTTGCAGATACGCAACATTTTCATGGATGTACCTGCTGGCTGGGTTCTTCAAAGAAACAGGAATGGCCTTCATCGTTTATGTCTGTGTCAACTTGTTTTTTGGCATCAATACCATCATTACCCACTCAGTTGTGTTCCTGCTCTCCCAAGAAAAGGCCACAGACCAGGTAGGTCTCTGATGATGCTGCAGTTCATCAGCTGATGCTTTTGGAGTTACCAGTAACTGGGTAAAACAAGTTGTGTTGTTGAGTGTGTAGGTTTGAATAGGATCCTTAGCAGTTGGCTGGTTTCAGGTGTTTTGAGACAGGGCAAGCAGAGGAAGCACATTGAAGGGTTTAGAGGGTTTCCTATAGGTAGGATGCAGGACAAATAAGTCCTCCTTGTTTGTGTAAATCTATTGTTGTAGAGAAGAAAGATATAATGTTGTTGTGAGATAAGTTTATATATAAAAAAAAAGATAAACTTGCTTGATACAAAGTTGATGGGGACTTAACCATTGTTCAGCCCTTGCAGTACAAATTGTGGAAAGTGACAACTAGATTTCATTGCCCTGAGTCTAAAGTGTGCTGTGCTAAGCACAGCAACAGTTGTCTGTCATCTAGACATGTAATGCAATCATCTTCTCCCTGCAAGGATGAAAAATGACTCAGAGACATTGATGTTTCCTTCAAGTCAAGCTTTGTCTTAAATAGTGATTTCCCTGGGAATCAGTGGGTTGAAATGTGTGTATTATATATATATTTAAAAAAAAAAAAGTAATTACCTGATAAAACAATAGCTGGGTCAGAATTTGCTTTCCAACTTGATGGTGCCCATTTCACAAACCCTGGATTTGAGGGATGTACAGTTCTGATCTTCTATCCTTTTGTGCCCCAGAGAGTCTCCCCATCCTAAGCTATTGCCTTCCCACTTTGCTGTGCACGCTAATCCTTGCTGCTTTAGTTAGCAATGTACCAAATCTCCGCATAGAAAGCTCCTAACTGCTGGTGTGCATACTTGGCTGTTTTGCCATGAGTTCAACTGGAAAAGCACCTCCATGTCTATTAGAGAGAAACCCTCTGTTTCTGGAGATGGGTGCCCAAGGAGAACTGGTAAGACTTGGGCTGCAGAGGAGCAGGACTGGGGAGCAGCCGGAGCACCTCCTGAGAACCTCTGCATTGGGCTGGTGCTGCGGCTGCCATGCAGCTCAGCAGGGAATATTCAGCCCCATTCCTACACAGGTTTTTGGCTGCTGCATGGGATAAGGCAGCTAAAGCAGCAACGAGGGACTGTACCAAGAACAGGGTGTTATTTGCTCTGAGTGATCTGCTCGGAGCTCCAGAGCTGCCTGCTGACTTTTCTGACCTTGTACCTGTGAAACAACCTGCTTCTGGAGCTCTTTACTCTCGATTCATCTTTGCTCTGAGACACTAGCAAATCCCAATGTAATTGTTACACTTCAGCCCCACAGTGAAATCCCTGAATTTATTCTGTGAATAAAAACTGCAGTGATTGTGTTGCTCTCTTTCAGGGCTTGCGTGACCTCGCAGAAAACTTGAGGCACGCATTCCTTCTGTTCCCACAATTTTGCTTTGGCTATGGCTTGATTGAGCTGTCACAGGATCAGGCCCTGCTGGGCTTCTTGAAAGCCTATGGAGTAGACTACCCCGACAAAACCTTTGAGCTGGACAAGACCACATCCAAGCTTCTCGCCATGTTTATCCAGGGCACTTTGTTCTTTGCTATCCGTCTCATCGTTCATGATGGGATGATGCAGAAAGTCTGGAGCAACGTATTAGAGTGAGTAGCACCTGGACTCTCACAATGAAGGGGGACTGAGCCAGTGCTCAGTGGGTTAATTCTGGGCTCCCACCCCATTGTTGTGAGTAATGAAGCCCACACGTTTCCAAGACACTTTGCAAAACAGAGTAAGTTTTCTCTGGCAGCAGTCCCAGTATCCGCCACTAATTAGACGTTAACTAACAGAGATACAGGTTACTGGAGCCCCTTGGTAGTCCCTGCTGGCTTGAAACGCCTGCTTTCAGGGCTCTGGGTTCTCTGGGTTGATAGGTTGTTGGAAAGAGGTGTCGGTCCCTAAAGCCTTTTGTGTTTGCATCTGCCCCCACCTTCTGCACCTTGGATTCCACAGGGAGGAGGGTGTGTTCCCACACTGCCACAAGGCAGGACCTCTGTGTGATCCCTATATTTGCTGAACAGCAGAGAAAGCTTGGGCGGAAAGTGAACATGGGGTTTTATAATTTCCTAAGTGGAGCAAGTAGCCCGAGAGGATTGAAACTTGCTGCATCTCCATGTGTACTTGCACGCCCTGGCCTCTCACAGGAAGGCTCCTACGTATGCCAAACACGTGGGGCTGCTCCTGGCTGCACCTGCTGGAAGACTAAGGGCCCCTCTGTCCTTCCTGTAGATTCCTGTTTGACAGTGTGCACGGCAAGGCGTCGCTTTTGCCACCCATGGCTGAAGAAGATGAGGATGTCCGGGGAGAGAGGCTCCGAGTGGAGTCTGGCAAAGCTGATTTTGATGTGGTACAGCTCCAGAATCTCACAAAGATCTACCACCTCCCTCACAAACGCATTGTGGCTGTGAAAAACATCAGTCTGGGAATTCCTGCTGGAGAGGTAAGTGGGGGTGAAAGCGGCAGCACCGCTCAGTCCAGGGAGGGAAACTGGGACAGATCTGGAGTCCTGCTGCATTCTTCTCCCTCAGTCATTGCCTCATCCCTGGTACAACTCCAGTGGTTTGTTTTGCACTGAACTCTTCCTTCTCTCTTCCCTTGCTTTGCACTTACTGTTTATTTATTGATTCTCTGTGTTATGTTGCTGACCAAAGGCTGGTGGTTTGGTGGATTTGGGACACCGAATGATGGTCTGAATATCCTCCAAAGAGAGTGGGTGGGACTGTGGTGAAGGTTTGCTTAGAGCAACACGTGTCTGTGCGGGGCTTGTACAGCACCTAACCCAGTAGGTGTATGGCAGGTCCCTGTCAGAGCTGCTGCTGTACCGTAAATGAAGACAGCAGCGTTTGTCCAGTCGCTAAACCATGCATGAAGCAGAGTGAGCAAGGCTTATCTCTTTGTATTTCTCCATCAGGGTAAGTCATCTAGTCACTTCAGCTGGACAGACACTTCCATGAACCAGGAATTAAAACTGACTTCAAAGAAGCAGTGTCCTTTGGTCATATCAGTTTGATTACTTGTGAAAATACCAGCCCATGAGAAAAGACAAGACAGGAGCACAGAGGGCACCTCTGAGATGTAGAGAAAAGCTCTGAGAGTCTGGAAACCAGATGCTATTTCAGGCTTTGCAGCTGGCTTGTGGGGAAGCTTGAAAGTCATCCTTGGTACCAGAGTTTTTTGCATTGCCTGGATTCCCTTTTGATGCTGCACCTATGAAAGGCCTGAGGGTGCTGGGCAGCAGACTCGCATGGAGAATGAGGCCATTGATTTTCTCGCAGATTTTTCAGAGCCGTAACTTGCACTGAGGCTTCCAATTCCTTGCAGAAGTCAGAGCTGCTGGTTGAATGTTGCACCTCATACCCCATCTGTGGGGCATGCCCTGGCCCTGCAGCACACACTGCGCTGAGATACTGTCCCTGCACAGACCTTGAAATGGGAGAGAGCCTCAGATCGAGGCTGCACTGAGCCCAGCACACAGTTTTTAGTTTATCTAGTCCCTATAAATGGTATCAAAATAATAGTAGCTACTAGCACAATGGTGATTGCTTATGCAACACAGAGCGGCATATCTCCAGCCCTAGCAATAAAACATGGATTTTAGTATGAGAAACTAAATTGCACTACAGGGAGCAAGTTCTTAATCTTATTAATGTAGTGCATTAGTGAGATTATTTGATGAAAATCTTGTGTCACATTAAGATTTTACCAATGACAGTACAAATCTCACTCCCCTCACTCCTGTGAATAGCTCTGTTCCTGTCAATGGGAGGCTTTGCACAAATTAGGTGATGGGGATTTGGCCTGTCAGATCAGCTCACTAGGAGAATGCACTTCACAGGAAAAGGAACGACTCTAATAGAGACACGTCCTTGATTCTTCATCATATTAAACAAACGGTCCTAATATAAGCTACAGTATATTGCACCATAAAAAACCTCCATTATAATGTTTGTGTGCTCTGAGAACCTTTCTCTTGTGTAATTCATCTTACTCAAGGGCCCAGAGAAAAGAAATGACAAGTTGCACTGAACTCGGAGTGATATTTCTGCTTTATAGATACCTCATGGTTGTGTTTTTGTGATTCTTTCCTGCAATCTAGTGCTTTGGCCTGCTTGGTGTGAATGGTGCTGGAAAAACAACCATCTTCAAGATGCTGACAGGTGACATTGGAGCTTCCAGCGGAAGGTTGCGGGTCCAGGACAATTCTGGGTATGAAGGATGTGATTTCTGGGGAAGGCACATGATTAAATCAGCCTAGAGAACAGTTTATAGGAACTGGCAAAGGCAAAGAAAAAGACATATTAATGTCTGGAACAATATATAACATTCAAAAATGAAGTAAAAAAGAACAAGGCAGGGAATCCATCTCTGAGTTACTTCCCTGGGGGTTGTATTTTGCTAGTGCATCTCTGCTGTTCTCTTTGGTATTTTTCCAATTTGTTCTATCGCAAATGGGGCCCGAATCAGATCCTTAGCTGAGCACAGTCATACTTCTGAGCTAGTATCTGGAGTAAGAGCGCTCTGGGATGGAGTAAGCTTTGTGGTAGCTGTGCAATCTAAAGTACTGGAAGTAACTGGAGAGTTCAGTACCAGACAGCGTGGCTAAAGCCCATGCAAACACAGTGATTCTGTGGCAGAACGGAGGGCCTGAAGGCTGAAGGTCTGCACATTCAAAACATTTTATTTCAAGAGTTGGGGAAAGCAAGTAGGAAGAAAAAGAAGAGGCCTCTCTTTCTCCTGGCACCTTTTTCACGGAAGGCATTGGCATTTCAGCGTACCTAAAATGACTTCCTTCCCTACAGGTCCTTGAACGACATTGGTGAGGCACACTGGTCTCTCTTTGGCTACTGTCCCCAAGAAGATGCCTTGGATGAGCTGCTGACAGTGGAAGAGCACATGTATTACTATGCTAGGCTTCATGGCATTCCCGAGAGAGACATCAAAGGAGTGAGTAAAACTGGGGTTTAATTCAAGGCACGTTTCAGTCATGGGGAGCTTTTGCCTTGAATTAATAAGTCCTTTAAGAAACAATAAAGGTTAATGGTGTCAAAATTTGAAATCCTGGCTTGGGACTGTCTTGCTCAGCAACCAGATGGCTGTTGTGTGAAACAGATCTGCATTGCACTGGAGTCAGGTATGGCACACAGTGAGTTTGATATTGCTTAATGATCTGACATTAAAAGCAGATTCACAGAAACCATGGAAAAACTTCAGAGGAAGCAGGATTGCAGGTGCTGCATTTACAGGTGTTTGCTGAGGCAGCTCATAAACAATGAGGTAGAACAAGGGGTTGTAAAAAGATTCGTAATAGGTGTCCACCTGCTGATTTATTCATGACCACTATTTTGAAATCAGTACTTCTTTCTCCCCAGATTGTACTCCAGCTTCTCCACAGGCTCAATCTGATGGCCTACAAAGACAGAGTCACCTCTATGTGCAGTTATGGCACCAACAGAAAACTCTCAACTGCTCTGGCTCTCATCGGGAATCCATCAATTCTGTTGCTGGTAAGAAACTGGGGCCTTGCTGGGTGAAAGATGAGCCTTTCTCTGGGCTCACTTTGATAGTCTAGTGAAACCTACTCTGACACAGCCCACAGGGCACTCTCCAAACACTTGCACGTAACATGGCAACACATGCATCAGCAGAAAGCAGGGATTCCAGCACACACCAAAACTTGCTCTTTGCCCCAGCAGAGTCATGAATCTGCTACCTGTTCTGTTAATATTTTCCCGGGGTCAAAAAGAGATCCTGTATTTGCTATTTGAATTTCCCATTCCTGGCTGTTTCTTGATCTTAATAAATTAAGAGCTCGTGACTGCCTTGTACAGATTCTGCAGGAGAGTGGCATCAAAGACTGCAATCCTGTAAGAAGGTGAAAGAGCAGCTTCCCTCAATTAGAATGTAAAACCACCTTCTAGATTTGGCTTTCTTTCCTTTTCTAATTCTCCAGTTTTTCTTGTGAGGTATGTCATGTTTAAAATACCCCTTTTTGGAGCATTTTTCACTTGCTAAGTTTTGGACAGATAAAGTGGTCTGTTAGCAGGTTTCCCACTGTTATATTTGATCCCTAACAGACATAGATTTGTCCCAACTTGCATCGAGTCTGGCACTTCTGTCCTCAGTTCTAACCACATACACCAGCCTTTTAGCTGCTTTTGCTGCTTACGAAGTCCCCATGAAATGGAAGGTGGTGCAAATTCCCTAGTACCGGCTACTGCCAGCACCCAAACTGTTTTATTTCTGCCTCATATAGTGTGTTATACTCAACAATAACAATTTAGCACTCAGAAATTGGCTAACACTTTTATTAGCAATGCATAAAGCAGGAGACAACGGACCATCTTTTCATCTCTAGCGTATTGTCTTGCTTGCAGAGAGGCAGAGTGCAGGTGCATGTGGGGACCAAGTGCCAGTTGATAGCTTTTCATTTGAGATTGTGCCTAGAATGTTTATGGAATTTAAAACAACATGATATAAAATGCACAGTAGAGTTGATCTTAGATGGCATTACCAAAAATGCTTAAAGGAGCCCAACTGAAGCTGGGAACCTGGTGACCCAGAGTCGCCACTGTAGAGGAATGGAGCAGCTCCAAAGGGCAGTGTGGGTGGAGGTCTGGGACAATCTGACTTGCTTCTGCATGAAGAGAGCCTGGGATCAAACTTGTAATGTGAGTAAGAAGTTTTTTTCCATAATTTGTGCTGATGGAAGCTGATTTATGGGCCACTGCAAGCAAATCTAACATTGATTTGCTTCGGGGCTAACATGTGCGCCCCGAACACACACAAACATTAGGAAGATCAGACTTTGTGTGAAGTCCTGTCTTTCCCTGTAGGATGAACCAAGTTCTGGAATGGATCCAAATGCAAAGCGCCACCTCTGGAAAATCATCAGTGAGGAAGTGCAGAACAAATGCTCAGTCATACTCACATCCCACAGGTTGGTTTGACTTTGTTTCTGCAACAACTTTGGGATTTTGTTGTGGCCGAGTGGGGGAACTCGGCACTATTAAAGTGCCTCTATAGACCCACAGCACCTTAACACTTTATGGGAAACTAGGAATGTTCTGATTGCCATATATATTTTTTATATAACTTTGCAATGACTTACTGGAGTTTCCTGGTCGTTTTTTCAGCATGGAGGAATGTGAAGCCCTCTGTACCAGGCTGGCTATTATGGTGAATGGAAGTTTTCAGTGCATTGGCTCCCTGCAGCATATCAAGAGCAGGTCAGTAAAATGCACCAATTTCACTGTTACTGAACAGCATACGGAGTTACTGACATAGCTTTGAGGGCTCAGTTCATGAGACCCTTGTTAATAAGGGGCACGACAGTAAAGCCTTGTTTTATTTCATTTTTCCTACTGCACCCTTGAAATTCTGTGTTAATAATGTGTTTTCTGCTCACATACAGGCTGCTTTCCAACTTTGAGATGTGTTCCCCAAAGTAATCTGCCCACCGTTTTAAATGGAAAATACATGGTGGGGTTAAAGCTTCAATTTTGCTAGTTTACCACAACAGCTTAGTTCCTTATTAAGATTCACCTCAGATTAACATACCTAACATCATTCACGGTGCCTGGGCTACATTCATCCAGAGAGAGGCAGTGCAGCCCTAAAAGATTTTTTTTCTGTTTTTCTTTCCTATTGTGGTTAATATTTTGGTTTTCCTTTTCCCTCCTAGGTTTGGAAGAGGATTCACTGTGAAGATGCACTTAAATAGCAACACAGTTAGCACAGAGATGCTGACACAATTTATGAAGTCACACTTCCCAAATACATGCCTGAAGGTAAATGGCCAGTGGGATCAGGGGACGCCTTCTCGGTCTCCTCACATTAGCCAAGAGCATCTTGTAAGATACACACCTTGTAACAAATCTTACACACAGATCTGTGCTCTCAAAGTGTAAGGGATTCATGTACACACTTGTCAGTCCCATCAGCAGCACTGCCTGAGGGTTGGAGCATCCAAGTTCCTTGGTGGCATAAATAATCTCAGCCAAGTGAACTTCTGCTCCTGTGACCAGTTCCACAGAAGCCCTGGGCTGCATGGATATTCAGTTTATACTCAGTGGGAATTGTGTTGGTCAAGTTATTCTAATAACAGAACTGGTGTAAAACATGAGTAACTGAGTCATGAATCTCACCCATTGGCTCAGTTAATCAAAACACCAGACTGGGAGTTGGAAATGCTGTGGCTTCCTTAAAGCTTCAGGCTTTGGAGGTTATTTATCCTTCCACAGTTAAGAAAAGCACAAAAAGATGCAATGGGGAGACATTAGGCAACCCTGGACAACAATTTCTTCTGCCTTTAGGAGCCATAAGGAGAGAAACATCCCTCTTTCTGTTCATTCTGCCATGTTCTGGCTCCTCTTTCCTTTCATATTCAGCCAAATGGGCATCAGATCTATTGATCTCCATAGTTGGCAGTCCCTTGACTTTCCCCTCATCCCTGTTCTTACAGGATCGGCATTTCAACATGGTGGAGTATCATGTACCAGTCTCTGCAGGAGGGGTAGCAAACATATTTGATCTTCTGGAAAGCAACAAAGCAGCTTTCAAAATTAGGCACTTCTCAGTGAGTCAAACAACATTAGAGGAGGTAAGGAATTTAGGCTGTGTGGCCATCCGTTTAAAACTGTGAACAGGGGAGCAGACTGATGGTTACCATAATAGACCGCTGCACATAATACACTGCATTTTGAAAGGGATTTCCATCCAGAATCCTCCTGGGGGCATTTTATCAGCACTACTGTCTCCAGATGCCTGTGCTGCTGCTAAGAAAATGCACATAGAAAGCTGCCTGTAGTGTAAAGGATCTGTTCTTCCTTTCGGCACATTTGTGCAATACTGTTGATTTCAGCAATTTTCTGAAGGACAGGATCCTGGATCATCCTTGAGCCCAGTGCTAGGCTTCCTGACAGTTGATTTTGGCCACTGATCCTGGAAATTTTCTTTATTATTATTTTTTTCTCTCTTTTTTTGTGCTATATTTGGATTGCAAGTTCATTTAACATTACTTCAAACTCAGCTTTGTGGGCACGTTACATTTTTTCTTGGAAAAGCATTCCCACTGGCATCAAGATATTCTAGGAAACACCTCAACTGTAAAGACTACACACAGGAAAGCATCCTGTTGAGCAGCAGCCGTGTCTGGAGTATTAGGTCTGTCAAGGAGATGAGAGCAAAAATGCAGCCTTGTAATATTGTGAATTGTGGAACCGAGGTCTGCAGGGAGGGGTAAGGAGAGCCTCGATATGATTTTTAAAAAGGAGCTGTGTGTTTGAGAGAAACAGGCAGACACAAAGCAGAGAGCCCCAGGTAGTGTTTGGCAGGAAGCTGATGTACCTTTGTGTATGTGCAAGCGTGATCACAGGGTGATCTAGAAGGAAGGTTTGTGCATTTATTAGATGCTGTTGAAATGGAGACTTTGTGATTAGATATGTGTGACTGTGAATGGCAATTACGTATAGAAAACTGTAAAATAAGACTGAAGTAAACCGAAAGAGCTGCTACATGAGAGTATATCTCACTAATACTTTTGAAGCAAGAGCTACAGGACAATTAGGTTTTATACAGAAACTTTAACTTTACATCCCTAGGCTTCTTTTCGGCTGAGTTCAGATGCCAAGGTATGGGAGTAACCAGCCATTTATTTATATTAGACCAAAGAGGCCCAACATTTGTATTTGCATCAGCAAATCAGCATGAATTCATTTCTGAGCGCACTGTCCAGTCTCACAGTCAAACAAACAGCCTTTCCTCTTTTATTCATTTATATTACTAATTCTTTAGACTGTTACTTGCTGAATATTTTCCTTTCAACTTCCAGGTTTTCATCAACTTCGCTAAAGATCAAGCAGATCCTGACAGTGCGGATGCCAGTCCTGATGTGACATCAAGCATGACCTGCTGTGAAACAAGCAGCCAAAGCAGCACCATAAGCTCCATCTACTGAAGGGACCCCACCACAGGGTATCAAAGGCTGGCAATAGACCTGAGGACTCCAGGGATTTCTTCCTGCCCTGTTTTGAATTATTTTAGGATAGTGGGAATAAAAAAGCCGCGTTTTCCTAAAGTACTTTTTATTTTGTTTTCATATGCACATGTTTTGTTACTAGGACCATGGTAGATGGTTAAATCTGGCATACTTATTTACAAATCAGATTGGTCTTTCCACAGGTTCTTTTTCCCCCCTGCCTTTTCCTCCCAGTTCTTGTTTTCCGATTGCTTTTCTGCCTGTGAGGACTTGGCTGACATGACCTGCTCTGGCTGCTAGTGGGATGGCCGTGAGGGAGCAGAGCTGCTGTCGGCGGTGCAGGGCCCTTGGCACGGGCCGTCCCACCGCAGCCCTCTCTGGAAACCCACGCTCTGCTCCGGGCTCAGACAGCCTTGCTGCTCCCCATGGGGAAGTCGCTCATTTTGGACAGTTCCCCGCCAGTAAAACGGGGTTCCTGGCGCTGCCCTACCTCGCAGGGGTGTTGTGAGGATGTAGGTGTTACGTGCTGTGAGCTGCATATGCTACATAAAGCTTAGCTGTACATGTGGGTTATGTCAGTATAAATATAATTATTTTAAAATGAGTGCTTCCAGTTGTTTTGGTTTGTTCCTTAGGTTTATACCAGCTCTACGTAATCCCTAGAATAAGCGCTGTAGTTCCAGGCAGTTGCTGATACTCAGTAGTCCTTCAAGAGAGTGTTGGACCTCGGAGAACTGAACTGTTGTTCCCAAATCCAGCATGCTGCCTAGCCTGGCCAGTGTCAGGTTGGAGCAGAGGCCAGAGCAGACAAGGATCCAACCTCTGAGACCCAACCAGCTCAGAAATCCTATTTCCCTTGCTCAGAAAATCCTTGTATCTTCATGGCCTCCCTCTCCCAAGAGGCTCTACCTCTTCATCATCCCCCCCACGCTCTTCTCCATCTTCATACTCTGTAGTTTCCCCTAACAAGGTTAGGATTTTGTCTTCGAAGACTCTCCAAGCTACTCATACATGGCACAGGCACTTTGAATATCAGGTGTGTTCAGGATCTTACAGTGGGATTGAGGAGCTTAGAGCCCAACTACAGCAAGGAGGTCACATTTTCTGCACAGACTTGGTGTAAACTCCCTGAGAGCAGGAGGAGTTCTGTTGTGCATGGAAGGTAATACTGAGGCTTGAATTATGCCTCAACCTGCTGCCTGTAATTAAAACTGAAATTCAGCTGCTTTCCAAGAGTGCATTTAACAGCTGCAGTTTGTAAGTAACAAAGTGCTGCCCAGACTTTCAGTGCAGCTTCCATTATTACGGCCCCAGCTCTGCAAAAGCCCTTTTTTCTCTCATTTTTATTGTGCATCTTAAACCAGATCACAGTATAAAATTAAGCTTTCCTCTAATGGAGGGCTCGTGCTCCCTGCAGAAGACTCAAAGCGTGAATGCCAGTGATTTAAATGCAGCTTTGCACTACCACTCACAGCATTATTTTATTACATCGATGTGGCTGCAGCTGCCAGCAAAAGATGGATCTGGAGGCTCTGTCCAGATGTACTTCACATTTAATTGAGGGGAAACTGATACAGAGCTATTGTTTCGTCTCTTTAGAGTCCAGTAATCAAAAAACAACAACAAACTGAAACATTGAATCACTTCAAGTGGTATTTTAATTGGGTAAAATAGATTAAAAAAAAAAAAAAAAAAGGAAATAGCATCCTAGGCTTTTCCACCCAGTTACAGCATTAATACAACCATCTGCTTCATAGCAGACACGTCAGAGCCTTGATCTAAGCTCTCCATTTATAGTGCAGGTAGAAATAAAACATGCGCTGTTGCAGCCAAGCCTGCAGGTACTGGTCCAAGCAAGCAAAAAGCTCAGGCGCTTAAGGGAATTTAATTGAATCGCGGGGCGAGGGAAGCGTCCTCAGGAAGGGCCGAGACCGCCGCAACTCAGCGCACCCAATTCTGCAGCTACCGGCAGCTCGCGGCCCCGCCCCGCTCGGCGGGAAGCGCGGTGGGCGGGGCGGCGCCTGCGCACTTGGGGCGCGCGCAGCCCTCGGCGCCTGCGCGCTGGCGTCGCGCGGCGAATTTGGAGCGGCGGGCGATGCGGGAGGCGCTGCGCGGCCGCTCGGGCAACCGGCCGCCCCGCCACGGGGACGGCGACAGCGACGGCGACGGCGCTGGCCCCGCCATGGGGCCGCCGGGCTGCGGCTGGGCCCGCACCCGCGCCGCCCTGGCGCGGCTGGAGGCCGCCCTGCGCTGCTCCCGCTGGTAATGGCTGCCCTTCCCGCGCAGCGCGGTGGCCGTTGGCGCGCGGCCGTTACGGCCGTTAGCGCGCGGCCGTTGCCCCCCCCCCGCCGCGCGGGCGCACTAACCCTGTGGTGTTTTTCCTTGCCGGGCGCAGCGGCAGCGTCCTGCGGGAGCCCGTGTCCCTGGGGCGATGCGAGCACGTCTTCTGCCTGTGAGTAGCGCCGCGGCCGCGGGGGAGGCCGGCCGCGCGGAGCGGGCTTTTCCCTCGGCGCCTCCCGCTCCTCCGCACGCACCGCTTAAAAAACAAAACTCGCCCCGGAGAGGAGGAGACGAGCTGGCTGGCGCCAAGGGGGCTCTGGGCCAGGCCAGCGAGCCCCAGGAGGTGGCGGTGGCCTCTTGGCCTGGCGTTGGGAGCCTCCCAGTGCTCCCAGTAGAGGTGAAGTGAGCGACCCCTGGGCCCAGAGCCCCCTTGGGGAGTGCAGGGACACCCTGTCCTGTGTGTCCTTCTCACAACAACAAAACGAGTTTAAAAAAAAAAAAAGAAGTTCTATACCTTAAGCATTCATTTGTTAGAATTGTTCAGAAACTTCTCTGAAACAGTGTTGAACCGTCCAGTAGGAAGGACAGTGCCCCTTTCACAGAGATGGGTAGGCATGTCCTACTCTCCACTTTTAGTCTGGGCATTTGGCACTGCCTCCTGTTTGTATGACAGTCGCTGCCCCAGTAAAAGGTGGGGAAAGGCCTGTCTGCTCTCATTAGGGACGTGCAGCTGGAGACAAGGAGAGCTTAAGGTGCTGAAAACTGAAGTAACATTGCGAGGTATTTCCATGCCTTTTAAGGATACCAGTTTGAAGGACAGTAATGCCCTTAGCATCCTTGGTCCCAGGATGGATCTGTTAAAAGACATGCAAGTGACTTAGTCCTATACGTTCACTTAGATTCTTTCATAGGTTTAGCCATTAATTGCCAATTTGGCCATTAATTCCAATTAACTGGAAGCTTCTGCCTTCTGAAGCAATTCTTGGTTTTGTTCCTTGCTCCTTTTGTACTTCCTGCTCACAGAGAGCTTTCTGAAACAACCCCCAGAACCTTATACACGTTTTTATAAAAAGTGTTCATATCTGTCTGATTTAATGCATAGTTGTCAGGCATCTGAAGCCCTGTGGTTTATTTTGGGTGACCTCGGTATGATTTGGATGATAGGTTTTCAAGAACACCTATTGTTGTTCAAGTATTCTAAGAAAAGTTTTCAAGACATCAGAGGAAGATGTGTTTTGTATTGATAAAGTTGGAGGAAATAATGAATGGGAATCTTAAGCATTTACTTGCAGTGATTTCTTACGCCAAAAGTTTAGATGCTGTCACCTAAGTTACACTTATGCAGTCATCTGTTCTTTGTGTGTCTGACATTTTTGTCATCAATTGTAGTGTCTATTTTGATGGCAAGATCTTGCATGGTGGCTATTAATTTTTTTTAATTAAACCTAAGGAAATTTAGATTAATTTGTTCCCAAGCAGGTTTGCTAGGGGGTGGGTTGAATCATCAGTATTCTGACGTGAATTTATTCCCATCCCTTGCTAAATAAAGACACTTATTAATATACTTGGGAAAGAGCAGTTGAATGGCTAGAGAAGGCTTCCTGTATATGAGGTGAGAGTAATGAGCTGCAGTAATCACGTCATGCAGGCTCTCCATCAGCATGACTTTTATTTTGGGCAAGGATATTTATTAAGATCAGTTCATGCAGCTTTGTCTGAATATTTCTACTTGGTTATAGTTAATAGATAATGACTGTACAAACCCAGCAGCTACAAGTAATTAGAAAACGTGGTGATATAAAAGTCATTCCTTATTTCCCTTACATTACCCTTCACAGACTTGGGAGACCCAAGGCCAGCTTTCCTAGCTCGCGAGAGCTCTCCTGCTTGCTCTGAGTGATTTGGCTTTGACATATCCTGATTGATATGGACAAGAACTCTCCTTCACTTGCTGTGGCTAGAGCAGTGCCTCAACCACTGCAGCCTTTGCCCTTTTGGCACAGGCTTCCTAAAGCACCAAACAAACAGCTAGCAGCAACTTCCATGCTATGGATTTCCCATCTTGAAGTTAATTGAAGATACGAGATGATGTGGTGTTAGAGGCTGAGATTTTACTAAAGTGCTCCCTTCACTGGCATAATCTTTTTGATACTGTGAACTGTATGCTCCTAGATGATTTGGGGATGCAGGGCTATCCATTAGCTTCCAGACTGACTATGCTTAGAGTCTAATGCACAGCTTTTGATTTTCCTGTCCAGATAACCAGGCCAAGATATCCCTTGCACGCTACTGGCTTGCACCCAGCATGGTCTGCTAACATTTAACTGTATATCTTTGGCTATTTTTGTGACTGTTAGTTGGTGGTATGGTAATAAGCAGGGAGACTTTTGAAATTCATTCAATCCCAAGTGGGATATTTATTTTTTAAATTTATAATATATAAAATATGTATCATATATTTTGTATAATGTATAATATATAAATATATATACTTATATATCTCACCTGGGATTGAATGAATTTCAAATGTCTGCATGTTTATTACTTTACCACCATCTGACATACCTATATATAAAAATAATTATATATTATGTTCTTATATATAAAAATAATTATATAAGATACGTGGGAGTTAAGAAATAACAGTGGGTTCTGCTGAATGCAATCTGGAGAGCAAATTGTAAGGTCCTTTTGCTGGTCTCATTGACTGGGCAAGCAATTTTGGGTTCATATGTGAAGAGCAGTATTGCTAAGAAGCTACAAGTATTAAATGACCTTTACCAAGCAAATCTATGTTTTTTCCCCTGGATCTCCTCTGGAGATAAATGCTATAAAAGAGAAAAGTCATGCAGTACTCTGAATGCCTGCAGATTCCTGCGGGACTTCTTACAGAAAAATGTTCAGGCAGGTGAAACTTCACAATATCAAGAAAACTTTAAGTAGGAGCAAATGGAAGTGATAATTCAATGTGGATTGATTTTTCTGTCACTCATTTACAATAGGAGGCTGTTGGAGAATAGCCCTAGCTTTAGCTGAGGTTTAAAAGCACAAGGAGCTTTAAATGTTCAAGCGTAGTTGTTAACTACAGACAATGAATAGAATGTGACTTTTAGCATATCTTGAAAATTTTGATCAGCCTGCGAGTTTGAGAGTTAAAAGATGCAGAGATTTTGATGGCGATCACCTAATAAGCTTCTGGACTTGCCTCGCTTAATTCTTCTTGTGATTTGCCATGATAAATATCCCCTCTCCTGCATTTATGACTAAGTTTTGCGTGCTCTGCAGTGCTAGTTTGTCAATGTTAAAATCAGAGCTTCTTGCTGAGTGTTTGGCTGTGAAATGGTTGATGGCAAGTATAGAGATAATTTATATTGGATGATGAATACCCACACTTGACTTCCAGATCTTGTGTGGGCGACTGCGTTGGCAGAGAATGCCCCGCGTGCCACACGCCAGCCTGGGTACAAGATGCGCAGATAAACCGGCAACTCGATAACATGATCCAGCTCTGCAGCAAACTGCGGCATCTGCTGGGGGAGGACGCCTCAGGTGAGAGCAAATGCAGGTCTCTGACATCCCTCGGCTCCACACTGCTCCGTTTCGTTTCCCGTGGTTTTAGGGAACAGGCAGGGCAGTCCTTTTTAACATTCTGAAAGGCTGTTCTGAACCATGTTCGGAAAACTTGATTTGAAGAGGACTGTCTGTATGGATTGCTCGTTCTTCAAATATGTTTTTCTAGGAAATCTGCATGAGTAGATAGTCCATAATTCATTAGAATCTGCCTTCAAAATCAGATGAATGTAGGATGGGTTGCTAAGACGTGCAGTTGTTTGTACAAACTGGATGGAGAGAAATTATCTTTTATGTGCTCCAAATGTTTTCCACTATAACCTTCTTTAAGGGGGTCTGGTTAAAGCATTAATCCATTAATGCACCAAGATGCACGCACAGTGTCCCAGTAATCTTCAGATTTAGTTTTTGTACATGGTAACCTGTCCCCCCTGCCTAAAAGGAGAAGCAGGCAGATCTTGTTTCAGTTAGATCATTCCCATCCCAAACCATCAGCTGCTACAATGGAAGCTTGTGTCTGCAGCCTGCAGGGTGGCACTCCAGGAAGATCATATTCTAGGAATTAGTCTCCTTACCAAATCTGAAGGTTGACTGTCAAAGCAGAAAAAACACATTCTCTCACATTCGCTTCACTTCATGTCCTTTCTGCAAGCACAGAGAAGCTTTTTTTTCCCCCTTGTAATATCAAATTTGAGAAAACATTAATTTAGCTGTCAGATACAGAAAAGGGAATTCTTCCTTTATTGTTTGATAATATTTATCTGAATAAGAGCTTTTTTTTTTGTCTAATTCCATCATCCCCTTCAGATTGAAGGGATGGCTCTTTTTTTGACATCAAAATATGTAGATATTGCTGAAGTGTTGGGGCTAGATGTCTATGTCCAGCTGCAGAGGAATATTATATAGATGTAAAATCCTCTTGCATCTTGATTAAATGTTTTGAAGCATAGAAAATATAGATAGTGCATTAAATGGGATTTCAGGGGAACATTCTAAGAGATGAACGCTTTTCCAAATATAGCTGTAAGAGAATCTGTGAAGAGTTACTTCTATGGCTGTAAATACAGTATTTCAATACAATCTATTACATTTTTTGTTATTGTTTAGACATTTTGGAGAACTCTTACAAATGGAAAATAAACTACTCTTAGTCCGAAGTTTCATTGTATAGACTTTAAATAATGCATTTAATGCCTTAGTATTTCTAAAGAAGTTTGTATGGAGCAGTTAAACCAAAGAAAAAGATTCTTGTGTCCTTCCTTGTATTTACTCCAATTTCTGTGTCTCCTTCTATGGAGATGGTCTTATTTAGAGCTAGAATTATGAGCTGATGTAGAAGATTATTTTATCAATTTTGAGCTTCATTCTGTAGTAAGGATTAATGATCTTTTGGATGCTTCATACTTCAGTTATGGAAGAATTTGAGAGATGATAATAGTTCACTGTCACAAATGCTTTGGATGCCGTAAGTAAATGTCCACACCTCTAATGACAATCAATTATATGTCACCCTGTGACAAATCACAACGTGCTCTACCTGCAGAGATCTTTTCAAGCTAATCCTTTAGGATTTTTTGCCACTCTGAACTGCTCTGGCAGATCTGTCTCTCTCCATTGGCATAAATGCCTTGAAGTTAATATTTACAAAATGAAATGTATTTGAGTTTGGACAATCAGAGCCTTTCTTATTAAGGGGCAACTTTCATGTTTTTTAGAGTACTGTGTTTTTGCCAGATTTCTGCAATTTTTTTTCCCTCTTCCTCCCTGAAAGGTCAGAAATTATAATTTATGTTCCAGTAAAGGAAATAGACTGAAAATCAATCCTTCTGTTGAAGGAGAGTAGCAGTTGCAATGGGCAATATTTTTATTTATTTATTTTATATGCCTTTTGCATTTGTTTTGAGAGCAATTGTAGTTTGTCTTGAGACTTTTGTTTGAGATCCTTGTTGACAGTGAAGTTTCCAAGGCAAATGAGTCATACCACCTATCTTTTAATCTAAAAAGATGAATTTAAGTGAGCCCAGCAGGGTGTGTTTGTGTTGTCTTTAGAAACATGCAGGGCTCCTGTGGCTTAAAAGGACAGGATTAAGTGCGCATGTTGAATGTTTCACATATAATAAGGCCTGAACCATCATGTTCTACAGCTCATCTGAGAGGGATCTTGCTTGGTATCTCACTGGGATAGGGATGGGGATTTTTTTTTTTTTTTTGCTAAACTGTCTTTGCTTTAAGTAGCAGCAAACAATTTGGGAGCATTGGCACAAAATGACCAAAGCTTCTCTTTTAGATTAAAAGGAGGAAGAACAAATTACATTATAGAATAATCACAGAGGGACAAATAGAGTAAAAGTAACAACTGTCTTGAAAATGCAAGCTATAGGTAGCAAAAGCTGCATCTCAAATTTATTAAATGCTATATCCTTTGCCTGTGGCAATGTGGAGAAAACTGGGACCTTCTCAGTGCTGGTGTCTAGTGCTGTACCTTTACAAGGGTACTTGCCCATCTGTTGGCTCCTGGGTTTTACCCTTTTTATAGGAAAAACTTTAATTCCCTGTCTTTCTAGGACACTGCCTTTGGGAGCTGCTAAGATATTTGTTTTGTACTGGAAAGGAGTATTTCAATCTAGGCAAGAGTTCTGTTGAGGAAGAAAGGTCTTAGCCAGAGTTCAGAAGAAATGCTCTTGTGGACATAGCTGGGGCAGCTTAAAATGTTTTTCCTTCTATGGATGAGACTTGTGGACGCTCCTAATTCATTTCAATGCTGGGCAAGTTTAAACAGGTTTTTATTACTTCCCAGTGAAACAGATTGGAACGTGCAGGCAATCGACAATTGCATCTTAGTTGGAAATGATTTGATAAGATTGCAGGAGCATGCATCTCTCTGTCAAAGCTTTTCTTCAACTTGCATATATAGAGACCTTTGAGGAGGTAATATGGTGGAAATAGAGTAAGAAATGGATCTGAATTCTTCTAAAGGAGTTTCATACTCTACATTGAATGTACAAAAATCAAATGAGTGTTGAAAGAAATATCCCGAAGGTAGCAAAACATGTAGTTCATTAACCTCACCATGATGAGGGGATGTGATTTTATTTTTTTATATATATGTGTGTGCGTGTGTATACATACGTATGTATAATTAATGTGTATGCAATTAAGTCCAATAGCTAATAAAGGATCTAGAATACTTTGTTTAACAAGATTAAGTACATATTTGATAAAACTTCCGAAGTGTAATTACTCTGTGACTAATCTTTAGCATCTACCTATTTTGAGAACGTCTGCAAACTTTCCAGCAGAAAGACATTAAACGTCTTTCCAAGTAAGACTTATTACCTGTGTTTACTCTAAAATGTAAAATTACTGTAATTAAGGTGGGTAATTAGGAAGAACTTGTGGAATCACGGACATCGTATATAGCATACTTGAGATAAAGAAGGCTGATTTACAGTAATGCTTTTTGGAATGAGTTTCTAAGTACTTCAGCAGATTTTTCTCAGTTTGGTTCACTTTAAAAAGAAATTCTCATGTATCTCTCTGACAACCATTTATAGATGATTCTACCTTATTCTTCAAAGTATAATCTGCCTCAAACTAATAGAATCAAACTGGAAGACTATTATTTTCTCTTCCCCTTTTCTTGTGTAGAACTAGACCTTGCAGCTGTTGGTCAAATCTTCTTAAGCTCTTGTTGATGCTGGTGGACAGTAAGACAGATTAACTTTGATTAGCCTTTCTAGCGTCGCAATTTAGTTTCTCATTTACTGATGTGGAGGGGAAGATGTTGAACTCCTGCTGTAACAGATTACACTGCATTTCATGTATGCTATGACATTTTTCATAATAGCTAAAGATGAGTGTTTGAATAGCTGGAATTTCTCCCTCTTTCCCCCCTGTGTTGAATACTTAACTTGCAAAATAATCATTCTTCAGTCAAGGCACTAATGTTGCACAGATGGTACCAAAGCACTTCCTTTTGATTTTTAATAAGGGACTAGTTTGTCAAAGGGATTTCTCAACTTCTGTTCTGAAACCTATAATAGAGAATAATTTGAAAGGCACACAATGTGCATCATTACATTCCTTTGATGCAGATTAATGATAGCTAAACCACGTTCTCTAATTGCTCCTTTTTTCCTGCTCTAGCCTGTTACTGCATCACAGCAGAATTTGGAAATACAGTTCCCCAGTTGAAAGGAACTGTGCAGCTCCTAATATTTTTGTCTATTCTGGACCCTCTTGACACTCAAGGATTTGAATTTTATTTTTTATGTCAGCATGAAGGAACTTGTGTTTATTAGTGCAGATAAGTAATTTAGTGAACAGAGGGACGTCAGTTAGCACATCATGTATGTGAATATTAGATTTAATACGTAAGTAATGGATGAAATTTGTAATTACTATAGGCTAGTTCTAATACTGACTCCTGCTGCACATAGTCTTTACACTATTGCAAATGATTAAAGTAACCTAAACTTAATGAGGAAGGATCTGCAATTTACTGTGTATCTCAGTGTATCTCTACCATTTTGGGATGGGAGAGTAACTTGTAGTTATGTATTAATAAGCAGAGTTGAATCTTAATCTAGTAATTTTTTTCATTGCTATTAAGAAGCAAGCCCTGTTGATTGGCTTCCAAGTTGGAGGCAGCAAAGAGTTTCTTTGGATTGATTTTTCTGTGAGCAATTTTCTCTGAAGGTAGTTCAACTGAATGCACTTAGCTCTCAGACAATACCCTCTTTATATCAATGAACATTTACATACTGAACTGCAAGATCTTCCCTTCAGCTTCTTAGCACGGTCATCTTTCTCTCTCAGTCCATCAAAGCATTAGGCTTTCAGGGAGGGGGCACCATTGCCGTGTCCTTGTTCTTTCTCTTTTCAGTTTCTCAATGCACTTTGGAAATGGAGGAAAGGGGAAGCAGGGTGTAATGAGTTTTTCACTCTGAATGATAGTTTTGGAGAATGGTCCAGAAGCAGCACCATAGTGGAAGTGCCAACATCTTCCCTCATAGGCTGAGGAGCTTTCCTAGTGCATGGTTGATCTCTCAGCATGTGTCAAGAGATCTTTCATAATATAGATATCTTTTTAATCATATTCCACAAATGCTTCTTCCCCTTTAAAGCGCGGTATATTTCTTATATACCTAAAGAAGCTGCAGGTGAATGCTTTCCTAATATTATTTTTCTTATTCGGTGTATTTTCAGTGTATTTGTAATAATTGGACTAGTATGTCCCTGCTGAGCAACCAGCAGTGAACAGCTCAGTTCAAGAACCTCCTGTGATTGATTTTTCACAGCTCCCTTGATGCCAGAGGTGGTATATACATGCTTCCAGTGTACATACCTACTTGTGTTATGCTACTTTAGATCCTACTTCCAAAGGACAGTGCCTCTCATTAGAGGCAGCATTTGGAATTTAAAGTCTTAGTGCGCTGTACACCTGGAAAGAGATTTTAGCCATCCCAGCATTGTTGCAGCTTTTGCAGGCTGATTTCATTCTTGCGCTTTACTTGGAGATGGCTGATGGTTCTAGCAAGGTAAATATTTTAGAAAGAAATCTGCTAGTTGTGTAAACAGTGAAGGCAAGACAAGTAAATAGTAACTGTGTTTTATTTTGCATCTGTTTGCAATCAAGTTTTTTTCCTTTTTTTTAGACATTATTGTTGCAGTGAAATTAGATATGATATCAAGATTTCAGTCTCAATTTCAATGTTTTTCCCATTTGCACCAAGCCCAACCCTACAGAAAAACTAAATAGCTGCAGATTTCTACAAGAGAACTCTTGCCTATATGACCTCATTTTTATCAATCAAATGATTGATTAGCTACTCAAGTTGTATTCTCAAAGGCAGTTCTGGTCTGATGCCTAGCATATCCTGCTCGTGAGTCTCCTAATACATCACATAGTTCAATAGATAAGTAATTTAAATCAAGATTGAGGAAACATTTAAGCTTGAAATGTTTGTTTTGATGTTCAGCGACTAGCTACATAATTCTGCTTCAAGTGAAATCATTTCAGACTTTTTTTGCATATGTGTTAGGGGTTTGGATTGTGTTTTTTCTCATATTGTGATTTATTATAGCTTGATATGGAAAGCAGATTGCAGTTACCAACACTAAAATAGAAGGTATAGAGGAGAAAAATAATCATTAGAGTTAATTCACTGAAATGAAAAGATTGGAGTTGCAGAATGTCTCCAAGACTTTCACTTCTAATGTGCTAGATGTTGCATAGCTTTTTATTTCCAGGATGGGGGGGGGGGGGGNTGTTTGTTTTTAATGGTATAAAAATTAAAAAAAAAAAAAAAAAGCCTCCTTTGCTAGTCAGGATGAATATTGGTTTTGTGATTCCGATCATTGCATATAAGTAAGGAGACCTTTGTAGTAGTCCCGGTGGTTGAAGAAAACTAAAAATATGAGATATGTTCCCTGCCCTGAGATACATTCCCTGAGATGTCCTAAGGCCTGAGGTTTTACAGTAATGGTAGATTTCAGTAATAAGCCTCTCATTTACTTTGGGGAAAAAATGTCCAAGTAACCTAGAGCAAGCTGGGTTTCCAAGAAGGAATCTAAGGATTCATTTTTAGCATTCATCAGCACTCGGAGAGAAGTTGTCAAATTAAATTAGTTGTTGGTTTAAAGGTCGCTCTATATTCCTTAATTTATACTTAAGCCATTGTGGAGACTGCTTGTAACTTCTGCTCTCAGCTGTAACTTTATGCGTAGGTGCTACAGGATCTTCCTCTCAGTTACTGATTTTAGTTACCAATTTGCAATAAGCTGCATGGTTTGATTTGCATAAAATTGCTTCATTGCATTAATTTAAATAAAAACTTAAGATCACCAAAAAAGGTAACTCCGTTGCAATTATTTATACCAAGAGCTCAAGAATCAGACGATAAGGCACAATTATTTATAGCTTTTGTATATTTCTCTGATTCATCCACTGATTCAGTGGTATTAGTCCCAGTTTGTCAGGAAGGCTTAACGCTTCATAAAGATGATATGTGTGACTGTGTACATGCAGTTAAGTTACTCTTCTGCGTGTGTTTCTGTGTATATTTTCTTTCTTTTTCTGCTGAAGACTACTTGACAAATTCTTTCTTCTTCCCTGCCCCACTTAGATTCAACACAAGTTACATCTGCACAACCAGGCCCTGATTGTGAAGCAAAGGGTAAGAAGGAACAGATAAAGATGTGGTTCAGCCCAAGAAGCAGGAAGATTAGATGCACCCTGAGCAAGAGACAGCCAGTAACTAAAAGCAATAATGTTTGTGAAGATCCCTCTTCAGTTTATCATTTCTTTCCTTCCCCTCCTCATGAGAAGCCTCCTAAGCAGGTCAAAAAGCCAACACACAAACTGAGTAAGAAGATGAAGAAGAAGCGTCTAGCAGACATCAACAAAGTGTGGGGCTTCCAGAAACTTAAGCAGAAAGGAGAAGTTGAGCAGATCTGTAATAGGGAAAAGTGTGTGACAATTTGTAGTCAACCAGTAACCCTGTGTACCCCAGAACCAAATAGCCCTGAGGAGTCGCTTCAGCAGGAATCAGTAAAAGATTCCAGCAGAAATATGGAAAATCTGAGAATATCCCCACAGGTAAGATTCTCGGAGAAGAAAGTTATCAATGCGGATGTGTGTCCCGCACAAGGCAGCAAGGAAGAAGTTTGTGTTCCAGAGAAACCACTGTCAGTAGTAAATGAAGCCACTCCTTTAAAACGTGGAAGGGAGCAGGTCAGGTTTCCAGTTACTTCAGAGTCTAAAAGACCAAGAAGATCCGAGAGGATCCTTACTAGGAGTTCAGGCAGTCAAGAGTCTTGCTTAGAGGAGTTGCCTCAGGGCTCTCCCATCTCCCTGCTGTCTGAAAGCCTAAGTCCAGTTCGTGTTTGTTCCTCTGTATCAAAACGCCCTGTTGATACTATAATGAAGACAAGAAGCTCTGCACACTCCCAAGAGATAAACAGTCCTTCACTTTCAGAAGTTCCTTCTACTCCATCTACTTCCAAGACTTGTAATCAGATAGGAATACCACCCAGTCCTTCTGTGTTGAAGTCTCCTGGTAGTAACATGATCACCAGAAGAAATCACAAAGGGGAGACTTTGCTCCATGTTGCTTCCATCAAGGTAGGATTGTCATCTTATTTCAACTTAAAGGTTTAAAATGTGGTACTAAAAATGTGTCAAAACCTTTATTTTGGCATGTCCTAGTTGAGAGTGGGGGGTGCTGCTGGGGATTTTATGAAGTCAAAAGTAACTGTGGAAAAGCTAAAAGATGATTATCCTTGGATTTCAATGTATTTCAGTGTCAATTATACTTCTGAATACTGGGAAATAATAATCAAATATTTTGGCCTTACATGCCAAATGATTCATTGAAACTTTTAACAAGTGTTTCAAATCTCACCAGCCCATCCTGATGGGCTTCAACTTGACCTGGTAATGCAGCCAGGACAGGATTTGCGTTATTTACATATTATCCTCTAAGGCTGCACAATTATCTTCAAGTACTTCATAATTTTCGAGAGTTAGCTCAGAGGAATGAAGTGCTGCTCCCTGGGATTCCTGTACTGTAGACTGGCATGAACACTGTCCTCACAGGTTAATATAGCAAAGGCAGAGTCAGGGTGCTCGTTATAGACTTTGCTTTTGTGTAGGCTTCATTGTGTTCTTGCAGTGATACCTCCACTTATCTTGCTATGAAATTATTGTATTAGTTTCTGCAGAGGCAGAACTTCATGGGCTTTGCAACAATTTCTCTCCCCCCTTCTGCTATGTAGAAACGGCACACAGATGAGGGAAGTTTGAATACAATCAAATTCAGCAAAATAAGCAAGTGAGGGCTAATAATATGGTGACTCTTTCCTGTGAGGTCATTTCAAAGAGCTGGTACTCTGGCAACTTAAATATCCTTAGTGCTAAATCATAATACAGAAATACTGTAGTGCTAATAAAATGCCTGCGCTCGTAGAAATGATTCACCTGTAAGCATGCTGATATTTATGTAGCATTTTATTGGTGGAGACAGGGAATTTTCTTGATAAATAACTATGCCCCCCCCTCAATACTGTTTTAATAAACTACTCCTTTGGCTATTGACATCAGAAGTCCACTTTAATTACGAAAGCTTTTACAGATTATGTTTCCATGTCTTGCTGTTTTTGTCTACACCATATTATGAGAACTGATTCTGAAAATTGGGCCACCATGGCAGGTTTTCACACGGGCAAAAGAGGAGGGTTTTGTGTATGTAGTTGTTATGGTGGCAAATGTAGGAAATTCAGTTAAACGTGTATGTTTCTAGGTCATCCTCCTAAGCAAGAGGACCCTGCTGTTGCGTGAAAAAAGTGATGGAACCAAGAAATCTGTGTGTCTTGGAGAGGCTGGACTTAAAACTATTGGGCATCGCTATATGTGTGCACATACAGTGGGGTGTGGGGGTATATTCTTTTTTTTTTTAAAAAAAGCACTATCGGATCTTTTGTTTATGGAAGAAGCGTTTTCCTTCCTCATCTATTTTCTGTGTGAAATCTTTCTGGTTTTTGTAGCCAACCATGTTTTCCCATGTGTGTAATGGGATGCGGTCTCGTATCTGCTCTCTTCAGAATGAAGTCTAATTCTCTGGGACTTAATTAATTATGAAATCTGTATTAGGGTCTAATATCCTGAATTTAATGAAAGTTAATTGAGTTCTATCTTTTTTCCCCCTTATTTAAGAGATAATGATCATTATCGGGCATTAAAATTAAGTGTATTGTGCTGTTCCAAATGATTCTGAGGGATTGTCCCAGTTTACTACTTCTCCTCTAATGATAAACTTAATGAAATTATAATGGTTCTCCAAAAAAAGAATCTAGTGTGGATGAGCTTAATACTGAGTTACAATAATAAATTAAAGTAAATGCAGCTCTTCTAGTAGTAAACAGCAGTCATGTTTATCTTCTTCCATAGTCATTAGGGTTAAAATTTCCAATCAGTTAAAATACACAGTGTGACCTATTGCATTTCTGATAGCCTAAACTGATAGGGAATTGCCCCATCAATGCCCCTTCCATAGCTGAATTCTTTATGCTAAAATAATAAGCAGCTTGAAGCACTGGCTTGGCTCTTAGGTATGATTGTAAACTGCAGCACTGTTTTTACTACTTAGATTGTTAGTACAGAGCCTTAAATCTGTATGGACACAAAACCCCTTTATACTGCTGTGGTCAAGTCATTCAAGTTGCATTTCTGTCTTCTGCTGCGACAAGGGAGCTGATGGGGAGGTTCACAGTACAATGTTGTTGTGATTATAGCTATTTTAGCAGTGAAGTATTATTTGATACAGTGCAGGTTTTCAGAAAATTAAATAGGACTGAAGTTAAAAGTTAAATAGTTCCTGACCATCAATCCATTTGTCTTATGACCTAGTTGATGCTAGGGTTTGAGTGACGAGGGAGAGAAGGTCTACGCCAGGTGAGGGTTCTTCTTGTCATCAGCAACCATAGAATTCAAATCCTCATTGGGAGGGAGATGTCTTTAATTCCTGTGAAAATGCCCTCCTCTGTGTGCACTTAGGTGACGCTTTCTTCTAGATCTGCCGACAGATGGCCCCAATGCCTTTCCTGTGTCTCTCTTTGCCTTGTTGATTTTTCTCCAGGGCTCCTCTAAGCTGTAGCAGAGGAAGAACCATGTAGTTGGATCACTTTGTTGTCACTAAGAATAAGTGTTTGTATGGTGGTGCTGCTGGAACAAGCAACCTCAATGGACTCGGTGTACAAAATATCTATTTTTGTAGTAATCAAACATTTTGGAGCAGGTTTGAACTAGTAATCTCAAAACCATAGCTGGATATAGGTGTGGTCTCTCCACTGCCTTAGTTTTAGGGAAGAGGCTTGAAAAGATGGAAGGTATTCGTGGCTGGCCTAAATAGGGTTGGCACTCTGCTAGGGGCTAAACCTTTCCTGTTCACAATTAAGTAACTAATTTAAGTGTATGAGTAATCTTATCAACTTCAATAGAACTAGGCCATGTGCCAGGCACATGCTCCCCTATATCACCCTCAGATGGTACCACCTTGCAGGAGGGACTTCAGCACATTCCTGCTAAATGTCAGCTTTTTCAGTTTTTATTTTATACCAGATTTTCACAATATAGCAGTTAAAGGCCTTTTAGGGGGTAAAAAGCATGTCCTATGAGCATGCCCACTGCATTTGAATTAAGAGCTTGAAGAAGAAATATATCCGGAAATTAATTTATAGGCTGTGAATAATTTTCTTAACAATTCACCTGTAATCCTGACTGACAGCACCTTGCCAGTCCTTGTACAGTATGATAGAAAGAATAACTTCCCTTAGCTATTATGGTTACCTGCAAGTTGTAGGTGACAACAATTTTCTTTCTGTAGCTTCTCACAAATCCCTTTCTCTTCAGAATTCCTCTCTGAACTGAGAAATCCCAACCTTTCTAATTTTAGACCTAGTCTTCATTCTGTGTATGTTGTTAGCACTCTTGTCCACACCTGTGGTATTTCCTTTAATAAAACTGCAGTAATATTTTACAAATTAATGTTCATGCAGCTGCTCTGAACAGCTGTGATGCTACCGAATGCCCACACGAGCTACTGGCTCTGCTGGCTTCTCTGTACAAGTGCTGTTGAAATGTCAAACCCTCCCTGTAGATGTTTGCAAACTTAGCTTTAAGAGCCAAGCTCACATTTATTCATTACAGGTAATTGTATCTCCTGTCTGTAGAAAATGATATCATGTTGATGACCCTCTAAGCTGCCTCTGAATAACTCCTGAGATTCGTATGTGTGTTTCCTTGCAACCAAGAAGTATTCTGGCAAGAGCAGCATGTTCCGTAGCTGCAAAAGCTTCATATTTTGCTGGGATGCCTAGACTGTGAATGTAATGCCTGGGAACTTAACTCTGATATGTTGATTTGCTTGACTGCTGCAAAGCCAGTGATTCTGAGCGCTCTGTGTGTGTGAATTTTGAATTTATATTTGTTGCATGTTGGAATCATTTCTGCTAAGCAAAGTTTGCTGCCTTGACATTTTTTCCAAATTATAAAATAAAAGATTACAGCCATTCAGTGCTTTAGAAAAAGGAGGGGGATGCATGGGCTGCTTGGGCCAGCGCTGCCAAAAGAAGAAAGAAGAACTCAGAGCCTCTTCCAATCTCTTGGTGGTTTTTTGTTTGTTTGTTTTTTGGGGGTCACTTTTTAAAAAAGATTTGTACTGCGGAGACTCCCATGTGTCAGCTTCTCCTAGCCTGTATATAGCTGCATCTATATATGGTCCAGTCTTACCAACTTTCTTCCCTATGCTTGTCTTGAAGAGTATCAAAGCCTTTGTTTCAGAAATTCTGTGCTGTAGCTTTCTTGACCATCTTTCTATTTGGGCTCACTCTTCTCTCAATCTCTGCATCAGTTTCCCTCTTTCTCTCCTTGTGCGCCCTCCTTTATAATGAGCCCTCAGAATAGTGTTTTCCCTCTCGTTGCTTTCCCCAATGGTATTTTCTGCAGATGTGCAATGAAAGCTGTTGCAATAGAGTAACGACCAGAGGTAAAAGTCCTGCCTATAATTGCAGTTCTAAAGAAAAACACTTTAATTTTACTTTTGACTTGAGGAACTACAGCTGATGGATTTGTCAAACATGTTAATCTGTTTTACCTATGCATGATTCTAACCAGTTATTTAGAATAATTTGGAAAAAAATAATAATTTTAAGGAGGCTCAAATTCTGAATAAATATCTTGGACTTAAACCCCTGCAATTGCTCCTAATGAGTAGATTGTGATCAACAGACTTGTCCAGCTATGTATTCTGCATTAAAACAGTCTTTTGTGCCTAACTTGCACCGTTCATTGGTTAAGTTGTTTGGGCAGGTACTTCTTCATTTCAACACTGATAAACAGTGATGAATCCTAAGCTATTTAAATTTTTTATCTTCACAGTTCCTCAGTAGGAGACTTATCATTTCATTTTTATTGAAACTAAATTAATCTGCATTGTTAATTTTTGTTGTAGTTAACCTTTGCTTCTTAATGATAACTCTTTATTTTCTTATGTAGGGTGATTTAGCGGCTGTTGAACAGCTACTAAAAAATGGAGCTGATCCTAATGTCAAAGACAATGCTGGTTGGACACCACTGGTGAGTATTGTAGGCTTTTTGTCATTTTATCTTTTGATCAGGTTTTATATTTCATCCCTTCTGTCCTTCCTCTTATATTTTAGACCCTCTTCCGTAATTCCCTGTCACCTTAATGTCTACCAAGTGAAGAAGTTCTGATAAATAAGTGTAAAAGGAATAGCTGTTAGCAACTGTTTTCCTGCCCAAATCCACCTGTCTTTTGCTAGGGTGAGACATATTAAACAAGTTTGTCAGCTTGTGATTTTGCAGTTTTTACCCATGCCTGTTTTCTGAAATGAGTGCACTTCATGGATTGTTAATGCCCTCAGCTGCTCTTTCCCTTTTGGAAGTGTATGGAGTGGTGGAATGAAGAGTCTTGCACACTTGATTTAAAGCAAATAAATAAAGGACTCTTTCCAGCCATAATTTCTTTCATTTTTGAAGAGCACTTTTGACCAAGTCTGTTATCTAGTAGACTTTCTTCTCTCTAGTCTGATTTGCATCCAGTTGGTCTTTATTTAGCTCCTTTTTCGTGCTTTTTGAGTAACAGTTTCCAAACTTAATTCACATTAGGAATGTGATGCAGTGTTTTTGCATCATCTTCCTTGACCATCTACTGAGAGATATTTTAAGAAAAGAATCTTTAACTTGTGCAACAGAGATGTTTCCTCTTAATTCTGTTTCATTTGAGTTTTCTCATTACTTACTTACGGATTTCCTCACCTAGCACGAGGCATGTAACCACGGGCACAAGGAGGTGGTGGAGCTGTTGCTGCAGCACAGAGCACTGGTGAATACTACTGGCTATCAGAACGACTCCCCACTTCATGATGCTGCCAAGAACGGGCACGTGAGCGTGGTCAAGCTGCTGCTTTTGCATGGTGCATCCCGTGATGCAGTGTGAGTAATGGGACAAGTTGTACTTTATTCCACCTATGGAATGTGTTTGGTTAAATATGAACCAAAGCTATTAATACAATATATGCATTTTACTTTGCAGTGTTTGTGGTAAGTGTTAAACCCTGTGGAGTTTTCAAAAACAGTCTTGAATATAGCAGAGTAAGGAAACTTAAGTTTGAAAAAGTAAAGTAAGGATCAGTTGTTCATCTTCACTGTCATCTTGAACCACAAAGACCAGCGCATTACACCTTAAAAGAAGCTGACAACTTCAGGAGCTAATTTTCCAGCCACTTGAGCATCTGTGACTGTTTGTGTGACACTTATCACGTCTCTATTTGGTATTTGAAAGTATTGCACAGACAGCAGCTTTGCAACTCCTTGACAGGACTTGGGCACTGAGAGATTTAACACTGCAGAGTCTACAAACAGTGGGTCTCTTTCTGTTGAAAAAGAAGCTTTTCAGTCATTGAAGGAAACGTTTGTTAGTGTCATTTTGGCATAGCTTTCCACTGAATGCGGCTATATGTTCTCATAATGTGACATGAGATGTGTCACAGTTCTGTTAATTTAGATATGTTTCAGGAAACTACCTACCTCTTGCAGTTCTTCTAAGTATCTGAAATGCCTTCTTACGGCTTCTAAATGAGCAATATCCTTGACTTAATCTCCAGGGTGTTCAGAGTCTCGTCGGTCATTACATGTGTTTTTTTTTCCTTCTCCTTTTTTTTTTTTTTTTTTTTTTTTTATGACAGAAGATTCATTTTGGTTCTTAAGGCTCTCAGTAAGCCAACCTTCAGCCCTGGAGAGGGCCGTCTTTATCCTGCTATATTAAAGGAATTCTTCATTATCTCCAGGGGGAAAAAAATCATTGTTTGAGTGTGTGTACTCAATCTTTTTATTTTTGGTAAGTTGAACAAATGTGAATGCTAAAACCTGTAAAATATGTAGCATGACTCCCTCACACACACCAACACACACACACCCGTAGTTCTAGAGTCAAAACAAGAGATTTTAACCTATCTTTTTGTTTTGTTTTTAATGTCCTTGTGTTTTAGTGGTCGTTGCCTCTGTTGAACAGCCCTCTTAGAGCAATAGTTTTGAAATTTAGTATTACACTTGTTGGTTGTGCAGGATGAAATATTTCCTTTAAGACTTGTAATTCTGTGAGCATGTGTATCCATATCCACTATATTCACTTCCTAAGAGATCTCACGTGGAGAGATGTGCAGGTAGGAGTGCAGCACTAGCCATTGGACACCTGAGGCCGTTTAGGCAGTCGGGTCTGGAGGCTCGGCAAGCACATCTCATTCCAAGTTTGTGCATCTCTTTCCCTCATATATTAGTATATAGGATGTAGAAAGTAGCAGTATATAATAGGAAGCAGTTACACAATCCTTGGAGAAACTGAATGCAAGTGAGAACTGCTCAGTTTGCTAGAAAGCAATACTGCAATTTCCGTATTTCTTTGTGTTTATTTATTGAAATCTGCAAGATTTAGTGCTTGTGGCACTTCATTTGCCATTCAAAGTTTTCACTGACTGGGGAAGATATGAACTGCAAATGGAAAATATTATATGGACCAGTGGACCTATTAATTGTCCCGCTGGTCTAGTTAATTTTTTTAAGTTAATCTCCTACACATAGCTAATTTATATTTTTATAGCTTTTTTTCCTGTGCTCGCCCTCTTGAATTTTTTTCCTTGCTTCACAGCAAGCCAAGTGATTTGAAAAATGAGATCTGTGCATTTGCAATTTCACAGCACTTCATAAATGCTTTCACTCAAATGGGCTATCGTGCCCGCTCTTCATGCACAATAAGTTCAGCATTAGTAGAAATTGTTTTGTTGCCTCATTTTTTTTAGATGTGTTAGTTGTCTTTCTGTACATTAAGTCTGATTCTGAACAATTCCAGGTAAGTAGGGACAGACTCTGGTCTAAGGATTTTGAATGACATAGAGGTAAAAAAATCTTCATAACCTGCAGGTGATTGCAGGCTGCGCTGACTGAATTTTGTCTGCTTTTCCTGAGCTGAAGTCAAGATAGTGCAAGATATTGCTATCCAAGTGCAAGATAATATGCTTGGCTTCCTGCTGGCAGTAAGTAAATTAGAAACCTGGCCCTGTTCGGATGCTTAAGCTGGTGTTTCTGGCTATGTGGATTCAGTTTGCTTCCTCACAGGTTTGGCACTCAAAATACAAGTGCACACTGGCGAGTCCAAAATTGGCCAGATTTCTACCTGCGAATTGGTTGCAGTACAAGATTAGGAGCTGGTTTCAGGTCTTCTGCTGAGTACTGAACTCTCTGTAAGGTTGGGGATGAAGTGGCTTGCGCTTGGCTGTGAAACACTAAGTAGCTTTGGGTGTGAAAATGAAGCAGGTGAGAAACCTTGACTTGAAGGTATTTCATGAATATTGCTTGCCTGTATTGGAAACTACAAGTCTGGGGCCTGTAAAGAATTGTCAGGAGAGTCTGTGTTTATTTTCTGTGCTCTGCTTGCTCAGTTATTTCCTAAAAGTTTCGTGAAGTGTATGGAAAGTAGCTGTCAAGTTTCTGTGTCTAACCAGAGCAAAGGAACCCTGCTCCTCATACCTGAGAGCAGTGTTGCCCCATACACTGAATCTTCATTCTGAAGCTTCTTCCTAAGATACTCTTTGATCTGTCAGTCCTGCAGATAGCACCTGTCATCTCCTGTAAAGTCGCACTCAGCAACTCCTATTGCACCACTCCTCATCGGCCCCGCTTTGTTCTCAGCACAGACATCCCTCGGCTCTTTGATTGGAGTTTGTTCTAGCTGTAAGAGCCCTCCACTGACTATTCACTACCTTGATGACTGACTAATAGGAGACTGTTTGCATCAAAGGATACATCTGACTCTTGAATGTTTAAATCAATGTGCAGAAAGCCCACTTGCACTCTGCTAGACAGGTGTATTTTTAGAGACGGGGTGTTCTGGCTTCCGTATCAGACATGCTTGTCTCCTGCACAAACAATTGCATCTGTCCTCACGGAGCACACGGCTTGGTAAGCAGGCGTGTGCACTTAGATCCATTCTGAACCAACTTCAGACCTAGAGAACAGGGAGGAAAATGTTTGCGGTGTTTCTGTGGTGGGAGTTTTCTTCTTTAACTTGCTAGAATGAAGATAGAAGTGAGCACATCTCTTTGGCAGCACCTTGAGGTTTTTGTTTCCATGCTATATCCCCACCTATGCTGGCACAGCTGCTCCTGTGGCCACATGTCTGTTCCCTCATCCTGTTCGCAGTGTTGAGAAGCAGCAGCCATTTCTAGCATCCTTGATATCTGTAGTAATCCCTGTAGCAGAGCTACAAGGGCTAAGACAGTCTTTCGGATTGATGGTTATTTACTTCTTAGAGAGCTAGGGAGTGCCTGTGTAGAAAGAAAAAAACTAGTTTGTCCTTATTCTTTGCAAAAGTTGTGAAAACTTTAAAAAAAAAAAAAAAAAAAATCCTTGAGTGTGTTGGACATGTGAGTGTTTTCCCTGTGTTGAGGTTGGCTTTTTCTTCCTGAGCCCTCCTGTCTCTCCTCTCTGAGCCACTTTTTTCACAAGCACAGCAGCCCTGGTGATGGGTTTATTTGTTGAAATCTGAGCTTTCATGTTTCTTGCTGCAGCTTATTTTAACTGTTGCACCTTAACATTGTATTGAACAGCCACGAGCCCTAGTAATGCATAATGATAAGGCAGGGTTTGCAATACCCTGGGAAGAAGCCACTGAAATGCTTTTTAAGAAAACAACAAGAAAAGGAAAAAATGCCTTAAAATTGAATGCGATCAGAGATGGGCTTCCTTTCTGTACTACTGAACTGGCAGGAACTCCCGGTCTCCCCGGGTGCCCTCGTGGATTTTCTCCTTTCGCAGTCCCCAGTACAGCTTTAACCATCTATTTTAAAGATGATATTTGTGTATGTGCTAATGTGTGTTTCTGAGGCTGTGGGGTACAAAGGAACTGTCCTGACAGATCTGGCCTTTATTTAAACACAGACAAAAGCCACCCTGCCCGGGTGCCACAAAGCAGGAGCAGCAGGACAGGATTTAATGGGCTGCAACTCGCCAGGCTGGGCCTAGATTTCCCCAATTATCTCTTAGCGAGCCCAATTAGCAGTGCGCTGGCCGCTGCCTCCTTGGGAGGGTGGCAGTGCTGGGGGTTGGCAGCGTCAGCCCTTGCAGCCAGGCCCTCCGGGAGGCCGCGGGGTTTTTACGGATCCGCATATTCCAAAGGGTCCATGTGTCAGAGAGCTGCGGTCACACAGGAGGATGGGAGGGCCTGGCTCAACTTTACCCGCTCTGATCCTCCTCCCAGTTAAGTCAAAGTTAAGACTTTATGATCGGTACTTTAGTGCAGACTGGATCTGCTTGTGCCTTTATGTGGAATTTGTGATAAACCCTCTTTGAATTCCTCTTTGCAGGGGCACGTGGTTAAGTAAGGACAGTGCTTCAAAGCTGCAGCAGGTTTCTGTGACACCTTTAAATATTTCATTGCTTCAATGACTAAGCTTGCCAGGTTGCAGATAGCGAGCCATGGTTTTGTTCTCCATGACAAGCTATCTCCTTCCAATAGGTCTTATTATGTGTTTGGAGAGCAAGTGCCGCTGGAGGTGCAGAGAAGATCAGCAGCTGGAGTAGCTTTTACTCTCACAAAGGGCAAAGAAAGCAGAATATCATCCCTGGTCATATGTCATGATTTTCCCTGGCAAAGCAGCATATTTCCTAGCAAATGTTGTTATGCCTGTTCTGCAGGTTCAGGTTGCTCCCATCGCTGCTGTCCTGCAGCTCCAGAACTGCTAAGAGGAACAATGTCACAGCTGCACTCTATGTATATAGCAAACCATGTCTGTCTGACTGGTGGCAAATGGATGGGGGAGAAAAGGGAGCTTGAAACATGTATAGTAACTATGAAATGGCCACGTTGGAAGGTAGCTTTGGAGACACTGCATAATATCAACAAAACTGGCAAGCCAACTCCAATTTTGAATGAATTGGCTGCATGTGTTCTGCGGAGTGGTATTTTGTTAAGACCCATGCTAATTCTGGAAGTGCGAGAGCACCACAGTTCCTGAGCAAGAAGCAGATGGTGTTTCTGGTAAAAGCATAACCACGTCAAGCTCAAATGCTGCACGTAGGTAGGAGCTTCTGAGGTGTCTTTGAAGGCAGAAGGGTTGCCCATCAAGCTGTTGACTTACCAAACCTCGTGGATAGATCCACAGTCGCCTATAGCTCTGCGGATGAAGCAGGAGGAGACCAGCAGGCGTTTGGTAGTGTGGTTTCTGTGGCTGGTTTATCTATGCAAAGCTCAGGCGCATACGGAAGCTAAGAGGGACAAGGAGTACAGCCATAACAGCCATGAAGGGTCATGTTTCCAAGGCTTAACTTAATGTTTCATGTGTATTTTGCTCTTAGCAAATGTTTTCCTTTGGCTGCTGCATGACACTACTTGGTGGGTTCAGATGCAGAATGCATGTTTATTTTTGGAGTTGAAATGCGTTTTCTTGGTTCTCTGACTGCAATGAAAGATTAGAACTGAAATTTCTGGGTCTTGTGAATGATATCAAAGCGCATCTCAAAACAGTTTAACAAGGGCTGTAGTTTATTTAACTTAACATGCTGCTCTGAACATCTATTTCTCCTCAGCTGAATGCAGCAGCTTGTAACTCGGTATCCATCTGTCTTGCCTGCGATTCTTACTCGAAGCTTTGTATGTTTTAGCTGAAATTGCATATTAATAAGAAAGTGGGGGAGAAGAACTACCCAGCTAATGCACCCAGCAGCTGAGAATCAAGTCACATTTTATTTACTTAAATCCAACTGTGTTTGTTTTGCCAGTAATATATTTGGTTTGCGGCCTGTGGACTATGCGGAAAGTGAAAAGATGAAGTCTGTGCTACAGTTACCAATGAGAAATGCATCACTGCCACTTAACCAACCCTCTGAGGTAAGTGTGTGTTATTAAAAACATAAGTTCATCCTGTAAGTGTCGAGGGTTTGGGTCCAAGTAAAGTATGACACCTCCCTTACAGGGAGGTGGAAAATTGGTTGGCTCTCTGCACACCTAAATCCTGTTCTGCCCACTAAATGGGCTGAAAGTGTGAAAGTGTTTGCTGCAGGGGCTTTTCACATACTTTCATTGGACTGTTCCAGTATCTTCCTTCATTCAACAATAAAGATATCAACTCAGTCATTGAAAACAACATTTTTTTTATTATTTTTTGCCTAAGGCTTCTGAAGGCTTGTAAGCAAAATCAGATTATCCAGGCTCAACAAGTTATTGTGTATGAAATGCTTTGTGCTTCCTAATGAATGATGAATAAACTGAGCTGGCTTATTTTAAGCATCCTAGTCCCTTCAGGATATACAGCCTGTTGTGTTCCCTCCTCTTCGAGGTAATGAGATGCCCCTTGGCCAAAGGCAAACTAAATCAGCAAGAGTAAGTTTTATTGTTTTTCCCAACTGTAGCAAATGCAAGCTAATGCAGCTTTTTTTTTTTTTTTTTTTGTAAGCAAAGTAAGATTTTCTATTTCCTATGGCATGTGTGTGTATCTTTGTGGTTAGTTACCAGCTCATTTGAGTTGCTTGATCCTAATTCTGAGGTCTTTAAATTGTCTGGTATGGGGGACCTGGAAGCACTTGCCAAAACCCAGGAGTTAGGGTGCACCATATACATCCTTGCTGGAATAAAACTTGAGAATTTGAGTGAGCAACTTTTGCTTTGTACAGAACTGTAGGCATGTAGGCATGGATTACTCCCAGGGCAATGTCCTGGACATCTTTTAGTGCAAGGAAAAACAGGTCTTAATTTGATATGTTATTCAACATATTGATAGTACAACTGTTGGAGACTTTACTATATTGACATTTTTTTCATCCTTCAACATTGCAATCAGCATGACTGATCAGCAACAGTCAACTCTTGTACCAACTGAATGCGTGCCCACCAGTTTGTCTTTGTCTTTTTTGTTTTTAAATATTGATGCATAAAATTATTTTGGTACCACCCGTAAACTAAACAATACTTATAATGTCAACTTTCACTCTATAGCTAGTTTGTTATATATAGATTTATTTATGCACCCTGTCCGCTAAGCTTGCCATGAATTGTTTTTCAAAGTGCTTATTCTATATTTAATAAAACTGTCAAACAGATTAGTTGCTTTCTTTATGTTCCTGAATATTCGGCTTATGTAGGACTACTTTTCTTTTTACTGCAGCCAATGAGCCCTAGCCAGCCAAGGGAGGGACCTCTTGGTATTCTTGGGAGCAATCTTAGTTCAGAGCAGCAGAAATTGCTGAATAAGCTAGCAGCAGCTCTGAAGGCTCGAAGATGTACTGAATTTAACAGCACAGGTATGTACTCTTGTTGAAACCTCTGTGTCCAAATGCTGCAAGCAACTGAGCATCTGCACTTTATCTGTTAAGATATTAGCTGGAGTGAGTATTGTTCCTAATAACAGGAACAACTACTAACCGGAGTTCCTAATAACAGGAATAACTACTGCTATTATTTATAGCAGTAGTAGAAAGAAAGTGTGTGGTATTGCACATTAACTGGTGTAATAAGATTCTACGTGCTTTTCTTGCCGAAAGGCAAAGGGGAAAATGAGACTGTTTGGGATTTGCCCCAGGGTCCTGAGCCTCTCAAGAGGGGCTTTAGAGGGGCTGGAGAGAGGGGAAGAGGTGCATGGTTGTTTAGTTGCTTGTTTCCTGCCCAAGTTTGGGGGAGCAGTCTGCATACCTGGCTACTTGCTGAGGCAGGAGGCTTCTAGGAGACATGAGTAGTTCGGCAATGTATTATTTAAAATTGTCTTCATTCTATCTCTTAATGCTGTTAGTTTATTTCCTTGGAGTATTACTCTTCCTGCTCATGAGGGATGGAAATGATTTCCCCCTCTTCCATGTATTTCCTGATTACTCCTCCAAAACTGAGAGTCCTGTTAGCCTTGTGGTAAAGCACTGAATTCAATAGTAAAAATTCCTGCCAGAGTTGAATAAAACTTAAGAAAGGGTAGAAAAACATTAGCCTGTAAACCTGAACCAACTTTGGAGACATTAAGTGTAAGCTTGGAACTGTAAAAAAGTGACTTACCTTTTCCACAGCAAATATATTTTAAAACCCACGAAACTTCTAATGTCACTCCTGTAAGTGTTTATTCCAAAACAAAAAGCTCAGAAATCATCTGGAAAGCGATTGCTAAGTCATTAGACCTGTTTAGTTTAAGTGGTGATAGATGCTTTTCATACGGGCATGGTTTTGGTTTTTTGGGAGCTTTTAGTCCTTCTCGTGTAATCTTTCTTCTAGTAACTCATCTTGTTGTCCCTGATGCTCCAATGCCGAGCACTGTCAAATGCATGATGGCTGTTTTGACTGGATGCTGGGTTCTCAAGTTTGAATGTGAGTATTAAATACATGAAATTCTTTCTTCCCTCTGCAGTTGTAGATAGAATTCCTGAGAAAATTCTGTGTGGTTTTTGTTTTTTTTTTCTTTTTTCCCCTCTCACCAACTGCCCTAATATTGATAGCAGCTTAACATGAAGTGTGCATTTTAATCTTATGAGTGACAAGGGTTTTGATTAAATATAATTACTTCTTCCCTGGCAAGCATGTGTATTGCAATATTGGATGCATTGAGTAGGTCATTACCTCATGTATCAGTGGAGAATGAATTTACTCACTGTTACATTAAGAATGATTTGGAAGATTATGGTAAATACTCTGGCAGAGAAGGAAGGAGTGCATTAAGTTCTTGAACTTCACAAGTAAATGGTGTGGCCTATCTGTATATAAATTGAGATCTGTTGGATGTTAAAGTGCAAACAACCTTATGCTGTCTGCTGATGATAACTGCCATGTGCACTTCCTACCTTTTCTTTCTCCTGCAAAAGCTGCACAAGCCCATGTGGTTACTGATCCTAAGCTAACACAGGGATGAGTTGCCAGCTCTAGCTGCCGTGTTCTGCTCGTGCTTTCAATGGATGAGCAAATATGTAATTATCAGTACTTGTTTTTGCACCTGCAAGCTCTGCAGGTTGTATTTCTTCAAATGAAATAACCTCCAAGAGAAGGTGGCTTGTGTAGCATCCTCCTAGCATGTAAGTAGCTGGTTTCAAGTCATGCAGTCTGCCACTAGTGTTGTACAGTGTTGGCTTTGCCACGCAGTTGTTCTCTGAACTTCTGTCCCAAGTTATGATTTTTATTAATCTTTCTAATGTGTTTCTCTAATATCTGCTTTCACAGTAGTTGTAAAAGCCATCGTCTTCCCCTTGACCTTTAGAGCTCAGTCATTTTTAGCTAATAGGTACATTGCAAAGGAATTAATTATCAATGGAAGAATTCATAGACAAATTCATTATGGTTTTCTACTGTCTGAATGCACATGAGAATATAATGATTTTTAATGATGTAATTTTCTACAGTCGCTAATATTGCTTAAAGCCCCTTAGGAGTACAGTGTTTTTTCAAAGAAGGGCACATCAGGATCTCTATAAACCAGGCTTTTTCAGAGTTGTTTGGCTTCATGATAGTCAATAGATTTGTTCTTTACTCCTTTTAAAAGAGTTTGGTGAATATGTGTCCTCTCAGCTGTGTTCTACATCAGCTCCATTGGCTTCTGTTTGAGCTCTTACAAGCTTTTGGAAAAAGAAAATGTGCACAGCCTTTGTACTGTGATCACTACAAATAACAGTAACTTCTTGCTGCAAATGTAACTGCAAGAAATACAGTTTATGCTTGCGAATGCAGTGTGTTTAACTTCAGATCCTTGCCAAGAAGAAGTAATTCTGTTTGGATGTGGGGCTGCAGCAGCAAGCTTGGGCCTCAAACTGATATTTAGGTAGTGCAATAGGACAAGGAGTTTTGGGCAGTAATATCATGCTTAATGAAGACTGAAACATCTCTTTCTGGGCTGAATTTGATGCAGGTTCTTTGCTCAAAGCCCCTTTCAACACATCAGGAGCTTGGCATATCTTCCCTATGCTTGCTGAGCTTCTTTCTCTTTCCCGATTTTTATCTTTTTGCTAGTCAGATACTAGGAAAATTAATACTGCCAGTAAAGGTTTGTTGCTTTCTTCCTTTGAGTGGTAGGAAGATTAAATTTGTGTTTAAATCCTTGTGGAAGAACTTTTTAGAAGTGAGATTAGAAAAACAAATAGATTGGGGGATGGGAATTATTCTGGATATTTTCATATTTTTTTAGCAATTGACTCCTATTTTGAGTTGTTAGAGTACTGATTAGTACACTCCTGTCTGATAATGCTCTCAGCTTAGTAAGCAACATACTACTTAAAAGCGAGCGATTCTCCTCCCTAGTGGGAAATGTTAGTAATAACTCATGGGGTCTGATGCAGCTAAGTGCCTATAATTAACAGCATCACTCCATCTGTTCCCACCAGTCTGTTATTAGTCTTCTTCGGAGTCATTACAAGTTAAAGATTGTTATAACAAATAATGGGACTCCTGCTGATGGAACATTTGTCTAGGAGAAGAGGTCCTTTGCTTTTCCATACTTCCTCTGTTTGTTTATCTTGGCTTCAGTTTGGAAAGGTCTGCTGAAATGTGACACAGACTTCCCAGAGTCTGGCGTGCTGCTGTCAAAGCTGCTGCAAACAAGCTGAAGAGTTTAATATAGTTTGCTGTTCTGAACCATTCACTCAAGTAAATTCGTGTCCCCAAACTTCACCGAATTACTTGGAAAAAAACAAAGCTTGATTTAGCACTTAGTGAAATGCTGACTATGCATACAAGTGAATATTTAATTTATTTTCCTACAAAGTAAGCTGCATTTGACTATTTTTAAAGATGCAGCCAGCGTAATTATTCCACTTCCAAACAGATATAGCATGCTTGCAAAAAAAGTTCAATTAAGGTCTGCATTTATATGAACTCTTCCATTACGGTGGGCTTTCATGCTGTGTTTCAAAGCAATCTCCTTCCTCGTCTTTCATCTCTATGTATAATTCTGTGGTGCTACAGCTTATGTGCCTATGCACGGAGATAGAGCATTCCTTGGTGTCAGGGAAGAGGTGATGTGGAATTTTCCAGCAGGATTTGAGCAAAGCACGAAGCCTGCACACGTTAGGATTAAAAAAAATATATCTCTGTTTTTGGGCTTGCCTTTTGTCTTGCGCTAGAGGGTTAAGATGAAAGGATAGTGCCACTGTGTAGCATCTTCACAGAAGAATATTTTCACGTAACCGGTTGCTAGTTCCATATTTTCCATACATAATGCACTGTCAGCAATATATCCTCTCTCACAGCATGCAGAATTCAATTGAGACACCATCGTCACTGTGCTCCTTGCCCTTGGCCACATCTTTCATTGCTTTCATTATTTTATTGCCTTCATTATTTCTGGGACCGTAATAGGGGCACAAAAGTAGCGTATCGTTACCCTTCGGCAAGTAGCTGGAGACAAAGATTCAAGTATTACCGTATTTCCTCACTGCTTTTTATAGATTGTAGAAGAACACTGTAATTAAAAGGAGCAGAAATCTTTAATAGCTTTTCAGCTTTTGTTTTTTTTTCCCCCCCTTAAACTTGGAATGTCATCTGCTAAAGCAGGGAAAGAGGAATGATCTCGGTGACAATATGCATGGAAAGGAGCTCGTGCCAGGCTCTGCAGCCAAGTCCCTGGCAGAACGCTGAGTCTCCCATTGCTGCGGGAAGGGGAATGGATGCAGGAATAAGCAGCATTGCTGGGTCAGCTCTGATCACTTACAAGAATGCAAAAAGTCCTGCTTTGCCTTTATGGGCTTAAAAAAGTTGAGCTGAATGGCCAGCAGTTTGCAAAAGTGACAATATTAGGTGGCAAAACCACCTTTCTGAATATCTTCAAGCAATGCACCCATCTGTGTTCAGGCTGTTAAACAAGAGAAGGGCAAAGCCAGCTTGAGCTCATGGCTTCTTGAGCTGTCCCTGCCACTCATAGACATGGTTTAGAGCAGAGGCTGAGAGTAGTCAAGCCTTCCCTTCCTTGAAACAACTCAAAACTATAGATCAGTGGAATTTCACCTTTGTTTAACAGTTGGAGATTTATTTCACCTGCATCCTTCTACAAAAGCACCCACACTTTCATCAATTGGTAGAAGTATTTGGGGAATGGGACGTCTTTTTGCTCTATTGGCTCTGCAGCAGAGAGGAAAGTTTCATATCTGTAGTATGAAAGTTTGGCCCTCCCACTGCAGCTGCACCTTATGGGGAAGAGGAGAGAGGCTGCTTCACTTTAGGTCAGCACAAGTCTGGACTAGGAAGCTCCTGGGATTTGCAGGGAAGAAAATGGGGGAGCAAATGATGTTAATGGTAATGATGGTGATGGTAATGATGTTTGCCTTGCTCTGTGGAGCTGAATGGGATGGGTTGAAACAGGAGGAGGAGGAGACCCTGGTGCCTAGACCTGGTGCTCCCTCATTTTTTGATTGGAAGAAAACCTCCTATTTAGGAAGTTCGTTGTGAAGGAAAGGATAGGGAATGTGAGCTTGTTAATTTAAGAGTATTTAACAGAATTGGGAATGAGGATGAGCACTTCTAGTGAGGGTTAACCTAACCTTTACTCCTTAGGAACAGCTACCTCCAGTCATTTTGATGATCAGTCAAGAGAATAGCTGTAATGGTGCTTTATTAAAGAAAAGATACTTCTATTTTTAAAGCAATATAATGATGTTCATATTGCATACTGCTAGCTTCTGGCAATCACTGTTTGAGGACTTCCTGAGCATCTGGTCTGTCATGTTTAATAACGATCACCTGAATTCACTTGTCAACTCCCTTCCTAAGGAGACTCATTTTAATCTCTGCAGCATCTTGTGATAGCTCCTGTGCTGGAAAAAGGGACCATTTTTGTTTTACCCAACGAGATCTCAATCTCACCTCACAAAAACCTGATCTGGGGTTACTTTATAAGCATACAGGAGAGTATGAAAATCACTTTCTTAAGCCTTTCTGCACGCTCTTGTAGAGACCAGTAATACTCTTGATGAAAGCAATTTGAAGCTAGTCTTGCCAAATTTCTCTAAGGCTTTCTCTCCGACCAGCTTTCCTTCTTTTCCAGGAAAGTGATCTCATCAGGCTTTATTTAATCTGCATAAGCCCAGTGCAGAGTGAATCAAGGAAGCTTCAGTTTCCATCTCTATTAGATGTAGAACGTGTAGTATTTTATCTTTTAGTTGCTGTTATGTATCTCTAAATTACTATTAGCTGTTCTAAGAGATTTTGGGGACTAACCTTTGCTCTTTGCTTCATTAATGCAAATCCAGCAAAACTCCAGCAAGGCTAATAGAGTTACTGAGAGCTACCCCTGGGTATCTGTGGGCGATTGCAACTTGTTCTTGCCATCCAGTTCCTTCTTCGCCTTGTTTAAGCTGATTTTGCAGATTAGTTATTTCATTATAAACCATAAG